AAGTGACTTGACTGATGGATCAAAACTCCAACAGCGGTGATGTTGGGCTGATTGGTACTTTTGTCTGGCTTCGGAGGTCCAACATAAATGATAATGGGTTAAAGCACAACGTAACTTGGGTTAAAGCACAACGTAACTTTTTTATTCACATATCATTTATAGAATTATTTATATCTATACTATTATTAGTTCAATGTTTCAGTAGTTATTTATTAATATAAAAGACATTTATTAATTGATATAAGGAATTAAAATAAAATAGTTTCTATTAAACTATTAAAATAACTAAAACAAGTTAGAATTAAAATAAAATAAGTAATTATTTAATAAAATAAATTACCAATTAAAATTAAATAAATAATTGTTTAATTAAAATTTAATCAAGATGTCTCAAATCATTTATAAATAAAATAATTTACCAAATAAACTTCTTCATTTTAGTAATTTGAATCATTTGATCGATGTCCGCTATGAGAATCATGTTTGAGATATATTTCACGTCTCCTTGCACTTGGTCATCTAATAATTTTTTTTTTTTTTGGATAAGTAATAAAAATTATTACAACACTGGCGATCCAATTTTCATTGTAATCTAATTTTCAGCAACTCTTTATTTAATTTTCAACTGTCATAATTTACAGATCAACCCCTTAAACCTTAAGGTAAACCATAATCGACGACTACTTTAAAAACTTTCATGATCAAAAAAACTTGTGCACGCTATGAATGATAGATCCGAATTTTTCATCATCCAGAATTGCTACAGAGTAACAGTCCGACAAAGATTTCGACAAAAAAGAAGATTGAGATATCTTATGTCTCTTACCTGCACATGCATAATTAAAAATAGAAATAATAATAATAATAATAAAATTTGTCCTAAAAAAATTTGGATTTCATTGCACAAAAAAAAAAAAAAAAAAAAAAAAAAAAAAAAAAAAACTATTTTGTTATTACAATTGTCATTATATAAAATTCAGACTTTCATTCATGCTACAAATTCCATCAAGTTTGAAGTAAACCATATTCTTACCACATATATACACAAAGTTACAAACCTGGTATATCTTGCAGCTACCGCATCGAGAGTCTCATCAGATATATGGATCTTACAATAATGATAGTTATTCCCGATCTAATACATTTGAATTGCAAAATTTCATAAATGTATATCTTTCTTAACTAGAAGCTGATTGCTACACCAACTAATATTTATGTAAGTTAATCAAATTCAATGGGACTTGTAAAATAATTTGCAAACTTTAATAAGTAAGTTATTTTTATTAAGTTTTAATAAATTTTTCTTAAATAAATTTTTTTCAAACGATCTAAAGCATGTAGAGAAATTTTGCCTCCTAGCTCTCTCATGAAGTTGTTGGTTACAAATTACACATTTACTATGTATAGACAAATTATTTATTCTTTAAAATTTTTCTCATAAAATATCTTCTACAGTCCTATAAAATTCATTCTACTGAGTTTTTATAATCTTAAAACATTCTAGAATATTTCGACTCTCTACAATACTCTGTAATCTTTTCTGACAAAATATCTTCTACAATCCTATAAAATCCATTCTACTGAGATTTTATAATCTTTTAACATTCTAAAATATTTCCACTCTTTACAATACTACGTAATTTCTACTCATGTCATGCACGCACCATGCAAAATTCATAGGCTTAATTTCACTCACTCACAGCTTCTTAAATTTGGTCAAATATTTTTCAAAAAAATTAAAAGACAACTCTATCCTTAATTTTTTAATTTTATTTATTCCCGATTATCAAGCTACTTAAACGGCCATTATACCCTAATATATATATATATATATATATCACAGGTATATATATGTAACAATCCGGTCGCGGAGACATCCGGTTAGTCACAGAGGCGATGACGGCGAAGGCATCAAGATCGGTTGGGCACTGCAGCGATGGCCAAACCAGATATTGCGGGAGGTTGCCGGACGGTGGTGGTTTGGTGGGAAGGAAGACGCCTAACCAGAGGTTGCTGCGCCGTCGACTGTGGGTCGCTGTCATGCGTCGCGGGTAACGGTCTTCTCGCCGGTGGTTTGCGTGGCCGTTGTGTGTGGATTGTGGGTGTGGGACGGCGGGTCGTGTTCTCCTACTGCCACGGTTTGTTGGGTCACTATTTTACGTCAATTTCGGGTGCTGTTTTCTTCTCCGGGGAAGTGGACACCATCTTGTGCCGACTATGGTTGTGAGTTGCAGTCACAGGTAGGTTGGGCTGGTTGGTGTTGCCGATTGGGTTGTTTGGGGTTGCCGACTTTGGTTGCTTGGGTCGGTGCGGAGGTTTGCGGCCAGTGAGGTTGTGCTTGTTCTTGAATTTGTGGGTTGTTGTGCTTTCTGTGGGTTTGTTTAAGTGATCCAAAATGGGTGGTTAAGTTGGTTGGGTGTTTGTTGTTGTTGTGGTGGTTGGGTTCGGTGTCATTCCGGCTGTCACGACGCCATCTCCGTTCGCTCCATCAATCACCCACATCACCAACTTGGGATCTGTCAGCCCAAGCAAACCCTTGCCTGAATAAGCCAAGCCCGTTCCAGCCCTCGCCGAACAAGAAGAGAATCGACCTGTTGAGCTTGGTGCAGATGGAGAGATGGGTTTGTGAGAAACTTGGAAAAGTCAAAAGACATTAATGGACCTGCAATCTCCTAGTTCTATTTGGATTAATTTCTTCGTTAAAACTTACACTTTAGTTATTATCAAGCTAGCTAACGTATAGAATATAATCTAAATTAAAGGAATTATAGCAAGAATATCGTGATACTTTTAAATTTCTATAATTAGAAAGATCAATAGAAATTAAAAACTCACAGATAATACAATTAGTAGTAAAATTTTACTTTGGTATACCAAGTTGTTAAAGATAATTTTTGAAAATTTATGATCAATTCATATCCAAGAAGCCTGGGTCGTGACATATGAATAAAAAATTATTAAATTAGAAAAACAATAAACAAGTTTTGAGACGAGGACTAAACAGGCTACAAGCCTAAATCTCCTCCATGTACATATGTTAAATGCAGACTTCCTTGTTTGGTTTTTAGCTTCACTGTTCCTGTTGTTTTGGTGGGTATTATGAAGATTATTGGTAGAGACAAGTTTTTTTTGAATGATTTTGGCTTGCAAGCTTAGCAATAAGTCACCACCGTCCAGCCTCAGGTATGCTTGAAGACTTGCAGCAACAGGATGAAAAATGGAACAAATGTTTATAATACAAGTAATAGTTATTTACAAAAAATATTTAAGATTGATAATTGGTCAAATATCACGAGTATCAGTGAAATTATTAATAAATGCTGAATTTCGTGATACATATCACAAATATCATATTGTGACTATTTAAACTTGTCAAAGTAATAATGAATTTAAAGAAATGTTACATCATATTGAATTTCATAAAAAGTCCCTCCATCAACAGAATTCAACTCCCATCCAATGGTTACATATATTGAAATTGAAGGTATAGATTAAGTAGCTAAATATTTTAAAATTATTCTAAAATGAGAGTAATCCAATTAAATAGGTATTTCCTTTTAATTTATGTGACCGGTTTGAAAAAAGAAAAAGAAGTTATATTCTCGTGCTAATAAGGGCTAATTAACAACTTAAATTGATCATTTGATAAAAGAGATTAGATATTGAAATCTGTATGATTGAAGGATAACTAAAGCATTAATGCTGAGTTTAGATGGGAAAAGATATGTAGCTTCAATGAGGAGGCAAAAGAAGAGAAGAGATAGCAGAATTACAAGTTTAGCAAGTAACAATATTTCTATCCAAACTAGAAAAGGTCAGGGATTGATGAAGATTGAGTACAGACTGCATAGTCTAATTTTCACTTGAGTTTTAATAAAGAATCGACCCACTCGTTAGTCATCTTGAATTCTCAGATGATTTGCATCAAATTTGACAATTATTCACAAACTACACATATCATTCAAATTCTAGTGTTTTAAACCCTGTGAAAATTAAAATTAGAATATTCAATTTTACGATGTGTTCTAAGAGGCTCCTTATCCATTTGGCCACTTTTCACGTAAATCTTGGGAACCCTTCGGCACTAAGCTACCGTGAGAGAGTAAAGAGAATCTGTCCAAGGACTACAAACAACACCTACCATTCGAGATTTTGTCTTTAGCTCAGAGCATAATTTCATGGCATTCTTCTATTGCTATTAGATACCAAATGCAGATACTGACGTTTAAACTAATGTTTAGGCCTGCAATTAGGGATGGCAACGGGGCGGATTTGGAGCGGGTTTTCCTAAATCCCGCCCCGCCTTTTTTAATTTTTGTCAAGTCCATGCCCGCCCCGAGACCCGCGACGGGTTAGATTTTCATGTCCAGCCCCGCTCCGTTGGAAAATACTGTGCCCCGTGCCCGCCCCGTTAACAAATTTTTTTCTCCCACGTTTTGGAACTTAAGCTCGTGCTATTTAAATGTGGAAAGCCTGGGAATGGCACAACATAAATGAAATTATGTATCCTAACAAAAATAAAAACCAAATCACAAAAAGTTCTAAACTTCAACTTTCACCATAACCAAAACAAAAACAAATTTAATACCAAGTTTACATCCCAAATTAGGATGTAAGAGATGAGCAACTCGGTAAGCTGCTAAAATAAGTTATTAATATTATATATATATATATATAATATAGTTATATGCTTAGCGGGGTGGGGCGGGGCGAGGCCCCTATGATATGTGTACTAAACCCTTACCCGCCCCGTGACCCACAACGGGTACAAAATTTGTGTCCATGTCCACCCCAACGGTATAAAAAGTGTTCCCATATCCATTATTAATGGGGCGGGACGGGGTGGAGCCCCGGCGGGGCGGTAAAAATTGACATCCCTACCTGCAATCTCTTCATATATTTCCACATAAACTCTTTCATTTGGTATCTTTTCATATTTGTCCTTGTTCTCCCTTGGTGCCTAATAAAAAAAATTGTTATAATTAAGCATATATGAAATAACACATTGTGCAACATATTCCAAGAAAAAATAAATAAAAGAAAATTGAAAAAAAAAAATATTGTGTTTATAAAGGACTTTAGCTATCAAAGTTAGGGTATCAAACCATAAATGGAAGAAGAAGTGAAGCTTTTCAGGACATGGTCAAGTCCATTTGCTTTGAGAATTGTTTGGGCACTGAAACTTAAGGGCATAGAATATGAGACCATATTTGAAGATATTGCCAATAAGACCCCTTTACTCCTCCAGTACAATCCTGTTTACAAGAAGGTGCCTGTGCTTATACACAATGAAAAACCCATCTCAGAATCGCTCGTAATTCTCGAATACATAGAGGAGACATGGAAGCAAACTCCCAGCTTATTGCCAGAAGATCCTTATGAGAAAGCCATGGCGCGTTTTTGGGCTAAATTTGCCGACGATAAGGTAACTAATTACTGTCTCATACACGTCTACAACACCAGTATTGCACCACATTTGAAAGCTCACAAGCCTCACGTGCGGAATCACACTGAGGCTTGTGGACTGTCAAATGCAATACTGCACTTGATCCACTCATGTCTTGATTGACTGCCCTTCGATCAAAATAGCAGTAATGTTTCACTGTTTCTATTCTAATTTTACTTTCATCCAAACAATTTACTTTCATTCATATATTAAAAATACGCATGTTTCATAGCTTAGTGATATAGCTAAAAACATCTATTATACAAACATTTACTGGTTTTTTAAACCTCCAATGCAGCTTATGCCATCAGTGTGGCAAGTATTTCTTAAGCAAGGGAAAGAGCAAGAGGAAGCTATTGCACCTGCTATAGAGAACCTGAAATTCCTAGAAGAAGAGCTGAAGGGAAAGAAGTTCTTTGGAGGAGAGAGTATCGGGTTTTTAGATCTTACACTGGGTTGGATGGCTAACTTAGTAAGTGTACTAGAAGAGGTAACTGGTCTAAAATTGATAGATGAAGAAAACTTTCCATTGCTATCAGCATGGATGGAAAATTTTTCTGACCATCCAATCATTGAGGAGAACTGGCCTCCTCATGACAAGCTAGTCACCAAGTTCCAAGCCATTCGCGAGGCGTACCTAGCAGCGGCTGCTCCTAAATGAACCAGTTTACAAAACCCTAGTGTGATCAACCTTCAAAGTTTATACAATCTTGTTAAAAAGAGATCAAATGGAGAACACCAAGTGATGTTTTTCTGTGTGTGCAGTTTTGAAGAATTGTATTTGGAATCATCAGAACACAGGGAATAATGAACAAAACTTGCATGAGTCTATCATCAACAAATCTCATCCCAATTTTGTATTTAAAGTTTATTTTGTTCTCAAAAAATGTGATCATATCAAAGCTGGCTAAATGATCAAATATTCAAATGTATCTGGTTAACACTAGGCCTTTGAACCCACCATTGCTTAATATCTGACTTATTTTTGTAATATTAGCACTAATTCTTTAACCCATATGCTAGAAATATGTTATTTTCATTCTCCTTTGTAACCTTTCAGTACTTTTGAATAGAGATTCATCTGTTCCAAGTTATCATAAAAGGCAATGCTTCAAACAGACACTTTCACTAGTCCAGCAAAATCTTAATAACACACTCATGGTTGTTAGGTACCATAATTGCAAAATCAAATCAAATCAACAAGACTATGTCGCAACTATTTAGGATCGACTACAATTTTGCTTCGTGATTTTATTCATGTTTATAGGAATGCTTTCATCTGTTCCAAGACTACCGAGAGATTCATCTGTTCCAAGAATGCATCAAGAAAAAGCATTCTCTTGAATCAGAGTTGTTTTTAACACAAAAATAACACAGCCGTAAAATCAAATCAATTCAACGAGACTTTGTCGCGAGTTTTCATAATAGACTACGAGTATTCATAATAGACTATAATTTTGTCTTGTGATTTTATTCTTGTTTATGGGAGTAAAACACGTGTTCTATGTTAGTTTTGAGCTATCTAACACAACCCACATTTTCATGAATTTAAGACCGTTTGTGTGAGGATAAGACACTAGACACAACAACAACTGAGCAAAACTATTCAAATGATGTCCTCAGCCAACGGGAGAGTCTAAAGAGCATCTCTCCAAGGACTACAAACAACAGCTAACATCCAAATTTCGAGTGTTAATCAGAGCATAATTTCATGGCCTTCCTCTATTATAATTAGATACCAAATGCAAACTCTAATAAGTTTATGTCGAGGCCTGCACTCTCTTTAATTAAATACTTGTTGGAATGAAACATACATGAACTAACATGTTGGACATACTGTATGTTATAATCAACAAATGAAACATATGAACTAACATTTTGGACAGACTAAATGTTATAATCAACTAGTCAAAATAAGAACCTTGGCTAAAGCCAAGAGCTTTAATCAACTAGCAGTAGAAGAAGAAAATGGTGCAACATATTCCAAGGAAAAATAAATAGAAGGAAATTGAAAAAGAAAATTGTGCTTATAAAAGACTTTAGCTATCACACTTTACCTATCAAACCAAAATGGCAGAAGAAGTAAAACTTTTCACGACATGGTCAAGTCCATTTGCTTTGAGGATTGTTTTGGCACTGAGACTTAAGGGCATTGAATATGAAACCATATTTGAAGATATTGCCAACAAGACCTTTACTCCTCCAGTACAACCCTGTTTAAAAGAAGGTGCCTGTGCTTGTACACAATGAAAAACCCATCTCAGAATCGCTCGTGATTCTTGAATACATAGAGGAGACATGGAAGCAAACTCCCACCTTGTTGCCAGAAGATCCTTATGGGAAAGAGCAAGAGGAAGGTATTGCACCGGCCACGGAGAACCTAAAATTCATAGAAGAAGTGCTGAAGGGAAAGAAGTTCTTCGGAGGGGAGAGTAGTGGACTTGTAGATATTGCAATGGGTTACATGCCTAATTTAGTAAGTGCAGTAGAAGAGGTAACTGGTCTAAAATTGATAGATGAAGAGAAATTTCCATTATTATCAGCATGGATGCACAACTTTTCAGACCTTCCAATTATCAAGGAAAACTGGCCTCCTCATGACAAGCTAATCACCAAGCCCCAATCCATTCCTGAGGCGTACCAAGCAGTGGCTGCACCAAAATGAACCAGTTCGCGAAGCTTTGTATGTGATCAACTTCCAAAGTTCATAGAATCTTGTCAATAAAGATCAAATGAAGCACTTCACAACAAGAAGTGAGGTTTTCTGTGCGTGCAGTTTTTTTGAATAATTGTACTTGGAATCATTAGAACAGAGGGATTTTGCTTTCGTAGTATTAACAAACAAAACTTGCACAAATCTCATCCCAAATTTGAATTTAAACTCAATTTTGTTCTAAAAAAATGTGACCAAATCAAATTTGGATAATTACAAATATTCAAATGTGTTGGCTTAGCAACAGGCCTTTGAACCCACTATTGCTTAATATCTGGCTTATTTTGTACTATTTACCCTTTTTTTTAACCATATGATATATATAGCTTATTTTCATCAATATTTTTTTTAACCTTGCGTACTTTGCAATAGTTACCATGAAATCCATCTATACCAATATTTCGACCTGGGGCAAAAGCCAAGCACACAGACACACTTTCACTAGTCCAACAGGTTTTGTTCCGAGTCCCAAAGTTTTGAAACTGGGGACAATCTTACATCCACACCATCCAACAGTTGGATGGAGAAGTTACAATATTGAGATTTTTTTGTCTATACAATTCAGTATGCATCAAGAAAAGACATTTTCTTGAATTAAGTTTTAAAATTTTGATTGTCTGTGTAAATAGAAATAGGTGTACATATATGAAGAAAACAAAATTCATATGCAGAAATGATCATTAGCATACAAGTAGGAGAATATATAGATCAGAAGAAGTACTTTGTGCAGTAAACAGGAGTATGAGGGGTCAAAAAGAAAAGAAAAAGATTGCAACAATATCACTGTTGGCCACAACTAGTAGGCTTAAAGGACACGGTCTTCTTTTGGAGGTCATCGCCTACCAAGAAATTCATCTGTGCCAAGTTTCCAAAAATGGCAACATTTTCAGACTGGGCAAAAGCAAAGCACACACCACTTTCGCTAGTTCTAACAAAGGTGTTCAATGGATTCAACTTCACATCTGCACCTTTGAAATGTGCTGTGATAATGGGAAGATCGATATCTTCCTCAGTCATATAGCACAAGTTGAGTTGCTCAGGGCCATCGACATGTTCTAGAGGAATTGCCTTTTTCACTGCTGATTCTAACCTAAGGTAAAGATCAGGTGGAAGAATTGTCAATGTTGTTCCCGAGTCTATGATGATGTTACCCTCCTCGGAAGAACCGGAAGCATTTGATAGGAATGAAGAATTGTAGAAGTCCATCCTTTCATTCCCAATTGAAATTCCTTACAATGTTAAGTAGTAGAAGGTGACTGGGGGTTTTGGAACAAGTGGATTAGAAACAACCCCAGCACCTGAAACCACCCCATTGTCACCAAAATTCAATTTGCTAGACTTTGACAACTGAGGAATGGAAGGAACCAAACAATAAGAAAATTTGCCGCCAATAGAAGAGCGCAATTGAGAAATAAGGGAAACATGTCCACCACCAAGGCCAGCAATGCCTGAACCATTCATACTGAATGTACCATCATTGTCATGTCCACACCCAAAAACTATTTTGGGGAGGGACACAGGGCGGCCTTTGGTGGAACCTAAAGTGACAGTATCGGTGGCAAGAACGCCATGACTGTAGGACATATTGCCATGTGACATTGACTACTGTCAACTTCCATGACCTGCTTGGCAAGAGGTTCTTTCAAGGGATGGCATTGATTTGAATGACAAGAAACCTCTTTGAATGTGAAAGAGTTCTTAGGATTAAAGAGAGGAGCCTTTTGCATGTAATAATCGTTACAAGGCTCACATTGTATCCATATAAGATCACTGCCACTATCAGCAATGGCTAATGCTTCAACAGGTGGTGTCCCACTTGATATTTTCATCAGGTATTCCCCGTTAGCAGTGATTATCTAGGTTGAGGCTCCGTTTGGAGGGACTGAAGTTGTAAAGAAATGACTGAGACAGTTCATTGAGTGTTGCAAAGCATAGGCTATGCGTTGTGAATAAGTCAAGGAAGGATTGTAGAATGGAGATTTTGGTGCATGCTAAAACCGCCATTGGAAACATTTTTTTTTTTTTTTTTCCCCTAGTTGGTACTCACACACACATACCTCCAGTGAGGTTTGAACCACTGACCTCCCTTTGGGAAGTAAGGGCTTGGTACCGCTAGGCCACAAGCAATTGGAAGCTTCTATGAGAGAGAATGTTGAGAGAGAGATGATCGATACTGTGCTTACTAATGCAATGGAGGAAAGTGAATGGGATGTTACAGAAGTGGCCATGAGTTGAGAGATGAACAAGTAAGGTTGGTGTGTAAAGAAAGAGACTAGAGAGTATTTATAGGTATAATAGGTTGTTTTTGCAGCATTATGTGATCCCATGACACATTTTCGTGATTGTCTTTTGCAGAATTTATTTCTTATCTATTCACTTGATGAATGGATTTTCATTGATATGAAAAATCAGTGAAATTTTTTACGAGGAAATGTGCATAAGTTGCAGTAGCTAATGCAAAGATTTGGAAATTTCCAACCTAATGTAAACTACGGGAAATCCTTCTTTATGCTCACTTTTGCTATTAACTCCACTTTGATATACTTTTTCTCCATTTTTAGGTTTATGTATTCCACAATTTTGGTTCTTAAATTACTTTGTCAGATTTGACATGAGTACTATATCTGGCGTAAACCAAATATTAGTTTTGATAATTAATTCAAATTTTCCCAAAGTCATAATGTTTTGTTCAAACATTTAGCCAAATATTTATAGACAATATCCTTTTCCCAAATCATAAATCCTGTCAAAACATAATCGTTTTTTCAATCAGGTTGTCTAAACATAATCTTGATCATGCCACTATAAATATTTAATACCAAAAGCAAAGGAACCTTGAGAGGCTGAATAATTGTTCATAAATAGTAAATGATAATGCAAGTACATGTTTCTTTTTTTGGTAAGGTAAAGTAAATGCACATACATGTTCTCAGGATAGTTCCTCATTTGAGGTTATATTAATAGTATATATATATATATATATAAAGCAAAGGGACAAAACTTAAAATCATGAGACATACAAGTGCTGTATAATTACTACACTTCACATTATCTGCTCTGTTTTTCTATATATATGCAAGGAGAGGATATTATTATGCCTATGGATTAGCCGATTAGGTATCATGACTTCCTTTAAAAAAATTAGTTTTTTTTTTTAAATCTTCAAACAAATGAGAACTCAAAATGGTTGAATTTTCAAATTTGTGTAGTGATTTGACCTTTTTTGGCCAAATGTTCTACAAACTTAAAGAAGATATATATGGCGGAGAGAGTATTGGACTTGTAGAAGAAGAACTGAAGGGAAAGAAGTTCTTTGGAGGAGAGAGAATTGGACTTGTAGATATTGCAAGAAAAATATAGCAAATTGATACTATGTTGTGAACAGCAATACAGAGAGCCATAAACAAAGGGAATAGTGATATCACCGTTGGTCACAACTAGCAGGGCTTGAAGGACACAGTTTTCTTTTGGAGGTCATAGCCTACCAAGTAATTAATCTGTGCCAAATTACCAAAAACTCCAAAGTCATTTGTGGACGGGGCAAAAGCAAAGCACACAGCACTTTTGCTCAATTTAACAAAAGTGTTCAGTTGTTTCAACTTCACATCTGCACCTTTGAAATGTGCTGTGATAATGGGGGCATTGATATTTTCCTTAGCATTGTAGCACAACAGGTTGAGTTGCTGAGGGCCACTGACAGGTTCCAGTGGAATTGCCTTTTTCACTGATGATTCCAACCGAAGGTAAAGATCGGATGGAAGCATTGTCAATGTTGTTCCCGAGTCTATGATGATGTTACCCTCAGAAAAACCAGAAGCATTCGATGACAATGAAGAATTGTAAAAGTCCAACCTTTCATTTCCCACAGAAATTCCTTCCAATGTCAAGTGGTAGAAGGAGAGGGGGGGTTTCAGAACTATTGGAGTCGAAACAACCCCAGTACCGGACACCACCTCACCAAAATTCAATTTGCCAGAGTGTTGAGAAGTGGGAGGAACAAAATGGTAAGAAAATTTGCCACCAATAGAGGAACCCAACTGAGAAATAAGGGAAAGTGGTCCACCTCCAAGGCCAACTATACCTGAACCATACTTACTGAATATACCATAATTGTCAAGTCCACACCCAAAAACTATTTTGGGGAGAGATAGAGGCCAGCGAGTGGTGGAACCTAAGGTGACAGTATCATTGGCAATAAAACCAAGACTGATGGACATATCGGCATAAATCATTAAATACCGGCAAATTCCATTATCTGCTTGGCAGGACCACCTTTGAAGAGATTGGCATAAATTTGAATGACAAGAAACATTTTTGAATGTTGAAGAGTTCTTAGGATTAAAGAGAGGATATTTTTGCTTGTAACAATAGTCACAAGGCTCACATTGTGTCCATATAAGATCGCTGCCAGTGTCAATAATGGCTATTGCTTCAACAGGTGGTGTCCCAATTGATATTTTCACCAGGTATTCTCCAATACCAGGGATAATCGCCGTTGAGGCTGCTTTTGGAGGGGCTGAAGTTGACATTAAATGGCTGACACGGTTCATTGAACGTTGCAAAGCATCAGCTATTCGTTGTGAATGAGTCAAGGAAGAATTGTAGAATGGAGATTTTGGCGAGTCTCGGTGGATGAGATCCACGCTAAAACCGCCACTGGAAGCTTCTATGAGAGAGATCATGGATACTATGATTGCCAATGCAGTGGGGAAAAGAGAATGCGATGTTATAGAAATGCCCATATCTCTCTTAGAGATGAACAAGAAGTAGATATAAGGTTGGTAGGTAAAGAAAGAGATTGTAGAGAGTATATATAGGGAGAATAGATAAATTTTACAGCGTAATGTAATGGCATATTGACAAGTCAATGCTAGACTTTATTATTAATATTATTATTATTTTAACAGAAGAGCAATAGAATATATTAATGATTCAACAGATGAAAATCATCTGTTTACATCAATGGGCCACATTTTTTATTCACTTATGCTAGAATAGCTTGACACATTTTTGTGATTGACTTTTTCCAAAATCTCTCTCTTATTTATTCACTCAAGGGGCAGAATAATTGCTCATAGATAGAACATGATAATTTACGTAAATGTTTTTTTATTTTTTATTTTTTGGGTAAGGTGAAGTAAATGCATATACATGTTCTTGGTATGGTTCTTTGAGGGACAATCTCTGTACTAATATTATTATTATTATATATATATATTGGCCAATAAATATATATAAATAAAGCAAAGGTGCATTACTTAAAGTCATGAGACATGAAGGTGCTGTATTACCATACTGTAAATTATGTACTGTCTTTCTATATAGATGGAGAGGAAATCATTATGCATATGAATTATATGTATTAAGATCATGAGATATGAAGGTGTTGTATTACAACACAGCAAATTTTGTATTGACTTTCTATATATATGGAAAGGATATCAGTATGCATAAGAATTACGTATTATGACTTTCTTTCCAAAAAAATTAGTGTTTTCTTTTTCTTTTCTTTTTTTTTTATTTTTTACATTCAGCCAAATGAGAACTCAAAATGGTTGAATTATCAAATTTGTGTAATGATTTTACATATTTTGGCCAAATATTCAACAAAATAGGGAAGTTATATATGTAAATTCCCTTTCATTCAATTGGCCTCCTTGTGACAAGCTAATCACCAAGCTCCAATCCATTCGTGAGGCGTACCTAGCAGCGGCTGCGCCAAAATGAACCATTTTGCGAAGGCTTGTGTGTGATGAACTTTCAAAACTCATACAATCTTGTCAATAAAGATCAAATGGAGCACCTCAGAACAAGGAGTGATGTTTTTATGTGTGCATTGTTTTTGAATAGTTGTATTTGGAATCATTAGAACAGAGGGATTCTGCTTTACATGACTTTATCATCAACAAATCTCATCCCAAATTTTAAATTTTAAATTTTGTTCTAAAAGGATGTGATAAAATCAAAGCTGGCTAAATTATCAAATGTGTCAGGGTTAGTACTAGGCCTTTGAACCCATTATTGCTTAAGGAGCTGAGCAGTGGGAATAAGGCTACTATGTGTAAAACACCTTTGGAGAATTTGTGACCCTAAATACTCTTATAGCTGGGTTAATTGGATTAGAGTTAATATTCTAAAAGGAAGGAGTACTTGGGATATCAATATTCCTCGAGATTGTTCCTGGACTTGGCGAAAAGTTCTTCAAATTAAGAGTGCCTTCAGACCCTGTATTCAGCATGAAGTTGGGGATGGCAGTGAAACTTTCTTATGGTTCGACTATTGGCAACTTTGGACCTAATCTGGGTTACCTAGGACTGGTAAAGTGAAAGATATCCTCCACAATGGGCAATGGATATGGAACATAACTCTTCCAAGATCCATTCAACTTCTATCTTCGCTAAAGAATCTTCCTAAACCTTCAAATTTTAATTCCCTAAGCTCTGATTCAGTTAAATGGTTCTCTACTTCTTCTGCTTGGAAGCTTCTTAATCCTTCTCAATACAGGGTAGGTTGGTCTCATCTTTTATGGTTTTCTAGCCACATATTCCAAGATTTAGTTTCAGTCTGTGGTTGGCTATTCTCTTTAAGCTCAACACTCAAGATCACTTGATCAGACATGGTATTATTTCCTCTATGCCCTGCCACTTCTGTTACTGTCCTATAGAGGATCATAACCATCTTTTCTTTTCTTCCTTCTATACACATCACAAAAATTTACCTTTTATAGTTTCAAATAGCTACCATGAAATTCATCTGTACCAAGAGAAAATGGAACGTTTTGAGCTTGGGCAATAGCCAAGCACACGGACACTTTCACTAGTCCAGCAGTTTTTCCTTCGAAGTCCCAGAGTATCGAATCAGGACAATCTTATATCCACACCATACAATGGTTAAATGGAAGAGTTACAATATCGAGATTTTTTATTTTTTGCAGACATGATCATTAACATAAAAGAAAGAGAGTGTGGATTGTAGATCAGAATTACTATGTGCGGTAAACAAGAGTTGTGGATTTTTTATATAGAGATTTTTATTTTTTGTTTGTGTATAGTAGCTTTTTATTTTATTTTTTGTCTGTGTATAGTAGCTTTTTATTTTATTTTTAACAATTGAATAAGCATCAAGAAAGCATTTTCTTGAATCAAAATTTAAAATTTTGATTGCCTCTGTTAACAGAAAAGGTGTACAACTCTAAAGATAATAAAATTCATATGCAGACATGATCATTAACATAAAAGAAAGAGAATGTGGATTGTAGATCAGAATTATTATGTGCGGCAAACAAGAGTGGCGTGGGGGGGCGGGAAGTACAAGAAACTGTTGGTCACAACTAGCAGGGCTTAAAGGACACAGTCTTCTTTTGGAGGTCATAGCCTACCAAGAAATTTTTCTGTGCCACATTACCAAAAAAGGCAACGCTGATTGGGGTCGGGAAAAAACCAAAGCACACAACATGTTCGTTAATTACAACAAAAGTGTTTATTTGCTTCAACTTCACATCTGCACCTTTGAAATGTGCTGTGATAATGGGGGCATTGAAATCTTCCTCAGTCATGTAACACAAGTTGAAGTTGAATTGCTGAGGGTTTTCGAGAGGTTTTAGAGGAATTGCCTTTTTCACCGCAAATTCTAACCGAAGGTAAAGATCAGGTGGAAGAAATGTGTACGTTGTTCCCGAGTCTATGACAATGTTACCCTCCTCAGAAAAGCCAGAAGCTTTCGATGACAATGAAGAATTGTAGAAGTCCAACCTTTCACTTCCCACTGAAATTCCTTCCAACGTTAAGTGGTAGTAGGTGACTGGGGGTTTCAGAACTATTGGAGTAGAAACCACCCCAGCACCTGAAACCACCCCATTGTCACCAAAATTTAATTTTCCAGAGGATTTAGGATTGGAAGGAACCAAGCAGTAAGAAAATTTGCCACCAATAGAGTAACCCAATTGAGAAATAAGGGAAAGTTCTCCACCTCCAAGGCCAATTATGCCTCCACCAGGGAATACACCAACATTGTCAAGTCCACACCCAAAAACTATTTTGGGGAGAGACACAGACCGGCCAGTGGTGGAACCTAAGGTGACAGTATCGGTGGCAATAAAACCACTGGTGTAGGACGTGTCGACATAAGTCTGTAAATACTGGCAACTTCCGTTATCTGCTGGACAAGACCTTCTTTCAATATATTGGCATAAATTTGACCGACAAGAAACCTCTTTGAATGTTGAAGAGTTCTTGGGATTATAGCGAGGATATTTTTGCTTGAAACAACGTTTACAAGGCTGACATTGTGTCCATATAAGATCGCTGCCAGTGTCAATAAGGACTAGTGTTTCAACAGGTGGTGTCCCAATTGATATTTTCATTAGGTATTCCCCAGTACCAGGGATTAACACCATTGAGGGTGCTTCTGGAGGGGCTGAAGTTGACATGAAATGACTGACACGGTTCATTGAGCGTTGCAAAGCATTGGCTATTCGTTGTGAAGCAGTCAAGGAAGGATTGTAGAATGGAGATTTTGGCGAGTCTCGGTGGATGAGATCCACACTAAAACCGCCATTGGAAGCTTCTATGAGAGAGAATGTTGAGAGAGAGATGATGGATACTGTGATTGCCAATGCAGTGGAGAAAAGAAAATGGGATGTTATAGAAGTACCCATAACTCGTTGAGAGATGAGCAATAAGTAGTTAAGTTGGCATGTAAAGAAAGAGACTGTAAAGAATATTTATAGGGAGAATAGATAGGTTTTACAGCATTATGTGGTTGGCATATTGGGAAGCCAATGCTAGATTTGTTATTATTATTATTATTAACAAGAGCAATAGAATATATTAATGATTAAACAAATGAATATCATCTGTGGTTACTTCAATGGGCCACATTTTTTATTCACTTGTGCTAAATTAGCTTGACACATTGTTGTGATCGTCTTTTCCAGAACTTGTTGATTATGTATTCACTTAATGAATCGATTTTCATAATAATTAATAATAAAAGCAAAAGATTCTTAATTGCTCATAGATAGAACATGATAATGCACGTAAATGTTTTTTTGTTTTTGGTATGGTGAAGTAAATGCACCAACATGTTCTTGGTTCTTTGAGGGACACTCCTCAGATATGAAGGTGCTGTATTCCTATACGGTAAATTATATACTGTCTTTCTATATATATGGAGAGGTATCATTATGCATATGAGTTATGTATTAAAATCATGAGATATGAAAGTGTTGTATTACCATACAGCAAATTATGTAATGTCTTTCTATATATATGGAGATGATATCATTATGCATATGCATTACACGCATTAAAATCAGGAGATATGAGGTGCTCTATTACAACACCGAAAATTATTTACTGTCTTTATATATATATATATATATGGAGAGGATATCATTATGCATATGAGTTGTGTATTATGAGTCTATAAATTTCTTTCCAAAAAATTAGTTTTTATTCTTTAATTTTTTTTAAGATTCATCCAAATGACAACTCAGAATGCTTGAATTTTTAATTTTGTGTAATGATTTTACCTTTTTTGGCCAAATATTCTACAAACTTAAAGAAGTTATATATGTAAATTCCCTTTCTCAGTTGAGCATCCTGTTCAAATGGAAACTTCATTACAAATTTAAAAACCATATATAGGAAATATTTGTATTTCATGATGGTGTTTGTTGGCTTGGGAATAAAGGAAAATACATGGAATCTGATGCTCTGTTTAGTATGAGAGAGAGAAGAAATGAAAGGTAACAGGAAAGGAAATAATTACTCTTGGTAAAAGGACGGAAAATTAACCTCCTTTCATTTGGATGACTAGGAAAAAAATGATAAAGGATTCCAAGGACATTAAGAGAGTTTTATAATACAATTATAATATATATATATATATAAAGATCTTGTTGAAGGACAAAAAACAATGCCCTGAAAAAGAGCATTTCATGTCAAGAAATGAAAACCCTTAAAGTTCCTAGAACCAATCAGTTAGATCCAAGGTTTGCACAAAAAGAATACAAAATTTAGTGCAGTTTAAGAGAAAAATAACCCAATAAACTTTGGCTTCTATTACACTTTCAATTATCATTGAATAAATGGACAGAGATTTTGATTTCATATACGTCCACAAAAGAAGAGAATATATTTCCCTCCACTTTATACATTTCATCACAGACTGAACTCCTCACCTTGCTCACGAGCAATAGAAGCCGAAAGAATTCCAAGATCGCGATTTAAGAATGTTAGTGCAGACTCACATTCAGAAATTATTCTTGTGATCGAAGAGGGCTCACCAGCTATTGTTTCGGATGAACCAACAGCCACTGCAGCATGCGAATCTCGAAGATTCCTCAAGTTCCCTAAGAACTGTGACAAAACAAAGAATGTCTTTTTACTTATTCATGGCGAAGCTTACCCCTCTTGAAAATACCAAAGTTAGCAGTCTATGGTGTAGAACTACTAAACATGGTATTACATTATGCCAACTTTTAGCTGCCACAAATCATTTACCAAATAATTGTAAGTTTTTTACACTTTATACTTTGGTTTCTTCAACAAAAGAAAATAGGCATGGATTTCACTTGTTTTCAAATCACTTAAATATGATTGTGCATATATTTGCAGAAATGTTATAACCAGATGTTCTATACTAAATCTATGAGTGTCCATGCGGGTTTAATATTTTATATTTTTTTTTTAAAAAAAAAGTGCTTAAAATAGGCAAACTTAATTAGATCATTGTAAATTCAAGATAAGCTTAACTAAAAAAATGTTGGGAAACAAATTCCATGGATTATAATTCAAATATTATGTAATATAGCAGTAAAGTAGTAATGCAATAAACTAGACCGTGTTATATTTGGTAGGTGATGACATATAAGAAGTTATATATTTAAGATGGTTTTATTGTTCTTATTTTTCAAATCTTTTTATTAAATTGGTCGAATCTTTTGAGCCTTATATCTACCGTATTACTGCATATCACCCAATATCAATCTAAGAGGCTGCGATGGAATCGTCTCAAGAGTGGGTAAAGTCAGCGATTGATGACATTTCATCATCAGCTAATGTCTAACATTGCCTAGCAGGAAAACAAAAAAATACATCCAAGTTTTGCAGTGTTACCTTCAAAAGCATTTTGTATGCCTCCAACAAGCGATTAGCAGCAGGCCCGAACCCATGAAGTTGCGGTACCTCCATCATGTGCGTCCAGGGACGAATTTCCTACAAAACAGAAAAACATGATGCCTTGTTTGTAATTACTTAATACATACACATGCACATATGCACTATGCAGTACATGCTGGTAATCTCATGTATATACATGAGCATACTGCCCAAACCCAAACAAACAAAGAAGAAGAAAAAGAAGACGCAGATAGACACACTGCTTTATGAGATAGTACTAGTCCCAGAGATTCTTTAAAATCGAGGTAATTTTCAAAAAACAACATGACTAGCAGGAATTCTGACTAGATCAAGTCTCACCTTTGTGTAAATCATATTGAAGGATCTTGCAGTTTCTAGAAAGGATTCCAAATGCGCTCGCAGTTTCAGTTCCACCTCAGTGTATTCCTCATCTGGGTTGTAAGCATGCTAAATGCAAAAAACAATTATAATAGGAAAGGACAATTAACCAAAGCAATTAAGAAGAATATAAAATAAGCAAAGAGAGATATAGAGAAAGATACAGATATTTTCCTTTTATTTGATGAAGAAAAGAAAAGAAAAAAAGAAAGAGGGAACAAAAAAAAAAAAAAAACAAAACAAAAACAAAAACAAAAACAAAATTTCAAGCCGAGTAACTACAAGTGGGCATGCAGTAGGTATAGCTGAAGATCCGGTTCCTCCCACCCCCCAACTCCTTTTTCTTTTATTCTTTTTTGCCTTTGTTCTTTTCTCTCTGGTGGCCTGAAGGGGAGAGTGGTTGAAGGGAAGGAAAACAGCCACCCAATATGGGACATGGATATCGCGGGGACGCGGCAACCCAGAAAATCCTAAAAAATTAGGACACCGATACAGCGGGGCATGGTGAATAATAAATATGTTATATATATGTGTGTGTGTGATGTTATACTTTAACAAATTAAGAGTAATATTATTTTTTATCAACCTAATATTGAAAAAAAAAATGTGTTTTGCTGGGAAAAAAGAAAGATGGCTAAGAAAGAGAAAAAAACAAAGAGAATTAGGGTTTTGTTCAAAAAAAAAATTAGGCCTTACTTAAAAATAAAGGTAAGAATATATAAAAGAGAAAAAGTTCATGGAAACAAGAGGGAAAAGGAAAAAGAAAAGAGACAAAAAAAAAAAAAAAAAAAAAAAAAAAGGAGAGAATTTTGTTGTGAAAGGAAAAAAAGAAGTATCTAGGGTTTGTGAAGAAGAAGAAGAAGAAAGAAAAAAGGAGATAGAGCGACGATCCACCAACAGCGAAGCTTGGCCGATGGGAGACCAAGAGAGAGCCAAAGTTGATCGTGCAAGAGTTTGAACCTTAATCTGAACTAAAATATAAGCCTAAATATCTAATTATTTTAATATAAACTTGTTTTATAAAATATCAACTTTTAAATAATTGTGTAATGGACACCATATTATTGAAAGTTATTAAACAACTCCTCATATTTACACTTCAACTCAGCTTTCTTTATAAAACTTTCTTAAAAATCCCCAAGAATGTGACACGCGAGTCGGACACATATCCATAGCATGTTGAAGGTACGTCCACGGCTTGTCCAAATATTTAAAATAAGTAAGTAAATAAATAAACATGTTTTTTGGCGTGTCCGACCCGTGTAAGGGTGTGTTCAATGCGTGTCGGTGTCCAACACGGATGCTTTGCCCATTTAGCCGTGTTTGTGCTTCCTATGATGCAACACATCAAGAAGTGTGAAGAATGTTAGCAATTATACAATAAGTATAACATATTCTCAAGTTCCAAGTTATCAACCAAACTATATACTTCTGTGAATAAGATGTGGAATTTCGAGAATGAAACTTGACGATTAGTGAATAAAATGTTGTCATTAGGTTTGTAAAACATTTTTAATACTAATAATCGAAGGATGTTTAAGCATAGAAGATAGGGATGTGATATTTGCACCCCACTTTTGTACCCTTACAATCTACTTGATTTTTTCAGTAAAGGAAATAGCAAAATTACCCCTCAAAAGTCGAGTGCAAGAGTACTTAAAAAAAAGTGAGTGTAAAATTATAAAATTAGAGTGTGAATATCATTTCCCATAATATAAGTGTAAGATTATCAAGAGAGTCCTCTGATGACAAGAGCCACTAGTTCTCTTTTTTAATCATTGGACTGTACCTTCTGGGGAAAGAAAAAATAAAAAATAAAATAATTGGGCTGAGGAATTTTATGAAATCTGTGAAAAATCAAATGAATATTTTAATAAATCTCTCAATCCAATTGTCAACGAGAGGACATAACTCTTGTCATCAGAGGGCTTTCCTGAAAGCATACACTAAGATAAAGCAAGTGTGGAAATATAAGCTAGTTGAGAAATTAATCTTAGAGAGAGAAAGAGAAGAATAGACTTTTCTATTTTGCAGTGAAAATATATAATGTTCTCAAGTTCACAAAATAAGGAAAACATAGATAACAAAATATAAATGAGGAAAACAACATTTTATGGAAATCAATAATTATGCCCCTAATTGAGGAATATTACAACAAGATTATGTATGCTACCATCGATAAAGCACCTTAGGTGAAAAAGGAGAAGATTATGTATGCTAAGTGAAAATTTCAAGTATTATTGTGGACTTTCCAACATTTGGTAATGTTAAGAATGCCCATCAATGTGCGGGCACTTTGTGAAAGTGTGAAATAAATTGACTGCAAAATTGTCATCAACAATTGTCCTTAATTGCACTTAGGTGAACAAATTTTTCAAAAGTGGCCTTCGGGGTGAAAATTTTTCTGGAGTGGGAGATAAAAATTGAATCGCATGGGAATTGTGTAATATGGATCTAAGTCAATTGGAATGCAAAAGATGTAGGACAGCCCCTTTTTAAAGTAAATGTGATAATAACATATCAGGGGAAAAAAAATGAAAATGTGATATAGCAATATGCAGATTAATTTAATATCAAAATTTAACCTAGAAGTAGCTCCATTCCAAAGATAATTATGAAGGCAAGCAGACGGTGGGTTGAGGAGTTGGGACTTACCTTTGATGCCAAATCATCAACCATCTCTTGGAGATTCAAGAGCCTATTTGATTGATCTGAAAGCTGTTTTTCCAAATCAGAAATGTCTGGCCTGCAAATGAACTTCGATTAAAGGGACAGAAAGTTACTACATCTGGTGAAAAATGAAATTAAGTATTATGTGGTGTTTTGCATGTAAACACAAACTCGATTTCCGCAACATGAAAACAAATTGAAAATGGGAGAAACCTACTTTGTGTATTGATCTCAGCTGATGAACCAAGCATAAACCACAAATTAAGCACAAAATAACCAAATTAAAATATACATTTGGGAGAGGGGGAGGAGTGGAGGTGACAGCACTCGGTGTCTGTTACAGCCCTGGCGTTTCATAATTTCTGACTGTAAGGTTTCAAGTTAAAGTGCATACTTATAAACACATATTAACATCAGTCTAATAATATACTATATACTCCACTTTTCAAAATTATAAAAAATAATTAATATATATATATATATTTCTTGTTTTCTTTCAATTCATGCTATATTTATGTGTTTTCTTAATTTCTTGTTATATTATAAATTTTCAAGCAAATTTGCTCATAGCATCTTCTTCAGAATCCACTGATGTGCCAAATGCCTAATCTTTAAAGACCTTGAAAGCAGAAGTGCCTTTACCTACCGTCAAAACACAACCTCACCAGTGGACAAAACCTACTTAACATCCTTGAACAAGTAGTTTGCCCAAACTCCAGCCATATTTAAAATTTTCATCAAATTTCGCAGGAAACTTCACATCTTGTGGACCCGAAATAACAAGGAAAAGCTGTAGAAAAGTGATCTGGCTTAATGATCTTCAAGCTTTTGAGGAGAAAAACAGCATGAAGATTTTAACCCTTTGGTAGGAAAAGATTAAAAGTTCTGGATCAAGTTGACGTGAAAATGCATTTGATGTTTGACCGACTTCCAGAGATCATTTCTTGGCAGGCTTTGTTGCTTGCTCAATAAGGTGTGGTTGTTATGACGGCTGTCCACAAATGAGTCACTTTCATATTGTTCCCCTCAAGTTTAGCCAGATTCTAGTATTTCCTAATTGCATGTAAATTCCAATAAGAATATTATTTTACACGAAAAAGAAAAACTGATGCTGAGCAGCAATTTAGGGAATTCATAACTAGACTTTAGAATTTATGAACATACATGTGTCCCCCGTGACATACTGAAGAACTTCATTATGGATGATCTGGACACTGGTTTGTCATCATAATACAAGCACATAGTATATTTAAAAATTATAAATCAATTGTAATATAATTTTGTTTAAATATTAGTCATAGTATACATACCTTGAAAATTTTCAAAAAATGTGAAAAACTGATAGTTTAGATACCTTGAAAAAATCTGAAAAACTGATATGAGATGATAAATATATAGAAGAAAATACGATAAATTACAGTTAAAAAGAGGAGATACTTCATCAATTGTTTCAGTTTTTCAAAAATCTAATTTTTGGAAAATTAAAAAATAAATAAAAAATTGAGTACTTTGATTCCACTTTGCGAAAGATATATCATTATTACCTAGATGAAAGATTTTAAAAATACTAATGATTTTTAACTAAACAAAATCTCTCAAGTTTAAACTAAACAAAATTATTACTTTAGTAACTTATATACATAGTTATAGAATTTTTCATTTAGCAAGTGACAATTAAAAGTACTAGCATATATGATGTTGTTGTTGTTGGTCTCACAATACTTTAGTTTATCCTTCTTCCCAATACTTGTAGGACCTGTCAATGGAGATTGGTATATAATTCAAGATATTTTTCTTGTAAACACCATTTTACAAAAATGTTTGACAAAAAAAGGTTCATGTATTTTTATTAAACTTGAGAGAAAATTAGTGATTTTTCTCATTTTTACACTCTTAAATTAATATAATGGATATTGTACATATGTATATGTAAATGAAATAACGATGTGCTGCGGTTAGGACTATAATAATAATGAACTTAAATTTCTATTTCACACTATTTGAGCTTTCAAAAGTATAGCTAAAAGGGTATAAGTTAAAATTTCTATATGTTTCAATGGGACAATAGCTAAATTTATTTTCAAACTCTCTATTTTGGAACCAATGTTAAGTGTTTTGGAAAAAAAAATGGGGGGCCAACTGAAAGTTTAAATGAATTTTAGGAATACTATTTATAAATTAATTATTATTTAGGGGTAGTAATAGAATTTGAAAAAAAAAAAAAAAAAAAAAATTTTTTGGGGGGGGGGGGGGGGTGCCTACCTCTGCCCCTGGCCCCCCAAAATTTTTTTATACCCCACAAAAAATTTCAACCCCCCCCCCACCAAAAAATATATATATATATATTTTACTTATTTATTAGCCCAAAAAGAGTGAGTTTGGAAATAAATATGACTTGTATTTTTTAAATTCATAGAAATTTTAACTTGAACTCTTTTAGCCTTACTTTTGAAGTCCAATTTTGTGAAACAAAAATTTAGGTTCATTTTTATGGTAGACCTCACTATAACATATCATTATTACATTTAAATTTACAAATATACACACATATATAATATCTATTACACAAACCCAAGATAAAACCAAGAATCACGACAAAAATAAACACTCTACACAAAGATTTAGCGTGGTTCGGCAAAGCCTACATCCACGGTGGAGATCTAACGAAAGTTTTCATCATGCGAAATTCTAGAGATTACTAGTTTTAGCCCTTCACTCTCTTTCTCTGCGATTTTTAGTGTCTCGACCTCCCGCATTCCAAGCCCTAAATGCCCTTACATATCAAGTTACAAGAGAGTACTAATTAGGGTCCACGACCCACAAGAAAGAAAAAAAAACTGGTCAAAATTTTTCATTGGGTCAAAGCTCATCCAACAGGTTGTCGGGTCGCAACATGACCCGGTACCAAATTCGGGCCATAACATCACAATATCGATTATATAAATTCAAGAGAGAAAAAGAGAAAATTACTCTAAAGTCCTCACATGTTTAATAAAGATACATGAACCTTCCTTTTTAGACAATTTTGTTAGATAATGTTTACCAAAAACAAAAATTATCTTAAAATATATGCTAATCTTTATCAGCGAGTTTTTAGAGCACTAAAAAAAAGGAAAAACTAAAGTGTTATGATACCAAGATAGCAAAAATGCCAATAATAAGGATAAAATATATGTTAACATTTATAGTTGTCACTTGTTAAATGACAAATTCTATAACTACTCACTCTCACTCTATAAGTTATTAAACTACTTCTCTATTTTGTTCCTAATAATCGTGTTTTATTTAAGCTTGCGAGATTTTATTTACTTAAAATGGTACATTTCTCTTTTTTAAACAATTCCTCAAGGTAATAATGATACATCTTTCCCAGAGTGAAATCAAAGTACATTGATTTTTTTTTTGTTTTCAAAAAATCAATATTTAGAAAATTGAAACAATTGTTGATAAATGTTTTTTCTTTACCACTCCTCTTTTTACATATAACTTATCGATTCCTCTTCTCTATGTATTTTATTTTTCGTATCAATTTTCCATCTCTATTTATTTTAGTTTCATTTTTCTCATTTTTTGGATTATATTTTCCTTAACAAATATACCAAGACTAATATTATAAAAATAATAATAATAATTACATAGTTATAGTTTGGCCCCCCAAGACAAAATTTCTGGCTCCACCCCTGAATTCATGTAACATAACCTCAACTGTGACAATTTAAAAGACTATGAGCCAAATCACATGTTTTCTTTTGCATGTGATCTTGAAATAACTAATTGCTCTTCACTTCTCCATGCAATTAAATTACCATCAATTTCAGTGCAAACTAGTTCTGTGCCAACCCACTGGCATATATAAATGTTCAATTAATGCGACTGTACATCAAATACATAGTCCCGTCACATAAGAACATTGAACCACCCTAAAATAACATGCCCTCAAGTAACTTGGATAAGCCAAATATCTTCAATTGTATGGTGCAGCTTGGTATCTCCAAATTACCAACATGACAAGTTATAAATTGCATATATGTAAATGATACAGTGCACTCAACTGTAAACTAAGACCATGAAAGACGTAAAGATAGAAAGGATTCCTTACAGTGGATATATGTTTTGAATCTGCACATCTGCAGGGAACAACTTGCACTCCTCGGAGAAAATTTGAGCTTGTTTCTCAGCAATAGAATCAATTAATTGTATGTCCTTTGTTACTTGTTCATCAACACTACATAAACAGAAACAAACCAAAAACAGGTTGAGAGTACTCTTGGAAACCAAAGGAACTAAGGTAGCAAGAAGTGTAGAAAATAAATCTGATCATAGAGAAACCAACAATTACAATGGCAATGGAAATCAAGAACAAGTTATCTAACCTCCAATCTGGATTATCAGCGTAGATACTCGCCTCTACAAGATCTACAATGAGACGAAGCATTTCAGTACGATCTTCATAGCTTCCTCGTCCCTGCAACACACAAGTAGCATACCTTAAGGAATGAACAAGCACAATGCACTATCAACAAAATTGTCACAAGCCTCAGCATAACATTCTTGGGCTGTGGTTGCAGTAAGACTGCAATAACATATCAAGCAGCCACCATAGCTTGCAACTGTTACAGCCACTAGGCCCACTACAACCACTTTCAGCATGTGAAGAAGAAATCTTTTAAGCCCGATTTTACAATTCTTTTTGCCAGAGTTTCCTCCAAATCTACTAAAAATGCATTTTTGAACTCAGACCTATCAAATTGACCAACAAAAGAATCAAAATTTAATAATCAGAGCTCTCAAAGGATCGAAAATAGAGATGCCAAGAAGGAGACTTATTTTTACTCAAAAGTTCCCCCCTTTGAGCCCAAATTAAGATGTATGTGCAGTTGATACAAATATTCACATCCCACTATCATAAGGATAACTCGAAAGCAGCTATTACTTGTTGATACAAATGAGAATACTAATTTATAACCAAAGATATATGTCCAGTAGTATATAGCTCTATCATATGTGAGAGAGAAAGAATTATAGTCACATATTCACTACAAATTTACCAAAATGCATATAACATACCCAAAAGCAACTAACATTAACAAAACAAAATATACAAGGGATCTAAATGACTCACTTGGATGGCCTCTGTATCAATAGTAGTTGTTATACCCAAAAACTTTGCAATCTCTGCTAAATCTGCAAAAGCAGGTCATTATTTGTAATGGAAAAAAAAAATGCTAAACAGACTTAACAAATTAGCACCTTACAAACTTAACAAATTAGCCCCTTTAAAAGTAATAATCAGCTCAGAAATGGGGATTTTCTTTCAACTAGTATATTAAAACTGAAAGACAGCAAATCAAAGATGCTAGTAAGATTTATAAGATCGCAGATCCATTAGCAAACCCAATTGACCCAAAAGGGAATTATACTCAAATATCTCAAAGCATAAACTAAAATTTTCAACTTTAACAGTCTAAGACTTATATATTGCTAAACAGACTTAACAAATTAGCCCCTTTAAAAATAATAATGAGCTCAGAAATGGGTGTTTTCTTTCAAGTAGTGTATTAAAACTGGAAGACAGCATACAATCAAATATGCTAGAAAGAATTATGAGATCATAAACCATTAGCGAACCCAATTGACCCAAAAGCCAGTATTATAAATTATACTCCAAAATCTAAAAGCACAAACTAAAATTTGCAACTTTAACAGTCTAAGAATCATATAGGGAACTAAGAAAAAAGGGTTTACATTGGATGCGAGCGGTTTCTTCGTCGCGATCCATGGCGTCTCCTTGTAGGTTTTGTTGAGAGAAGGGGGACTTATCGCCTAATAGCCTGCAATTCAGGTTATAAAATAAGACGAAAAACAATATAATCACAAAGTGTGTGTTCGTGTGTGTTTTAGAGAGAGAAAGTTGCACAGAGAGAGGGGGGACCTGAAGAAGAGCCATTCCAGAAGGGCGTAACGCTCCATGCCGGCGAAGAGGAGAGACTGAGCAGGAGCATTGGCTCTCGGGTAATTCAACATTCCTAATTTCCTCTGTATCTCTTCCATTTGCTTCGCCGCCATTTGATTCACTCTCTCACACACACTCTCTCTCTCTTGATTGAGCCTTATATTACTACAATTGTGTTCTCTGCGTCGAATTGTTTTTGAGGAATTGATCAAATTTTTACTTTAGCAGAGGGAAGAGAGAGAATTTCTTGATCTCTTTATTTGCGAATTTGAATTTTGTTTTATACAAAAACAAGAAATACATTATAAAGTCACTTGGTCCATTAGACTGAAGTAAAAGCCCAAACTCACTGGGCCTTTGGGCTCTATTTTGCATTCTAGTTAATGGAGAGAACCCACAAACTATCGTAAATCATCAGATTCGATCCGATTCGATTCGACATGTAGTTTTTTAATTCGTTGATAACTCGGTAACGACTTAAAAATTTTTTAATTCGTTGGGAACTGATTGGAATAGGATTAATGCCTAATCCGATCCAATCTGATCCGTGGCCATCCTTACCTATTTCTAAGGCCAAAAAGTCTACTCGAAAAAGTTCTCGTTTTTTCATTTTTTTTACACACCGAGAAAAAACAATATCATTCAACCGAAAAGAAGATACAACTAGGAAATAGAGCATTCAACAATTACTGGAGTCAAATGCTTCACTCAACGTTATCACATTCGATTATAAGAACCTTCTTACTCAGAGCCAATACTTTCCTCTGCGCAGAGCCCACACCAAGGATGAACCCATGCATTCCTTGAGAAGAAATGAGACATCATCGAAAACTATCATGAGAGCTTCGACTTTGGGGTGGGGACTTGATCCTAAGGAGCCACCTTACAAAAATTGAATTATTTTTTTTATTTTTATTTTTATTTTTATTTTTTTCATGTGAGAAACCACATGTCCGATGGAGTAAGACACGTAACAACAAAAGTAGATGTAAAAGAGAAGTAAACTCTAAACCTTCATCAACCCAGCTGATAGATGCTTCTTTTGAGTGTCACTTATTAACTTGCAACAAACTTCTAAAAAACAACTTCTTTTTTTAAATGTGATAATTTTACCCAAAAAGAAAAATCAATTAGTGATGGGATGCTTTTTTTTTTATATAGTCTTATGCCTCACATAACGTCTCCCACCTGTTTAGACATGTTTTAAAAATCATAAAATATGGTCTAGTGAAAATGACTTTAATGGCCTAGTGGTGAAGCCTACATCTCCAAAAATAAGAGCTGGATTGGGAGCATGCCTAATCCATTGGGGGACTAAAATGGAGGAAGAATATATGGCAAACAATTCACATAATGCACATATATGTTAGTAACAGAAATTCCCTTTTACTTGGAATAACATGATGAGGAGGGAATCACGAGCTAAAATGAGAGAAGGATTAACCAACGAATTTAAAGTATTTAAAATGTAAGATTTGATAAGATATGACTTGGTTATTGTCATGAACGTATTATGAGAAATTATTAGATGGTCCTATAATATATAGTTCAATCTAATTAGAACTCCCAAATTAAGAAAAATCAAACATGATAAAATTGTAATAAGACCTTTTAAATAAATTTGATCATGAATTTGTTTGGACTGAATCATCAAATAATCTATATTCTAAGAAACTGGGTCCTCTCTCGTTTAGGGAATTTTGTGCACTCATCATCATGTGTCATGGTATGACACACTTGCATCACAATGCAACACAACAACTATATCACAAAATGCAAATTTCAACAACAATCTAACATTTATGTAACACATTTATATTGAATATACAATACCTACGAGGCACACAATATATGACATAGTGTTGCAACATTATAACATCACAAATCGAAAACCTAGCACATTTACATAATTATTGCATTGTTGATTTAAAATTATTGAATTAATGATTTAAAATTATTGCGTTCTTAATATAAGTTGTTACATTAGGCACACAACGAAAATAACACAAGAGAAGATCTGGATTCATAATCCAAGACTATCCAATAATTTCTAAAGGAGTGATAGGATCTATGCTAGCTCTTCATTGGTTATATAAGATTAGAGCAAATTCCTCCAAGAAATCACCATTATTTTTGGCTAAAAAATTCTGACCCATGGGCCTTTGAAATGTTGGTTTCCCAGTAGTTAATATCATTAAGGGGCAAACTCACCACACGAGGTTCTCACATTGCGAGATGCACAGAAGGTTAGATGTTTGCAATCATCCCTTCACATACAGGGAGGCTATTACCTAGTGCATTAGGCTCTCATCATTATCGGGTTCTAGGGAGGAACGTAGCTTATCTTTGCATGCAAGGATGTTGGTTCTTTGTTTTTAACCCATCATCTTCCGGTCATGGTTCGTCGTATCGGTTGATACGTTGCGTATCGACCAATTTGTAATGTTTTTCAGTGATCCGATACCGTTACACTCCTCTATGAATCGCTCGGTTCGACCTATTTACATCGATATTCGTCCGAGTCTATTACACTATAACCATGAACCATGTTTTCAGTCACAATGGAGCAATTTTACGATCTCAAAAATCAATCCTATTAAAAAAAGAGAAAAAGAGAGGGAAAAAAGGAGAAAAAAACGCACGTGCCTAGCATGCGTATGTTGGTGGATGCTTGGATATATAATTGGATGGAGGAAGTACATCAGTGGACCTACTAGTGGTCCAGTAGGTAGATGCCACTTGTTCCAGAAAATGACAAGAAATCCAATGGCATTTGTGCTCTTTAACGCATGAAAATTGGACTTTATAGTGTTGTCATGTTACCTTTATACTAGACCAGAGAAGAAGGAAAGAGAAGCGGAGACACAAAATTAAACTCACAGCAGGGTTTTATGTACTGTTCACTTAGTGAGGAGCTCTCAGCCACCCAATAAATATCCTCCTCAATCATCATTCTTCCACCTTTTACTCCTCCTTAATCTGTGATTCTCTCTGTCTCTCAAGATGGTCGCTTTAAATCTTCTTCCATCCTCAGGGGTCACTTTCTCCAAATCAAACCATAAATGTCCCATAAAGACTTCGCTTTTGGATCCAAATCTTGTTAACAGGTCTCAAAATCAAAGAAACCCAAGCTGTCCATCTCTTCCATTCAAAAAACCCACCTCTCATTTTACTGAATCTTGCTTCAAAATTTCCAACCATGGTCACTTACTTGGATTTTCCTCAAAACCCACTTCTCAGATCTCTCTTTCAATCAGAGATTTCACTAAAATCTATGAACACCCAATTGGGTTTTCTCCAAAACCCACATCTCAAATCGTCAGAGCAGCATCTGATACCCCACAGGAAGCCAACCCAGATGGAGAAACTGAGGTTTCAAAGCCAAACAAAACCCTAAAACTCGTTCTTGTATTTGGGTTCTGGTACTTCCAGAACATTGTGTTCAACATCTATAACAAGAAGGCCTTGAATGTTTTCCCTTTCCCTTGGTTTCTGGCCTCTTTCCAACTCTTTGTGGGGTCTGTTTGGATGCTCTTTCTCTGGTCATCCAAGCTCCAACCTTGCCCCAAAATCACCAAGCCATTCATTGTTGCCCTTCTTGGACCTGCTCTGTTCCACACAATTGGCCACATCTCAGCTTGCGTCTCATTCTCTAAAGTGGCTGTTTCTTTCACTCATGTCATCAAATCTTCGGAACCCGTTTTCTCCGTTGTTTTCTCATCATTTCTAGGTGATACTTACCCTATAAAGGTCTGGCTTTCAATCCTCCCCATTGTTATGGGTTGTTCTCTAGCTGCAGTCACTGAAGTGTCATTCAATTTCCAAGGCTTGTGGGGGGCTTTGATTAGTAATGTTGGGTTTGTTCTTCGAAACATTTATTCGAAACGGAGTTTGCAGAGCTTCAAGGAAGTAAATGGGTTGAATTTATATGGTTGGATTACTATAATTTCATTGTTCTATTTGTTCCCAGTCGCAGTGTTTGTTGAAGGGTCTCAATGGATTGAAGGGTATCGAATTGCAATCCAAACTGTGGGAAAGCCATCCACATTTTATCTATGGGTGATGTTGTCTGGGGTGTTTTACCATCTCTATAATCAGTCATCTTACGAAGCACTTGACGAGATTAGTCCGTTGACTTTCTCGGTTGGGAACACAATGAAGAGGGTGGTGGTGATTGTGTCTACTATTTTGGTGTTCAGGAATCCGGTGAGGCCTTTGAATGCGCTTGGATCTGCCATTGCAATCTTCGGCACTTTCTTGTACTCGCAGGCAACATCGAAGAAAAGTGGAGGTGAAAAGAAGAGCTAATGATAATTTTGTTGATCTAATTTCATTTTCGGATTTATTTGATTTGATAACATTGAAATTTATCTGGTTTTCTTATTTTAAGCTATGAATTCAATGGGTTTCAGAAATTTCTTGTCCTGATATATGCTCTCTTTGTTCATCATAATGCTGCTTCTTTTTGTTTGTTGTCTCTACTAAAAGCAAAAAGAATCTAAAAAAAGTTGTTAAAACTGACCTAGGTTCTAACTGCAATTCCAAGGGACTAGTGTATTTGCTTAGTGGAAGATTCCACAAATTAGTGTGAGATTTGGTTAAAAGACCAAAGGGAGGCTTATCCATTATAGAGTTATCAATTTGACATCTTTCCAACTTAACCACGATTTGCCCACTTATATCACTTGCGAGTGCCTAAAATTTTTTCACAGGTTCTTCCAGCAGCACCAAATTTTTTTTTTTTTTTTTGATGTGTTCAGAAATCATTTTGTGTTCTGTCATCATTGTGCCCCCTTTTGGGAGGGTTAAACATGAAAAGAAGGGATGCATTAGTTTTCTTCAATCCGTTAGTTCCGAGTATTCCTATGTCTGCACTTTAGGTTCTTGCATATGTTGCCCTTGGCTAAAAATTTAAGAATATATATAATTATATATATCTGAAACAAATTTCTGTGGCTGCTGAATTATGGTTGGTGAATGAATGTTGACCTGTTGAATTGGGTTGGGTCTAATAGTGTCTAATTTGAATGGCTCTTGTTAAGTAGCAATTGGAAGAACTTAGCTACAAATAATCATTTCTATAAGGTGTTAGCTGAAACCTGCCCAATCCAGATACGTGTGAAACTTTTTTTAAAAAAATTTAAAAACGTCAAGAAGATTTTGAGAGTGAACTGCCAAAAATAATCAATTAGCATTTGCCAATCAAGTTACCTAAATTTGAGCTGTTTGTTTTTTTATTTTTTTAAATGGATCCAATTGTTGTGGTCTTGTTTGGGTGGGTTTTATGCTTTTGTTTACAGATCCATATTAGATTTTGCAGCTCTACTGATACGTGTTGCAGGATTTGCAAGTTGTTTTCGATTTGAATCTATCTTGTGTTTATCTCAATTGCAATTAATGCTTGTCTACTGCTGTTCATGTCTTCAAGAATATGTCTGTTCCAATATTATTCTGTGCTATTTAAGAATTGTTTTCTCTTTAATTTTGTTTTCTTTTGGAACATTATAGTACCTAGTGATTGAGTAACTCTTTCTGGGACTTGGATCGATAAATTTTTTATGCTTTGTTATTAACATCAGAAACAACTAAGAAAATTGAACCAAGATTTTCTCAAATTCCACCAATTCCAATTCCAATGCTCCAATTCCATGCAGCCAAAGACACACTAAATATTATTCTTTCTCCTCTATAAATACTTGCTTAAATTGAGGGATTTGATTCCAACTTTAGGACAACTACCTAAGAACTTTGCCAAGAAGTTAAGCTGATGCCTTATTCTCTCAACTTCTTTAGTATATAACAATTAGTATGTGTCTCCTTCATCTAACTATTTTTTTTTTTTTTTGATAAGTATCTCCTTCATCTAACTATATGAACTATTTTTGAGACTTGTTAGTTTCTCAGTGAAATCCTAATACATCACTGAGCTTAATTACAAAATTTAGTTCCCATCAAGATGGATCGAGGTCATCTACTCAGAGAATTGCATCCGATTCCGGTTCCTCTCGGACCGGTCATAGGCACCCTTTGTTCTTAGGAAAAGCAAAAAGCTAGAAGCTAAGCCCAACAAGGAGAAGCACCCCCACCACACAAATGTCTCAAAGTAACATTTCCTACCCATGCAAATTGAGACCTCCGTTAAAGCCACTTGGTTTGAGCTTTTTGCGTTCCCATCATAGACTATGGCTGCCATAAGACCGTAGAGGAGTGAGCCGAGCGGAATGTTGGTTATGAGTATGTTGTGGTTGACCCCGGCACTGTTTGGTCCGAATAGCTCCGATGTGATTGACACAGCTGCTGAAAACAAGAACCCGGAGCTAAGTCCAATCAAGCTTGTGCCAGCAGTTAGTGCTGTCTCACTGCCTGATAAAGCAAGCCAAAGGAAGGCGATTGGCATCGGTACAAGTGCAATGGCAAACCACCCAGTCCTCGCAAAGTACAGCTTGCTGCATCAGTAAACACTTTTAGTGACTGCACATAGGATAATAGGTTCCGTTTTCAAAGGAGTTAGATAGTCATTCTTCAATGAAATTTCTTGATAAACACTGAAGAAATTATCATTTTTGTTCGTGAATACTTACTCTTGTAGGAAGACTGGGGCAGACGAAAACAAACGACCAAAAAAGGAGCATGCTGAGTAGAGTGTAACAATCGTGCTAGTCCGTGTACCGTATCCAAGAGATTCTGAAATCTGCCCTAGATTATTACTATAAACCAGCCCAATTGTTCCCCCACAGAAATATGCAATGTAATAGAGCCAGAAATCCCAGCGACGCACAAGCATCCGAGCTGTGTGTTCCTCTCCGAGCACTGCCAACTGATTCTTCCCTAACAATGCGTGAAAACACCCTTCCTCCTCTCTTGAACTGTTTGAATTACCATTCAAGATACCTTCTGTGATTGAAGTCTCATTTCCGATAAGTTCTTTATGTATCTCAAGATCATCAACGTCAACTAATTTGAAAATGCCGTCGTCAAGGCAAAATTTTGAGTAAATGGTTCGAAATGCCCATTCCCGGGCACAGACAATGCCAGGCGTAACCAAGGGGAGAACTAGTAGAATTATGGCTCCAGCTAAGAGAATGCGCGCTATTGATGCATTGGATGATACTGAATCGAGGAGGAGGAGATATAGACCTGTAAATACAGCTATGACATTGAGAAAGAGGAATATGACAGTGTCATGACGAACAGTATCAGCTGGAAGGACTTGTAGTTTGGGTTGGCCGAGGATCGGGACTAAGGCCACCACTGATGTGATAAGGGGGACGAGGCCATTTAGAAGAAGATACAGGGTGTAATTGGTGGAGTTTATGGCATTGGCAATGAGTGTGTATAATGCTGCACTTACGCCATTGAAACTGATGCTGAGTGACAATGCCAGTGGCCGATTTGCTGGGAAGTTTTTGATGCATAAAACGTAACATACCGTGTTGAACCAGCAGATGCTACAACCAGCCAACAAACACAGAAAAAATACCTGCCAAGGATTAAAGTTGCACCATATTTAGCAGGAAAAACATTGCAAACAAGTTGATATATGCTGCTACTTTCTTGGTTCATATAGCTAAAACTGAGGTCATAAGGATGTGTTTGGATGCGACTTTAAATAGGAGGCTGCATAACACTTTACATGAAACTTTGCCATGAAAAGGCAGCTTGTAGACAGGAATTAAAGTTTTTTTTATTTATTTGAAGGCAGACTTGAAATGTTCACTTCAAGAAAGACTTAGCATTAATAGCAGAACAACAATGCGGATGGCTCCCAGTTATAGGGTCCCACCAAAACTCCTAGGCCCCAGCCCTTCTTTGAGATACTGTGTGTGTTTGTATGTGTAAATTTATGCATGTGTATGTATATATGTAGGTTAATGCCTAATGGAAAGGGTACACAAGGACTGAAGGAGGAGAGTCTTTATAAACCCCCACTCCATTTATGTGTTGAAATTTGAATCCTGCATCGTTTTTTAAAAAGAAAATTATTTTTAAAGGAAATGCTACAAACACTTTCATGAATATGAGGGGTTATTTCTTTATGTTAATTTGTATTGAATTAAGCATAATTAAAAAATAATAATTTATATTGAATCGCTATCTGCATTCTGCATTCATAAAAAGTAATTAAAAAAAAAATTAATTCTAGTTCTGTATTGTAAAATATGCTTCAGTCAGTAAATTGAATCATGTCTGAAAGTATAGTGGATCCAGGCTCTAGCACAATTTATGGTGGAAACAGGGTATTCCTGTATGAATCGTTTGATACTAATAGAATATATATATATATATAGATATGTAACAGGTTCATGATGATGGTCTTGCTATATTATAAGTGAACCATTAAGTGAACCATTGGCTGCCAGTCAAGTGATGAATGGTAGATGAGGATGCAAGTGGTTCGGAGGACAAGAGATTCAAAACACAATCTCAGTGGCGGAGGTAAAATTGGATGGTCAGAATAATAAAAGAGAATCAAAAGGAACACCGAACATACTTCGCCTTTTGCAACATATCTAACTTTCCAATTCCTCGCGAGTAATATGTATTGAGCTTATCAAAATCAATTGAAAACAATTTTTTTTTTTAAACATACTTCGCCTTTTGCAACATATCTAACTTTCCAATTCCTCGCGAGTAATATGTATTGAGCTTATCAAAATCAATTGAAAACAATTTTTTTTTTTAAAAAAAAAAGAATTTGTGCTGATTTATGAGTGACAAACTGCCTCGACAAAGTCTATAACTGACAAAGTGCGATTTTTACTATGAAATAATTTTTTTTTCTAGTTGAGCATGAAAAACCAAGTCTATTATTATCACTTTCATTGCAAACCTTAGAATAATTGAACTGCTGAGGGGACACCCTCAACTTATAGTAGCTTTTTTATTTTATTATATTTTTTCTTTGGGAACATTTTTAAATTTACAATTAAAATTATTATAGTAACTCGTATATCATAACTATTGAGAAAGTACTGTGGAAATGAAAGCCTCCACAATAGCAAAATGGTAAATGTTTAAATCATAAGTCCTAAATATTTATTTTTATTCAAGAGAAATGCTAAGTGTAATGGTTGCGGTTTGAATTGTGGGTCCTAATGTGGAACCCATAAATTTGAAAACTGAACTTATTCGGTGGCGACTGGGCATGGCACATCGCTTTATATTGGATGGACCTTGGTGAAACACATTGTGTCATTATATGCACTCCATTTACCTAACAGCCAACCACAAACTGAGTGTCAAGTTTGTTGACAAAGGTAGCCAAAAAAATACCTCACCATGCTTAAGCCTCAAACCAGCTTCAATTTTTTTAAAGATTGAGTTGGGTGGTTGTGGTTGTGGTTGTTGTAACAATTGGCACTAGTTTCCCGAGGGACGCCAAGAAAATTCACTAGTTTTCCCGGGAAACTGGAACCCAAATAAATAAATAAACAAAATGAAAGAAAACAGAAAACTAAAACATATACAACACCACCTTTTTCTAAATTAAAAAAAAAAAAACATAAAAAATAAGAGGAAGAGAAGATAGTCCATGAAAATAATTTGAAAAAACAGAGCATCTTTGAAACATTGTTAAATATTACTGTACCATAAATCAAAATCAAATCAATGCAAAAGAGGAAGAAAAAAAAAAAAATCACATCAAAAAGCAGCCCAAAAAACATAGAGAGAGAGAGAGAGAGAAGAGAACTAACCATGTAATAAGGCAAGGTGATGATTCTATGAATGACAAACCACTGAAGACCATAACCACAAAAACCCATGAGAGCTGCCATGAACAGAACAACCAGCAGAGGAAGATAGAGCAGAGAGACCCCTGAACACCACCCAAAAGCCTTACCCATATCCGACGCCACGGCCAGGTAGTTGAGCTGCACCTGAGATATACCCAACACCGATTTCAACTCCGACGAGTACGCCGAGAAGTCAAAGTTGGTCCCTGTAAACGCCTGTATCCATGTACTTGCCACCAATATCATCCATTTCCTTGACTGCCCTCCTGCCATTTTCCTCTCCTTCACTTTTCCTGTACACGCGTGTGTGTTTGTGTTTGTGTGTGTGTTTATATACAGAGAGAGAGAAAAGAAGTCGTGGGGACCCTCTGAGAAATGTTGACAGGAGGTCCAGCAATGGTTTGTTTTTCTCAGGGTATTTGTATGGTTTTTCCTCCTACATCTCCTCTGTTCTTGGTGTATGATATAGAGAGGACGTGATGCCCAACAGAGTAATAAATGAAAAACTCTTTGGGACCCAACAATGTGACATGTATCATATGAAAGATTGAAAGTTACTATAAGCTTATTACTAATTCAAACACTTTGATTGACAATTTTACCATGCCACGGTACATGTTTTGCTCCACCCTTCTTATTATATTAGTATATTCCAGTCATTATCGTGCAGATAAAGTTAAACAAAATAAAAAATAATAATTAAACTTTGTGACGTGGATAGCTGTCAATGGCTCGGAAAGTTGACATGTTATACACTCTGAAACAAAATTCTGCATTTCTCTTGAAAACTCCTACCTGTTTTTATTATAAAATAAAATAGAGAATTTTCTTTTAAAAGGCAGCACGTATCAAGTATTCCGTATAGTACATACTTTCATCTTTGGAGAGATGGTTGTCTTGACACACCCAACTAATCAGGTATTACAAAATTTGTCTTTAATCTTTATACATTAAGAAATAACTCAAATTTTTATGACGTCGGACTGTCAAGTGTCCCACTAAGATGCTGAAAATCTCACTTATCTTATGCGAAACACTCCATTAGTCAAATATTGCAAAGTCTATCTCTACTCATTAATAGAAATTTAAGACTTTACTATATCTAACTTTCAAAACCTAAGGGTACATGTAATTTTGTGATTGACCCTATTAATTATTCTATCTATTTGAATTTTGTAATGGTCTCATTAATTCAAGGCACTAGTTGAAAGTATAGGGAAATAGAATACAAAAATAGGTTCAAGTGCAGAAAACACACATAAAGTATGCTTACAATACAAATCATACCTCTCACATGCAAGAAACACTCCTAAAGTTTTAATTTGGTGCAAATAGGCCCCTCTGACAAATTTAAACCCTAAGATGACTAAATTACCCTTATTGAACTATTTTATAAAATATATAAAAAATAATAATTTTGTAAAATGACTGAAAATGACACTATTGGAAGACGCCGACAATGGACAAGTAAAGATAAAAATAGAAAATAAAAATAAAAGTATAAAAGTATAAAAGTAAAGAAAATATAAAATAAAAAACGAAAATAAAGTGCAAACTAAAGAGAACAAATCTGCTCCAAACTTCGAAAACCAGTGCACACCGATATTGTGATTTTTTTCCTTTTTTCTTTCTTTTCGTTTGGGAAAAATATAAAATAAAGAAAAAAAAAGTTAGTACAAAACATTAAATTGAAATATAAACAAATTCAAATCCTTATTCTACAAATTCTCAAAGTTTTCAAAAAAAAAAGTTATGAGATACGACTATACATTGAGAAAAAAGTTTCAAAAAAAAAAGAAAAAAAAAAAGAAGAAGATAATATGCACATACCACTCCTATATTATGAGATTAGTAGCATATATGTTTCCATTGGGCATTTTCAAAAGAGCAAAAGGGCAAAACGGGTATTATAATACTAATTTATGTCAGAAATGATATTTTTGCACAATGTGAAAAGATTAGAAGTCTTTTTTATTCACTTTTTCAAATATGGGGTAAAAGTACTATGCGGAGTATATTTTAAGAATATTTTTTGTACTTTTTCATACAAAAATACCCTTATGTTGCACTGTTCAATCATAAAATGTGTCTCCGAATTCCCAAACTCATAACCAACCATCACACCCATTACATTTCTAAATATGAATAGCAAAAGAATACTAGTATAAAACACATATGAAAATAAGAGCAATTCTCAAATTTACCATACAGCCTAATTTTGATTGTCAACTCTTTATTTATTTTTGTATTTTTGGGCAATTCAATATGAAAAGTAGTTAGACACCTATATATTTTGCATAAAATGCTTGGTCAACTAACAAAGTCATGGTCTAGATCTGCAATTTGTTGGGCTCTAAGATTAGTGGGTGAAGTGGTTCAAGTGTCGTGACACTGCCAATTTTTTTTTATGCAAGCTCACATTTAGATATGCACCCACTAACACCTAGCCACTGCCTAAACAAGAAAAAATATATATAAAAAAATAAATAAAGTTATTTATTTATGATTTAAGTCATTTGATTTTTATTGATGGGATGGTAGCTTCTCAGATTTTGGATGCTTCTATCAGGATCCTCTCAGCTTTCTCTAGCCAACTCCTCTTTACTTCCCCATTCAATTATATCTTAATAATCAAAGCTCAACTGATTATTCAGTTTTTTTTATGTTTTTCTTTTTCCAACAAAACTAATTTAACCATTGAAAAAAGGTAAAGTAACCCCCCCCCCCCCCCAAAAAAAAAAAAAAAAAAAACTGGTGAAGCTGAGTAGCTGACTTGATGGCAAATATAGCATGACCAGGTGGGGACAATTTTGTCTTTAAAGAGAGCTTTTTTTGTGTTTCACACGCCAAGATTGCCCTGTGAAACAAGGTTTGGTGGCATGCATGATGAACTAGTCTCCGGATCCTCTGTTATAATCAATCCCAAGATGCATTAAAACACGATTTAAGTGAGTTAAAATTTATTTTAATACCATTATTTTTACTCTCAATTTACTTAAATCGTATTTCAATACTTTTATTCTATCTATTGAAATTCCATTAAAAAAATAGAACAAATTTATTAAAACATGATTTAAACACATTAGAAAACGCCAAAACATTACAACCTAGCGAAGGATCCAGACTAGATGAAATAATATCCGCTATTTAGTTCAGATCCCGTCACACAAGTTCCAACTGAGAAAGAAAAATTCCTCATGGACCTAAACTACTTCATTTTCAAAAAGCCGACAGTTTTAAGGTTTGAACTCAATTCAGTGACATCCATATTCGCTGCACTAACTCATATGTATCTCACACACACAAATACATATAGTGTGTGTGAGATAAATGGTAGTTTTATCTGAAGCTTGTGAGGGACAGTGAGGGATGCAGCGAACATTTTTCATGGTGAAATTCCTGTCAACAACAATTCAAGCATTTAGGTACTTAGGTAGTTAGGCTATTGCAACTTCAGTTTCAGGTTGCCTAAACTTCCTATGCATCTTACCCCACACACACCTATGTTATTATGAGTATGCGTTAAACTATACACATGCAATGGAAAAAGTCTCCTGAAACAGCTTAAAAAAACCAAAAGTCTGTTACCTCCCCCAGTCCACCGCACTCTCCAATCTTGACAGACTGGTCCTTTCTCTGCAACTAAATAGAGTTTATTTTGGATGCTTACTGAGAAAAGGACTATGAGGATTGGAGCTAAATTACAACAGTGAGAACTGAGACTCATATAACATGTATCAATTGACATGGCCAGATACATAAACCTATACAGGACCAATTGCAAGCTACCACTTCAAATATATATATATATATATAATTACTTTTTGAAAAACATCCTAATTCTTCCATTGGCAGTTACCCCTTGTTCAATTTTGACACCTTTGTTGAATTTGGTTTGTAAACCTAAATTAGGTTAAATATGGCTTCAAACATGATCCACTTCGCTTTTTCTTATTTATTTATTTATTCATTGGTTTATTTATACCATCTTTGTATTCATGCAAACCTATTATATAGTTTTTTTTTCCCCCTAAAGAATATGATAATGAGTATTCACTCTCACGTATGAGCAAAAATGCCTAAAAATTGCACAATTTAAGTAGTGTTGTTCCTATTTGTGCACATTTTTAGGCTGGATTAGACACTTAGTCTGTGTATGCCAATCCCAAGCCAATGCAAAACCCTAAAACTAGAATCTTGAATGTGCCCAAACCCCCAAAGGTCACATGGTTCAGCTTGGGTGTGGTGAAACTAAGTATTGGCATGAGAATATATTCGGTGTGCCCGGTCCATCAGAACCGTTCGTGCCCACGGGTGGTGTGCACGCGCCCACGTGTGTTATGCACGGACGATTCTGATGTGTCCAATGCACGGTGCACCAGGCACACTGAATACTTACTCGTATTAGCAGGCAACAACAATAGGTCAGTAAACTTGCGCGAATTATAAAGGAGAAAGGTAAATAGGAAGTTCCTGTACACCATGCCAAATGTTATTCCAACAATCAAGAAGGGTTAAAAAAAAAAATGGGAGGGGAGAGGAGGTGGTTCCTCAGTTCATGGAGATCACTCACCGCCAAATATACATATACTTCACCAAGAATGGTTGCCCCTCCTGGTCCTCCTACGGAAAGGTCTGCAGGCCTCGATGCTGAGATCAACAGCAGCTGCAAGTGCCATAAAGATGGCAGCATCCTCAACGCATGTCACATGTCGCATAGCCAGTTGTACTAATGGCTTGCTACTCTTCCCTTCCCCTTGCACCCTACAGCTCATGACAAACCCTCCTACGACTGGACTTAGTGCTGCAAAATCTCCACTGCTCTGTGGGCTCGGTAATGGAGTCGCTGCTGCTTCCCGTAACTGTCTGTCAGTGTCTATGAAAAACTCCCCACCCTTTTCAGCATTGAGGAGTATCTCTGACATGAGAAGCTCCCCACCCACTTGGGCTTCAGAGAGGAGGTGAAAACGGCAGCAAATGAAGTCTCTTATGCCACGCTCACGCCATGCCTCTAGTTTACCCCATGGCTGCCAGCTCTCAGAGCTGCAAGCATCAGGGCGAACGATCAACCAAGCTCCTGGGTTGGACCTGGCAACCCAATCACAACCTGTTGACGGCACAAACGGAGTTGTTATGAAGGCTGCTGCAACAGCAGAGCCAGAGAGATCATGTATCTTCACTTTCCATCCCTTCCTCTCTCTTTTCTCTACCTCTTGGTAAGAACTGTCTACAGAGCTTGACCAGTAAGCACCCAAAGGATCTCCCTGGGATACCCTGCGGATTCATTATAACTAACAAATATTATACCAGAGAAACTAATGAGAGGAAGACAAGAAACATGTTATACTTGAAGTCTTATGACAAATGGCAGTCCGACAATGTACAAGAAAATGACACAAACCCTTCCGCATGCCTTGCTCACTATGGCAGATGAGAGCCAAGATGAGACTAAAGGAGTTGAAAAAAAGAACTCCGAATCATATAACAGATTTAGATTGAGTGGATATTTAAGGTTACCAATTCACCCCCCACCCCCACCCCACCTTCTCTATTCCTCTTCTATTGACAATTTAATAGAACATAAATATATATGTTCTTCAAGTCTTTTACAGTGCTAGAATGTTTAGGCAGCTTTCACCTTATGTATGTGAGCGCCGCTTAAACGTGCAATTCAACTAGGTGAGTAGCTCTAGGAATTTATTTAGCCAAAAACTACACTGACCAGGAATTTTTTTATGGAACAGACTCTGGAATAAAATGGAAACAAGATGAATTAGATAAGAACATTAAATATCCTATTACTTCTGCTGTGATGTTTCTTTCAATTCTGAATGGTAAGTGTGGAAAGAGTAACAGAGGGTAGCAGCACTTAAAAGAACATCTAACAAGTTATGAATGCAAGCAGAAGAGATCACATAATTAAGATTACCTGTCCTGACTAAACTTGCAACTGAAAATAGGCTGGTTAATGGTGCCTTGAAGCTGAACTATCTGAGGGCTCAATTTGGTCTCGTCTTCAAACTGGAAAACATATCTCGGATCAGGGTCCAGTTTCACTCTCAAATGAAGCTCTGCTACTGGTTTTCCACTCTCCTGCTTGTTCTTGCCAATGCCTATCCATCCATTAAAAAGAATCACTGGCTTCCCTTCACCCCATTCCGGACCTACATCTAACTTAAATGTTCCAATCTGCTGCCTCCTAATGCCAACACCACAATGGGTCCCCTTCCGCCCTGTGAAAACAACTATCTCCAGACATGCATGAGGAGCATAGAAGCAGCCGGGTGCCAACATTGCTTTCACATCAGATTCTTCAAGATAAAAACTCGAGGCAATGCTATGAGATTCTGGTGTAGTAGAAGAGGTTACTAAGGGGACTGAAGTTATCTGCGCAGGGAAACCTCGAAGACGGATCTCACATGAACATGAAGAAGAGAATGAATGGATTCCGTTTTTGGTAGCATTTGAAATTGTCCCAGGAACTCTTAAACCCAGTGAACCTATAGATAACCTGATAAAAGCCTGAGGATCCATTTTGATCACAAATCGTTCCCCATTGTTCACAATCTTTTATCTTGGACAGATCAATAAGCCTGTTGCATCAGTAGGCAGCTGGACGATCATAAAGGTATAATTCGAAAAGTGTGCAGCTTGGCATCCAGTAAGGATTTCACATTGAAATTGATTTCATTCTACCTTATGTTTGATTCCTGTTTCAAGCTTATATCTATATATTCATGATATTTCATGAAGACAAGATATAATATATTTACGTAGGGAAACTTCATTAGTTTTTGCTGTTATCCATTCATAACGAAACATTAAATTGATGTTGTCAAATGATAGGGCTGTGTAAAAGTAAGGAAAAAAAAATTAATAAACAAATATGAAGAGATACTTCTTCACTTCATCAGAGGCTCATATTGACGGGATTTTGTCCCAATTCAGCTGTTTTTAAATGCTAGTGTCAAAATTGCATTCTACTAATCACTATCTTATTTAGCTTCTGCAATGATCAACAATTACAACAAGTACCATTATTGCTACAAGCACAAACTGTGCGCTTTATGGGAATGGACAACGTCTCCGCTCCTCTATGCCTATGAACTCTCTCATTGTTAAACAAACTATCCCATTACATGGCATTAGAGGCAGCAGAGGGTCCACGGTTTAGGTTGACTGAAAAAGAGGATTGGTTGGTATCATTTGGGAGAAGCAAGATGGAGAGTGTCTTGCAATCATTCCAAACCAACCCGTCTCTTTATGGGGATTTAAGATGAACTCTAGCCCATTCGCTTTGGAGGAAGAACTTTCATGACCTTTAAGGTTCAGAATGATTCCGGAGGCCAGGATTTAAGAGTGCCTTGCAATCATTCCAAACGTCCTACCCCCCGCAACAAAGAATCATTTTTATTACCTAGGATAAACCTATTGTCCAGGATTCTTATACAAGAAGCTCCCCGGAGAAAAAATGCTATCCCTCGACAATAGGATGAAAGATCCCAAGCACTATCATCCATTAAGAGATTAAAATATTTGGTCTACATCTTGTGAAGTCCTATGGCCTAAAATCCATTTTTGTGAACTTGGGGTAGTTATCATCCAAACAACAATAATTATCATGTGCTTAGTATGACTCATTTGGACAAGCTAGACCCAGATCAGACAGGACTGATGGCTACAGAAATAACGGTTAACCGGACTGAAATATCAAGACAATGAATGACAAAAACATTACCTTAAGCAGGCTTGCTCCAACATTAGCTTCACTGGCTGTTTTAAAAGTTTACAGATGTCTAAACAACTGAATCCACAAATGTTTACTACTGCAAATATAAATTAAAAAAAGGTCTTATTTTACCCCTTCCATTCATTTCTAAGGCTCATTTTGGTTCCCGAGAAAAATGATGAAAAAGAACTAGAAAACCAATAAAAGAACCCCTGTTTTTTTCTTTTTCTTTTTTCTGGACTTCCTTTCTTTCTCTCTCATTATTTTACAAGAATTAACTAAAATTGCACATAGCAGCTACTTTAGCCTCCATTAAAGAAGAGTTTGGTCAGCAATACCAACAGCAGTGTGTTCGTGTGGTTGCAATTTCAAAATTAGCCTGGTCTCTATGATTTGAGCTCTACAATGGTAAATGGTTTCATTTGGGGTGGATTGGACTTGAAGTCAATTTGCCAACTTCATCAATCTTTGCCACCCTAGGTTTAATAAACCCTAATATCCCTTATTGCATAAACGAATTCTCAGGCTTCTCTGTTGCTTAGTTTTGCATTTTTATCACACATTTCAATTGACCTAAAAAACTATAATTTTCAAGTCATTGATGGAGTTAAAAATATAAAATTTGGCAACACCAACAAATTCCAAGTTAAAATTGAACTAAAACCACCAACTAAAATACCCATTTTTGCAGCCAAAAAAAACAGATAAAGCAAAGGCCACTGCAACACTCTATCAAACATGAAAAGTGCATAAATAGGTATTAGCACCAAAAAAACCCACCTTTACTATGAATCTTTCTCTTTCTCCAAACAACCAACAAAGCCACTTTTGAAGCTAAAATAACTCCAATCCTTCCAAAATCCTGCAAAAATCTTCAATACCATTCAATTCAACAAGGGAAACAAAATTCCCAGAAAACATCAGGCATTAAATTCATCAACTTCTCATCCAAAAACCCAAAACCAGTAGACTTCTCTCTCTGACTCTGATCTAATAACAATGTCAACAATGATCCAAGATGAGTTGGGTTGATAATTGAACCAAACCCACCTAAAGCATCACGTAGACTGTGCACGGATCACGAGAAAACACCACCCATATTTCTGAAACTCTGCGTTTGAAAGAAAAAAATTGTTTATATTGTTATTATTATTATTTAAAGAAAAACAACTAAAAAATAACAAGACAGAAACAAAGATAAACCTCGAAATTGAATGCTATAAAAATGAGATGATAATGAATGAATCATCGTATGATAAAATCTTTTTTATTACTGTATTAGACTATGCTAAATGGTCCCACTTTCCCATACTTCTAATAATAGCAACTTCATACAGTATATAATATGTTGAATATATGCAGGCTGTGAAATTGGATACAGCTGTAACCAACGTTTATTCAAACTCATAGAGTTGTTTCCAGACATGCACAAGGGTGAAGAGAGTGACTTCATTTTTATGCCTTAAGTGGTCACATCTGTGTCACGCTGAGACAAGCCAATTATTAAACACGTTAATGTTTTAACGCGAATTATTACATGGTCTCGAATCATTTATTTTAACAAATTACTATCACTACTGCATATAATACAATTTTGTTATAATTTGAATTTAAATTCAAGTCTCATATGAATAAATTAAAGGATATAATATAATAGAATTTATTCTACATTTTTAAAATAAAAGGTGAGGATTCAAATTTCATGCATATAAATGGACGCGTTATTTTTTTGTTAACACACGACATAATCTATGAAATATGTAACATGATATGAGGAGTTTTATAATTTATTTAATATTTTCAAATGTATTTATAAAAAATTAATGCTGAATTTGGAATAGAGAGAACAATTGAAATTCTTGAAATTGTTGTGTACAAGCTTCTGTTTTTTTAGAGTATATCTTCGTGAGAATGGAGCTTTTTTGTCATGTGATATGAAGACAAAAGAGAGTGGTTTGTTTAGAGAGAGAATTGCAAAAGCTAACGCACACATTATTGTCTTTATCAAAAGAAATACAGGAATAGAAAGACCACAAGTGTGGGTTTTTGAAGGGGCTGCTACTGTGCCATGAAGATCCAATTTATTTTTATTATTATTAATTTTTTTAAATTCAAGAAAATATACTCATAAATATTCTCATTTTATGATATCATAACATCTGAACAAATGTCCATTAATAAAATAAATAGTAATTGTTTTGTACAAATATATTTATAGAAAAAAAAATATTATGTTTTGTAGCATGGAATCTGCATTTGTGAACATAAAAGTGTTTTGTTCCATTTTAACACTGTAAATTGCTTGCTATAAAACACAACATTGGTAATTTGGTATTGTACTTTTTCAAAACGATATTTACTAGTCTTGTGCTGAAAATTGAACGTTGCTTTCAATTTAGGTGTTGAATGTCTCGAATTTCATTTTTAATTTTTAATTTTTTTTTTTTCCTTTTTCTTGTTTAGTGTATTGAATTTGTGACATTCTGACCCTTAAATTGGTTTAGAAAGGTCATGAGGAAAACTAACCCATAGAAACACAAATTCAATACAATTGGAAAGTTGAATACGGAGATTTCAAACAAAATTATAGTCAAAGTCATAACTTTGAACAAAATTAGTCTAAAAAAGGTACATTTTTTACTTTTAAATAGAATCCGTGGATTCAAGTCCCATAAAAATGCAAATTCAAAATAATTGAAAATTTGAACTCCAAACTACAAAGAGAACTCCCAACAATCAATAAGATCCAAAGTTATTATTATTATTTTATTATAATTTGTTTTTAACTTTTTTTATTAGGATCCAATGGTTCAAGTTCAGTTAGAAACAAGACCAAGTCAAAAGTAATTTTGGAGAAGGACCAAAAATAATAATAATAATAATAATAATAATAAAAAATAATGTTGAACCAATCAATTATCCATTGAACCAAATGGAGAGGTCCAACAGGGGTGGCAACAATCAAGGGATTTGGATCAATCAGGTGCATGTGAGGGGCGGCCCTCGTGGGTCCCATTTAAACAACTCTGGGCCCAAACATCACATGACGCTTGAAGAAGATGCCAAAAATAGCAGTTAACACTCTCAAACAAAACCATTTGTGTTGCAGACAAAGTCCTCCGATGCATGCAAGTGAACAGATTCTATTGCTTTGTCTGTCTTTGACCTGTCGAATTGGCTTTCCACTTGTGCCTTCCTAGGAAATATTTTCTGGGGATCCAAACACACGAGGTTACCAAGAAAACGGACAAGATTTGATGATCTAATTTTCAATCTTTTGATAAACTAAAAATCAAATTTATGAATGTGCAAGCGAAGTTTTATGCTTTGAGCTTCTTTTCACCTCTATCTAGTGTTTTTACTTGATCAAATTTTGGCGCAAGTAAAAACAATTATTTTATGCAAATGATTAAACATCGATATCGCTATTTCAAACCAAACAGTAAAAATCAAACCAAAAGTAAATTTCTCATAAATGCATCAAACGGACTGTGAATTCACGTTTGGTATATGGGTCTCTGATATTGATGACAAATGTTTGGAAAAATGTCTGCATTAGTTGGTAATGGAAACTCTAGAACCAACTTTGCCAATATTTTTGTCTGTTTGGAGACATGGATAATTTTATCCATTTAAACTTGAATAGTGATCCTCTCACTTCATTTTGTTCACCCATGTTCGAATCCAATTAAAGAGGGGGTTTTGTCGTGACAGTCAAAATCAAATACAGCCTACCCTATATTCGATGTGGACATGTTAGATATTTAAGCTGATTAATTTAATTGATATCCTAAATTCTGACTTTGTGGCCCATGAAATTTGTATTTTCTTTATATTTTTCAATTATTGTTCTATTTTAATGTCACTTGTTCCGAGAACAAAAGCACTTCTTGATCTTTGATAGAATATTAGCCAACCTTTTTTTATGTCAGAAGATACAAAATATTAAACTTCTATTATCTTTGATACGTTGTGTTGTTTTTTTTTTTGTTTTTTTTAGAGTAAATGATTGTTTTCAAACCTCACCGTAACATTTTATTCAAATTAGGTATAGTTGAGGCCATTAGAGTAGTAAATCTATGATTTCATTGAAGCCTTTCAAGACCAATAATCCATAATAACATTTTGTAAAGCTTTGAAACACACCATCATTTAAGTTTAATCACATTATATTCCCTCTTCTCTCAACGAAGAGAGCATAAAAGGGGGAAAAGTAAGAAAAGAAAATGTGGGATTGAGGCATAACCACAAGAAAGGTGACTATTTTGGTGTTTTTTCATGTGATTTATGGATGCTTGGAGTGCAAAAGGAGCCACCAAACCCAACCCGTATCTTCAATCCAACTTGATCTTCATTACAATCATTCTGATCCAAGCCCAATCTGTGTTTAAATTTTGAAACCATAGAAGGTTTGTAGCGGGTAGCGCGCAGCTTTGGAATATCAAGTTAGAAGTTCCCACGAATGTACCACTGGACTATGTGAATGGGGATGAATACGTGCTTGTCTTGTGCATTTAAACTGCATCATTTTGGTACACAGACACGTGTTAGGAACCCAACACCAGATCCCCTCCAAACAAGAAGGGAACAAGCTCCTTAATTTCACATCTTCTATAAATTTTCAACATATAAATTTCTTCTGCTTTCTTTTCCTTCCCCTCCCCGAGTAATGACCTTTAAACATGAGCCTAAACACGAGTAAAAAAACAACCTTGGCCTAGTTGGTAGAGCACCCAACTCCCTGAGCAGGTGTACCCTATTCAAGTCCCCCTCTCCCTAATTTCCCAGGATAATAATAAATAAATAAACATTTGAGAGAACATCACAGTTAATTTTCCTCTTCAATACTGTTCATGAGCAAGTACTTGCATGGACAAACAGCATTACTAGCAACCACAATTGTGTATATATCTCCAGGCCGAATCAAACCAAGAAGCTCTGCATATTAAATTTTGCATTGCATGCCAAGTGTAGAGGCATTTGCACATAATAAAATCATTCTATACACCCAAAAAAAAATGTCAATGCATTAACACACGCATTATTGAATTCAACAAGGTCAAGAACCCAATATATATACACACAAGCACAATCCAAGTTAGTAAATAAAGTGCATGCAGAGGGTTGCAATACCCAAAATAGCACTCATGATTGTATTGTATACTACTACTACACTAGCTCATTCATACCATCTAACAAAGTGATTATTATGTACGAATGCTTGTCCTCTAACACCCAAATAGCATCTCAGATATATAAAGACGTCACTGAGAGTCTTGAAAATGTAATTCAAGCACAAATGAGGCACACACCAATAATCACTTCCATTTCTTGAACCTCATGAACTTCCCTCCATGCTTTCCAAACCTCCCATGTTTGAAGCGCTTGCCAAACTTCCCGTGCTTGAACTTCCCGTGATGATGTCCATAGTAACCACCATGTCCATAATGATGGGAACCATGAGTCAGATGGTGAGCCCCATAAGCAGCAGCTGCAGCAGCAGCACCCCCAGCTAGCATTGCTCCCATGCTAGGTCCATGCCCTAGAGAAATCATCATAGGCAAAACAAAATAGCATATAAATAATGATGTAAAATTACTATTCAACAAACACTATCCCAACTACGGCTACTGAGATCTAATTGGTTACCAGCACATGGCAGATATCCAATTTGACAAGGAAAAAGTACTGCATCCACACAGTGTGAAACGAGGAGTCCACAAAGAATTAGATGAATGCTTGTAAACAAAATTTTACAACTGTGTTGTTAAAAATATCTTAAAATGATGATTTGGGCTTATGCATCAAAGCCTCGAATTCGATGGTGGACCCATCGAGCGGATTATTATAATCAGTACAGTTTTCATGTTAAGTGGACAAACACAATGACCTCAGAGATATAAGAGCTCCCAGTTTGTTTCTGCCAACCAGTATTTTTCAAGCAAATCTTACAGGTAGCTAAATCCCCACAAACTTTTTTACATATCAGATAACTTCAGATCTCTTTTCTTTGATTGAAAGGAAATGACATTCCTATAATATTGAAAAGATCACTGAGTAGGTCAACCCCTGTGAACTAATTATATGTTACTAATTTTGAGTTCGGATTCACCAAAATATAGTTTATGTGTTCATACAGGCCATTATTTTCTTTCAAGGAAAGATCACAACACAACAAAAAGAAGAAAGGCCACACAATGTCCATCACAAGTGAAGGAATGGAAATCAAAGCAGATACATACTTTAGTGATAGAAAATTATATGAACTAATAGCAAAATAAAAAGAAATTCATCAATCATACCGGGATGAGGCGGAGCAGATGGACCCAGGTAACCTGCTGGGGGGTATCCACCTGGAGGAGGATATGCAGATGGTGGATATCCACCCGGGGGTGGATATCCTGATGGTGGGTATCCACCTGGAGGAGGATATCCAGCAGGTGGGTATCCACCTTGAGGAGGATAACCATATGGTGGGTATCCACCTTGAGGAGGATATCCAGCAGGTGGGTAACCACCTTGAGGAGGATATGCCTGAGGAGGATACCCTTGAGGAGGGTATGCCCCAGGGTAATGTCCAGCAGCATATCCAGCAAGATGAGAGAACAGCCCTTTGTCACTATTGTCACTAGACTCGCCATCATGCTTGCGCTTTTCACCTTCCATTTTTCTTCAACTCGAATGATGCTACGAAACTGTAAAAGGAGGGTAGGCATATAAGATTATCTAAGAAAGAATTGTGTGTGTAAAAGTAGTATCATATAGGATCACTATGTACGTTCAGATGCATCCTAAGCTCTGTATATTTTTGGCTTAAGGTTCTTGTTCCCAATGATCTAATTTTCCCAATTTATTATTATTTTTTTAATAAAAGAAACAGTTTAAGATATTTATTATCCTAATCAGAGAGATGCATCCTAAGCTCTATATATTTTTGGTTAAGGTTCTTATTCCTAATGATCTCATTTAACCTATTTTATTTTTTAATAAAAGAAACAGTTTAAGATATTTATTATTCGAATCAGAGACGCTCTGCAAATGGTTTGCTTTTATTTGGGCAAAAGGGAAAACGAATAACTACCAAATGGGAACATTGGGAACTATAGTATCCAAAGCTCCATGGATGTTCAACAATAGATAATAATCCTTCCAAACAATCACAGCCTATATTAAATGGTTAGGCATAAAAATAATTCGTTTAATTCAGAAGTTGTACCAAACTAACACCAAAGACAGAAAACATATCACAGAACTCTGAGAAAGCAACAAAGGAGGGCTAAAATTGGCCCAAAGCAACATGGAAAGAGCCCCGGCAAACAAGCCACCAAGAAACCTATTATAAAGCCTTCTTAAATTCATGCATTTATTCATTGGGATATCTGTCACTCTCATTTGTGTGGCACAAAAAAGTCATATAGCAATCTCTATAAATGTAATAAGTGCACCTTCTAAGCAGAGATATAGTGACAGATAATCGTTGTTGGCTGTGCAAAAAAATCATATGGCAATCATATCTTTGTTTGTGAAATACTGAACAAGAATGCTCGCTGGCATGTGTGCTTGATAAAAAACATTTAACAAAAATGATAGTGAATAACATTGTGCACTGCTTTCAACATATAAAAACAAATCAAGAGAAAGGAAATTCCAAAATAACATTCTCCTAATCCACTCTTCAAAGGGGAAGACCAAATCGGTACAGAAAAAGTGTTTGGCAAGGCATTTTTGAGAAACCCCTTGGAAAAAATTTCCCAGAAAAGTGACAATAATTAAGGAACTGTTTTGAATATATTTCATTCTTTTTTAAAAAATTCTGGGTAATTGAAAAATTAAAGGCATTCATAAATATGCACATCACAAATTCACAAATTACATAAATCCCTGCAATCCACAAGCCCATACCCACACCTAAACACCCATCCCAGAAACTACAGACCTATCCATACATTGTCGGACCCTACCTATTATTTAATTAATTGTTCCAAAGTTTGAGATAAGAACACTTATTACATCGAAAAACTGATGAAGGGCACGCAACTGCAAATGGAGTAGATTTAGCACTACCAAGTCTACCATACAAACAAACACAAGATCTATATGTATAGATATAGATTTAGGTATATATATACATGCTCAAAGAAAAAGATTGCAAAATCTCAAAGAACATAATCAAGCTTTAAACAACACAAACAAGAAATAGAGAGAAACTCGTAAATTACTATAATAAGAAAAACCAAGAAAGCCGAAAAACAAATAGATGTGATGAAGATCATTCATTCACTTAACCATAAACAAATACACACATTACATAAATCCCTGCAACCCACAATCCCACCCAAACCCAAAACACCCATGTTTGTTTGTAGCACTACCATACAAACAAACACAAAATCCATACATACACACACAAGCATCATGTATGTACATATAGATTTAAAAATGTATATACATATAGATTTAAAAATGTATATACACACTCAAATAAAAAGATTGCACAATCAAGAAAAATCAAAATTAGAACACAACGCAAGCAATAAACAGAAAAAACTCGTGAATCACTTTAACAAGAAACCAAGAAACCAATCATTCACTTTACCAAAAAACACAAACTTAGTTTACACTTTACCAAAAAAATTATACATACGCATATTCAGATATACATGAGATCTCACCTCGCTTGCGTTTCTGAGTTCGAATTAGGTTCGGGATTGAACAGTTGCAACAAGTTTTATGATGCTGGTGAACTGATTCTTCAACAAAAAGTCAATTCGAAGACTTACAATCTAACTCATATATGGATATATAGGGGTGTATATATCTATGAATATGCTACGCGGTTGCTTATCTTAATCTTTACGCGTCGCTTCAACGCGTCCGATATGTTTATATGGTATTTTAGCGTATGTACTATTTATATTCTATATATATAATAGTGTTACACGTGACCATATAATATCAAATATTAATTAAATATGGAAGAAATCTTACTTCTTAAGTTAATATTTCGACAATGTACTCGTTATTTTATTTTTATTTTATTCCGTAAATGACAATGTATTGATTCACACATGCATGTATGGTCATTTTTAATGTGGCTGCTATCATGGATTAACGAATAAATGTCTCCATAGGGCTTTTCATACATCTATTAATTTAACTTCTAATATTTTTTATTTTGTAAAAATAATAATAATAATAATATTTGCACTAATTTATTGCACCGAATGTTTTTAACTGGTTATTTATACATACATGTAAGCAAAGGATCCCATTTCTTTTTATATGTAATTTGTTATAATGAATTGTTAAACCTATTTATTTTAATCGGTCCACTTATGCATAAATAAAGAAGTAAAACCCTCCATTTACATGATGATAAAGCCATGTTCCCCTAGCTCGTCCCCCTGCTCTAAGGGCATACGGCAAATCAAAAAGTCGGTGATGATGAAGCCATGTTTTCTGGGATGTTCAAATTATAGATTTTTTTTTTTGGTAAGTATTCAGTTGAATTGATGTGCCTATAATTTTGTACTAGAGAGAGGCCGATGGTTTGAGGTCACTAATAAAAATAACAAGTGTGATGCTATTAATGAAATAATGTTGCTTTTGGTGTGGAATGGAATTATGGAAATTTAGAGTGAGAATACTCATTCTATTATAATGAAAATTCATTTTACAACTAAACTTATAAAATGATTTTCTTTTGTTTTCTTAAATAAAGTTTTCAAAAAATCCTCATATTTCAAATTCAAAAATCATCACCACTGCTGTCATCACCTCACTACCGCCATCACCTTTCACTTTCACCTCCACCACCACTATCACATCCACTGCCTTCCATCACCACCACCGCCACCTCCACCTCTATTTCCTCCCACCATCGTCATTGCTACCACCCCATCAACGTTATTGTCACCACTGCTATCGCCTTTCACATACACTGCTGCCATTGTTGCCACCACTGTCCTCTTCCACCACTATTGCACCACTATCTTACACCACCACAACCACCAATACCATTACTGCCTAGTGCCTTCCACCATCACCATTGCTGCCTTTCACCTCCACTACCATCTTCTTCGCCATCCGCCACAATTCTTTAAAAAAATTATACAAAATTATTATTTTGTTAAATTAATTTATTTATTGCTTAAAGGGATATTTTAAATAATTCAATTTGAAATTCATTCTGTTCTAGAATTTAAATTAAACACTTAGAATGATTATTACTCAGAAAGCATGGCTTCATCATCGCCAGATCTAGATGTGACAAATCTGATTACCAAATTAAATATGATATAATCATTTGCTCCAATTTCACACAATACGTAAACCCTAATGTGATTTTCCAGAAGGTTCAGAGTTCAACCGATATTTGTGTGTAATATATTAAAATAATAGGATAAAGATTTCAGTTGAACTGTTAAAAGTGTACATAAGCAAATATATAGAGAGAGAGAAATGGACCGGATCTGAGATCACACCGGAGAGTCACTGACAAAAGAAGTTCCAGAGATACTATGTGTATATAGGTGGATAAATGTAGCTATAAGCTGCTACAGTATATGTATATAAACCTGGCCTTGAGAAGGTCAAATAAAAAAGGAAAAAGTTAACCCTTTTTTTCTTTTTAATTTGCACTCGCATATAAACCTCCAGGCTCGAATCCTAACTTTCTTTCGGAAGTAGGATACGGTACCACTAGCACTTGATAAACCCTAAAAAGTGGAAGATGAAGCTGAAACTGTACAAGCATACTGATTGATAAGACAAGGCGTAGGAGAGATATCATGGGATGCGAAGAAATTTGGTGGCAAGTCTCTGGTGGTACTACCATCTCTAATCTGCATTGGTAGATTATTTAAAAAGGGCTAAAATCATAAAATCATCATTATTTTTAATTTTTTATCATAAAATTTCAACTTATTTTTAAAAAAATTTATATTATTATAAAGTTATCACAATCCCTAATATTCGTGTCTATATTGTTAAATAAATTGTGAAATGTCAAGTTTGATCATTATTTGTCGAATTATAAAAATAGCCTTGGCTTCTACCTCATCTCTCCTCTATTTTCTCTCTCTTCCTCTCTCTACCCCATGAAAATGGGCGCCGACGGCATAATCAAGAAGATCTTGCTCTCCTACACCTACATTGCCATTTGGATCTTCCTCAGCTTCACTGTCATCGTCTACAAGTACATCGGATCGCAAGCTCTACAACTGGCCTTTCCCAATCAAATATGCACATACAAATATGAGGAGAATTCCAGCAAGCGAAACCGTCCTCAGGCTCCATCTTTGCCAGAGGGGGTAAAATGGGCCCATTAGACCCCACAAAACCACTGTCGAAAGGTGTTCCATTCGCTTTCGGCGACAATGAGGAGAATTCCGGCGAATAGGGTGAGTGTCCACCGCCAAAGACATTGATCGGCGGTGGAGACGGAGTCTCTGGTATCATCTGCGAGGCGAACACGTCATTGATCGATGAGTCATCGACGATCGAGTCCTTAACAAACTCCGAGTCGGCGAGGTTAGAGAACGAGTCGAAACGCTAGGAAGCGATGCGAGGATTGTACTACAAGTGGTACAGTGAGCGGTCGAGTCGAAGCAGCGGGTCGTGAGTCGGCACCGGGTTGGTCGAACGAGTCAGGGAATGAAGACATGATGGTTTAGAAATCAGAAATGCTCGCCCATCATTTCGTTTGTTCATTATGCTAGTGTAATTTCTTGGTTGGATATGAATTTTCATATGACATACAAATATGTGTGTGTGTATTATATACAGACATTTGTACCAATTATAGGTGTGTGTATGTATAATTATATATAAATAGGAGGTATTTCAGAGGTGGTGAAGAGAGAGGAAGAAAAAGGGCGGATTTTTGTAATTTAACAAATAATAATTATATTTTTTAATTTAACATTAAATAGTAAAATTAAATTTGAGATTTCATAACCTATTTGACGGGTCAAATAGGAACATTGGGGCCATGCTATAACTTTGTAATAGTGTAAGGATTTTTAAAAACATATTAGGATTTTATGATAAAAAATAAAAAGTATTGAAATTTTTATGATTTTAGCCCTTTAATAAATTGTTCGTAGATTGAGACAAGAAAGTGCCTTAAAAAAAAAAATGGATAAATTACAGCGACACTCTCAAATTTGTAAGCTTAAACAATGACACCCCATTTTATAAAAAAGAAGCCAAACATAGCTTTAATTGACATGAAATGTCTAATATACCCTAAGATATATTTTAATTCTCTCATAAAATAACCAAACTACCATTTCCTTATCTTTCTCTTTTCAATCCTATTTTTACCAAACACAGATTATTGTCTCTCTCTTTCAACCCTCTACGAAGGTTGTGGGAGAAGATGAGGTGGTATGGTGGCGGCGAAAGTCATGGGTGAATATGCAGTGGTTGGGTGGTGGCGGCGAAATTGATCATAAATTGATCTTGTTATTTCTGTGTTGGTTTTTTTACAGTATTATGGCTCGAGCGCCATACCAGACAAGCAATTTGTCTGCTGCTCCTTCCAAGCCTGCTGAAACCAAGACATGGCTAAGTTTAGCTGCTCAATTCTCCACTACAGTTTAAGCACCATTTGCCGTCTTTTTTTTCTTTTTTCCTTGCTATATTTAGTTGTCAGGAGCATTGCAATCTTAATTAACTATATGTTTTGGGCATTATCTCTTTTGGCTTTATCATTCCCAAGCTTAGATCTAATTGTTAAGATCCTACTATTAGTTTTTATAAAAATTTAATTATCTATATCTTTAATGAATTTATTATTTCCTAATGTAATTTTTAATCTGGGAATGGATGTGTATGTATATTTAGCAGTCAAATCACAACTCAAAAGTATTTGAGTTTGATTCCATTATTCTCTGTATGTTAAAATTTATGGAAAAAGGGTTTTGAGCTTTTTTAAATTCATCGTGGAAACTATATCAAAATTTGTCCAACATTACTCATTAACACCCACCCCATTCCAATCATCATTCTTCCATTTTAATAAACTTTAATGAAGAATTTAGAATCACCGTTATGGTACATGTTTGAAAATTTCAATGAAAAAAATTTATGTTTATAATTTATTTATTTATTTATTCCGATCCATGACCTTTGCGACTATCACTCGACCACCGCATCTTTACCCACAACCTTCGCCTCCGCCATCGAGATGAGAGAGTTGAAAGAGTGAGACGAAAATATGTGTTTGGCAAAAATAGAGTTGAAAAGAGAAAAATAAAAAGATGATAGTTTGGTCATTTTATGAGATAATTAAAATATATATTTTTGACAAATGTTAAAAAAAAGAAATGTTCCATTACTCTGTAAATTAGATTATTTTATAAAAAAATTCATTGAAAAGATATCCATGGATATCTTTCTATGTATCATTAATATTCCCATAATCAATACACAACTTTTTCTTGCATCATTAACCAACAAAATTATTAATAAATACATTTACAATAATAAAACAAATCAAGAAAAAATTGTTAAAAGAAGTAAAACTACAATTCACTTCATTTCTAATATTAGTAATAATAATAATAATTCACAGATTTTTTGCCACTTATCCTCCGAAATAGAGTCAATCAACATCGTATTACCCAAAGGCCTAGTATCAATTGAAGATAACACTACCACATATAAACACTTCATATTTTCCTCACCCAAGGTTTTGCGCATAAAGATTCCACTGACCTGTAAAAAGTGGTTCTAACCCTTGGGGATGCGGTAATACATCTAAGAAATTATTCTATCGAACGTACTCCCCGTACTCCCCTCTGGATGCAGGAATAGCGACATGAGATTGTGCACCTGTAACTCGCCCAGTGTGGTAATATGCTCTGATACAAAAATAACTTAAGTTGTATTTACCTGTTTTTAGGCAAATCTGGGATGTCAGTGCAATTTATCCTTATTTTTATTATTATTATTATTTTTTTTTTTTGAAAGGTCTGTTCTCCACAGTAACTAAATTAGAAAATGCAAAGACTGTGCAAGAGAATTATAAATGAATTGAACACATCAAACACATTTTGAGCCAAACAATTATTTTAAATTTGCATAGCCGATTGGGTATTTCTTTATTATTATTATTTTTACAAAAAAAAATAAAACATTTCTTAATTTTTGTCTTTTGATGTAAAATCAATAAACGTCTTTTAGTGTGGATTTTATTGGACGACCATTGTCTTAAAGGTCTGATTTTGCGGGTAGCCACGTTGCCATCCCAATTTCAAGAGCAACAGCCGTCACCACTTACCACAGGACTGCTCTGGTTGTCCCTAGCCAGTGGGGGGATGGCTGTATCTTCGGCGTTGGCACCACTGTTTCCGCCGTCACCACCACCAACAAAACCACCAACACTTCCCTCATCATTCGCACCACTCACCTGCCGCTGCTCTGCATTAACTCAACAACACCCATCATCTTCTCAACCCACTCCCTACAACTATCGTCCCGCCATTATTCTTCCAGCTAAGCATTTCTCTAATTTCATTCATTTCTGTCTCTCTCTCTCTGATATATATATATATGTAATGTCTCTCTCTATATATGCGATGGGGAAAAGTGATGCAAATGTAAGATTGCTCCGTTGTTACCTGTAGGTCAGGGTTCGATTCCAGAAATAATCTCCGTTTGGAGGTCAGCTTGTGTACATTTGACCCTCCCGACCCCGTAATAGCGAGAGCACTGGACTAACCCTTAACCCCATGTAGTGGGGAAAATCTCACTGTTTCTGTATGTTTATTAAGCAATTTTATCAGTAGGAGACCTAAGTACACTTAATACTTCATACCCAGAAGTGGGTTGTTACTAATTATGTCAGTATTATGCAAATTAGAGCAAGAAAACTACTACTTTATATACAGTTGTAAGTCATGAATTTGTAACACTATTGATGGGCATTTTTGTTTCAGGGTTTAGGGAACGATAAGGTGATTATCAGAAGTTAGAATATAGGGTTGTTACTAATTGTGTCAATATTATGCAAATTAGAGCAAAACAATTACAACTTTATAGGTTTTTTAAAGCATTGGAACTGTATTTGTATACAGTTGTAAGTGATGAATTTGTGACAATGTGTTGATGGGCAATTGGGCATTTTTGTTTCAGGGTTTAGGGAACAATACAGGTGATTATCAGAAGTTAGAATATAGCTTAAGAGAGTATGGTGTGCCAACAGTGGTTGCAAAAGTTTCAAGATTTGATTGGCTGAGGAATGCTGCTGGTTTGGTAGACCCCAATTACTGGCGTGGCACTCTCCGTCCTCGCCCGGTTCTTGATTGGTACTCTTTCTGCCTCCTCTTTGCATATGGTAATGTATAGCCTTTATAATTTATTATAACTTGACAATATAAATTGTGTTATCATTGTTAGGCTAATAGATTTTGAGCAGGTATTTGAAAAGGATTGATGAGGCTGTTTTTGAGGCCAAAGAACTTGCTCAAGGTTATTTCTTTTTAACCTATTGATATATTGGAAATATCATTTGACCTTATTTCTTTTTAACCTATTGATATATTGGAAATATCATTTGATCTTGATGGAAGTTATGGTTGTTGATTTTCAGACTTTTCTGCTGAAAGAGCCTAAATAAACATTGTAATTTGATTGACTTGTGTTTGTTCTGATTTTTTTGTATTGCTTGTAATCTGTATGTCAGAGGTTATGAATGCCATTGCCTTTTTCTTTGTCTCCTACAAACTGAAGAAATCCATTCTTATACTATTTTTTTAGTTGCTTATGTGTAGTAGACTGAAACTCACTAGAAGAGTGTTATTGAGAGTTCAAACATGTCATATACTCTAAAACCCAGAACTTTCTAACGAGCCTCGTCATCTAGAATGAGTTATTTGTTTGTCTTTCTAAAGCCCTTGCCATTGTGCGAGGTGAGGTTTTATGTCAGTTTGAAAAGTCAGATGTTGGATAAATATTTTGTTGTTGGATTGTCAATCTAACGTATCCTTGACATTAAATTATGGAGAAGTTTGATGGCAAGTAAACCTCTGGGTGTCTCACATAGTTGTCGGGAAACTTGTTGGGACTAAACTTTTAAGCAATTGTCAGGGAAATTTCATAAAAATGTTGGTTAAATTCTTGCAAACTCTAGGAAAATTCATTGAGTACATTTAGTCAACTCTTGAAAAATGTCAGAAATTTACAAGAAGCATGCTTCTGTCAATTTTATTTATTTTATTTTTTATTTCCTTTTTTTGGAGTCTTGAAGCATTTTTCTTGATTAATAATACACGAATTTTTCTTACAATTCCCGTTAATTGTTTCCAAAAATCAATGGTAATCATCACATATGGTTTAGTTGTAAATATTTATAGATATTCAATAATATTTTGGGCAAATTTCATAAAACCCCCGCTACTTTCATTTTTTGATCATCAAACCCCAACCTGTTTCTAAAAACCCCTATACTTTTAAAAAATGTTCACATTGCCCCAATATCCGTATCCGATCCGTTAATTGGGCTGTGAAATGAAAAATTTGACCTTACCATTTAATATTAAATTAAAAAATAAATTTTTTTTTATTAAATTACAAAAACACCCTTAAATAGTAAGCATAGGCCACCCTTAAATGCTTTCACAAATTCCACCAAATCTCTGCAAAATGGGCTCTTCAATTCGATCCTGATCAGTCCACTCATACACTACGTCTTCAAACAAGATCAAAATCCCCAAAGAAAAGTGATCTGTGACTAATCAAACTTCAACGATGGTCGAACAACTCGAGACCCAAACCCTCACAGCTTCTTCAATGGCAAGCGCTCACAAAGGCAAGTTTTTCGCACTCTATTTGCTTCTTTTCTTTGCTTTTCCCCGTAGTTCTAGGGTTTTTGCACTCTCTGTTGTAACTGAACACGAACACAGTACTACTACTAATCACGAACCTAATTCTGATGAATCAAGTGTATTAATTCATCACCAAATTTAGCTGGAGAAGCTCGAAGAGCTGGTGAAAAACCTTAGTGAATTGGTGTCTAGGTTAGAATCCCAATTTTCGGGTTTGAATTTGATAAAGATTGAAACTTCGGATGATAAGAAGCAGAGTGTTGAGATACCCTTATCACGATTTGTTCATCGGGAAAATGTTGAAGTCGATAGAAAAAATTGTGCGTGGTGGTCTCTACAGTGGTGAATTAGGGATTGTTGCAAAAAGGATCGCAAGTGAACCCTTTTCTAGTGGCGACGGCGGTTTAACTAGTACTCTGTGTGTTCGTTTCAACTAAAAATTCAAAGGACCCATGATCGGCGACCTCCATGAACAACTTCGGTGAACATTCAAGATTTATTCTCTCTCTAGAACTGGGTATTTATTAGAGAGAGAATAATTGTTTCACATACCCATCTTCGGAGCTCTGCGACGAGCCAACAATGGCGACACGATATTGGGTGGTCTCTCTTCCCGTTCAAAACTCTCATTCCGATTCTCTTCTTTGGAGTCGCTTGTGAGAATCCATCTCCAAGCATTCCTTCGACACTTCTCTCTACAGGGTACTGATAGCAACACACACGCACATAAATATAGGCACTCATGTATATATATATATATATATATATATATATATATATACACATGAGATCTAATTTGAAATCATTAATTTTGCAGTTTAATATCCCAAATCGCCGAGTTGGAACATTGGATTCTCTTCTATCTCTCAGCGATGATCTTCAGAAGGTGAAATTTTTCCAAACCTAATTACACTTTTCGTTGTGATTTCGAGTCATTGTGTTTAGATTTGCTTAATTCGCTACGTGGAATGATGTGTAGTCGAATAGCTTCATCGAATCAGTGTCTCACAAGATTCGGCCCCAGATTGAAGAATTGGAGAGGGTTTCGGGCGTGGTTAGTAGTTCATTGACAGGTAGATGGTCTGTTTTAGAGAGAGAGAAGGGGTGAAGAAGAAGAAGACTTGAAGGGTATTTTTGTAATTTTAAAAAATAATATTCAGTTTTTAATTTAATATTAAATGGTAAGGTCAAATTTGTCATTTCACAACCTAATTAACGGGTCGGATACGAATATTGGGGCAATGTGAACACTTTCAAAAAGTATAGGGGTTTTTAGAAACAGGTTGGGGTTTTGTGATCAAAAAATGAAAGTAGCCGGGGTTTTAAGAAATTTGCCCTAATATTTTCTATTAATAGATATAGATATTTCATATTTTTTAAAATCTAACACGTTTCTCAGTACAGAGATTTACCATCATGATGAATGGAATTTATCACCACCTATCTATAGCACATCAAAATAGGAATCATTTCCCTCTTCAAGTGATAAAATTCTCTCAAGCCCAGTCAATGCCATCCATCTCTAGGAAAGTGATTTTTGAATTAAATCTCTGTATGCTTCGGCGTGCACTAGTCATTCATTGTTGCTCCAATAATCATGGTCTCTGACACAGTTGATGCAATCTAACTCTACTTTTGTTTTTTCCTTCAGTTTTGGGCATTGAGTTTTGTAATGTTCATGCTTGTGCATAAAAGCAAGTCTTTCTAGCCATCCATTTGCTTTGCTCTTCTTTCCTCTGATGATTCTGTCTTGTGCCTTCTTGAATTTCTTTAAAGGAATAGTGTTATTTTTTGCCATTAAAAATTTTACTTCTATTATTGTAATGGATTACTTTTTATGGATAAGTCATTTGAGAAATTCAGCCAATACCATCATGTTTCTTTTGTGTTTAATATGAATTGGCATCCCCAGCTATGCTCAAACTTTAACTGTTCTTAGTGTTGTGAGTTTTGAAATCTACCACTGTACTTTTCATTGAGTTTTACCAGAGTACCATTGGTTTTCTCACAATTTCTAAAAGTAGTGTTAGCTCATTTTGCATATTAACCAAGAGAATAGCCTTGGCCATTTTCCTGCCCTTCTCCAAATTCTGTTATGCTTTTGATTGGAGATGGTTCAGCAGTGAGCTAGGAATTAATGGCAAAGTAGATCCTGTTTTCTATCAATAGGCAGTGTATTCTCTTCTTTTTATTGTGGTCATTCAGCTTTTTTGTCTTAACACAAGCAATATTCTATTATTCTTTTTAATTAGAGTATAAATCTAGCCCTGACAACTGTGTCATCCCAAATTGCGATTCCACAAAATCTATTCGAGCACCTTCAATAATACTGTGACGGTTTCTTGCTCGTCATTTGAGAGTGGTCTTGTGAATCTTGGCAGTTGAGGACTTTATTAATCTTCTGTTACTGATCTCAACTCCAATCTGAAGTTGTAAGACAAATGATATAAAACCTCTGTGGTCCTAGCTACCTCAGGTCCACCATCATTCTATCATTTTCCTTTATACACTAACTTTACCAATCTGATTTACACAGGTTTGTGCAATTTCCCTTTATATGTTTTTTCTGTCTGTTTCTGTCACTGGAGTAAAATAATGACAGAGAGATGGCTAATTCTGTATGCTTGAGTGATAAAGGATCAAATAGAGTTAATTTTCTTGTTTATAGTACTATTTCAAGTTTCAATTCATGCGGTTTCTACTGTTTTATTTGACGATACAATTAAAATTCTTGAGCTCGTCTTGATTCTAGTTAGTAAGACAGGTTGTGTTTGGAAGGAGGAATGGCTTCCAATGGTTGTTTTAGATGGCAAGCATCTGGTAATTAGTGGAGTAATCATGGGTCTAGTCCTCCTTCATGACGTTAAATAAAGGAGACATGCTTTCACTGGCAACTAGAGTTTGATCTTCAATTCGCTTGGTGATTGTTCATTTAACCGCCAAACCCATCCATATGTACGCTTTGCTTTGACATCACTGATGAAGTAATTCTTTCAAAAGTAGCAAATGACTACTTTAGAAGTGCAAGGAATCCATAATGTATTTGCAAGAGAACTTACTAAAAGAAATTCTTAAGCTGTACACTGTTGACTTATTTATTTATTTTTAATATATATTATTTTTTATAAAAAGAAATTGAAAATGACACAGTTTCATGTGCAGAAGTTGCATGACTCACCACCAAGGCTCTAGCTCAAGTGGTATATCTCCTCCCATATGGGAAGTTGAGGGTTTCAAGTTCCCAATGGGACAATAGTAGGTTGGATGGTGTGCTTACTTACCAAAAATAAATAAATCCACAGCTGTAATCATTTTGAATCTACATACTGATTTTGAATAGAATTGTCCTTTGTGTAATAAGGGCATGTTAGACGGTCCAATAATCATGCATATTTTATTGTAGGTGGGACTTTTTCATTAATTGGACACTCAGCTGGAGGATGGCTTGCACGTGTATACATGGAAGAATTTGGGTTTTCCCATATTTCTTTGTTACTGACTTTAGGAACCCCTCACCTGTATGTATCAATTTTATTAGTGCATGTTCTTGCTATTGATCCCCTTGCTTTTGTCTGATTAAATTGTTGACAGCTGTTTAGCTTAAGAGCCTAATTTGAATTACATTTTATAAATAGATGTTTTTCCTTTCAGGCCACCTCCGAAAGGTTCGCCTGGAGTCATTGATCAAACAAGGGGCCTCTTGTATTATGTGGAGAACAACTGCGCAAAAGCTGTTTATACTCCAGAATTGAGATATGTATGTATTGCAGGGAGGTAAACTCAAAAGTCAAATCCTATTTTCTTGTTCTTACTCCTAAAATCGTGTTTCTCATTCTTCCACTAAACTACTTTATGAAAAACTTCTACTGATAAGTGCAAATTATTTTTAGGTAAGTTAAATGATATACTCTTATTAGGTTTTCTTCATGAAGTAGAAATTGCCTCAGCTTTATATTACATTTAGTCCGCCACTATTTCTAAATTTAATAAAAAAATCATGCTATTCCATGTTTACTGTATCTTGGCTAGCATTCATTATTAATTTTCTGATCATTTTTCTTCCCAAGAGCATAACCTGCCTAGTGATATGCCATGATAGCATATGAATTTTTTTGATCAAAGATGAACGCTTTGTTAATATTTGTCAACCTTATGCTCCGTTTGGTAGGAATTAAGAAAGAGGGGTGGAGGGAAGCTAGGAAGGAAAAAACAAACTTCCTTCGTTTGGTAGAGAGGAGGCAACGAGAGAAGAGAAAATAGGATGGATGAGTCATCCTCCTCCATCACAAATTTTCATCCCTCTAAATATGGACGGAAGACATGAAGGAAAAAAAGGCAAGGCTATTATAAATTTTTAAATTACAAAACTTACCTTATAATTAACACTCTCTCTTCTCTTCTCCCCTAACAAACAAAATAAGGTATTATCTCATTCTATTCTCTTCCATCTAACCAAACAAAAAGAGGGAATGACGTAATCTTTTCCCCAAGGATGTATCATTCATCTCTTCTTCTCTCCCTTCCATCCAATTTTCTTCTTTCCTACCAAACGGAGCATTAGAGTTGGCACAATTTAACCAAAACTAGCCAAACTCACCTTGGGTAAATGGATGCAAGGAGGCTCTAACTTTAACCCGATTATATTATATATGACTCTTAGTTGTTTTTCTGTTGTAGTATTAATTTCAATTATAATATTTCAGAAGCTTTATTTGTTTTAGGTATACGTCACCTCTTAGGCTCTTACTAGGTTTTCTTCATGGAGTAGAAATTGCCTCACAGCTTTATATTACATTTAATCCGCCACCATTTCTAAATATAATAAAAATCATGCTATTTCATGTATACTGTGTCTTGGCTAGCATTCATTGTTAATTTTCTGATCATTTTTCTTCCCAAGAGCAGAACCTGCCAAGTGATGTGCAACGATAGCACATGAATTTTTTTTTTTTTTTCCAAAGATGAATTCTTTGTTAATATTTGTCAACCTTAGAGTTGGCACAATTTAACCCAAACTAGCCAAACTCACCTTGGGTAAATGGATGCAAGGATGCTCTAACTTTAACCTGATTCTAGCATTTAATTTTTTTTGTTTATCTGTTGTATTGTAATTTTAGATTATGACATTTCAGAAGTTTTATTTGTTTTAGGTATACATCACCACTTTGTCATAGTGCTTCTTTATTGATTGGGCAGAGCATATAGCCGATCAGGCAATTAGACTCATGAGACACATAGGACAGTTAATGCATACGCACAAAATGAATGCTCAAATAGCTATTGTTCAAATATTGAAGAAAACTTGCTAAATCAAGAAATTCCTAGACACATGGTTAACATGATGCCATAGAGACACAGCAAGGAAAGCACACTTTTAGCTGACAAAGTCTTTCACCTTTAAGTAGCATCAGGTACATAAAATACGGAGTAAATACTAAACAAACATAATATAATGAACTAATGTGAAATCTTTGGCTCTATAGCCTACTACTTAATCGAATCAATTTCATCCGATGCTTTATAAGCCTGGCAAAATGTGGAATCTCAATGGATGCAGCAATTTCCAGGTACATACGAGGGGATCGCTTCTTGGGAAATTCAAATGAAAATTCTAGTTCTGCAGTTTTAACTGATGGTAACCAACTAATCCCTGAGGTTGCTATTGTAAATGATATGAACTCAACTACATCAACTGCCACCAACTTCCGTGCTCGTTTTGTCGGTCAGGGCTACAAGCAGGTAAATGTTCTGTTGGTTCTTTTGCCTACGCTAAACAGAAAGGGGAAATAATTGAAAAGTGTAATATTATTCAAGAATTTTTTTTTTTTTTTTTTACGTACTTCTAATTGGGTTGTCTTTATCTTCTTGGCTAAGCTGGGACCATATTCCACGGCTGCTTGGTGTCCTAATTTTGTATTATATGTCAGGTTTGTGGGCAGGCAGACGTATGGGGTGATGGAGTTGTGCCAGAAGTATCCGCCCACCTGGACGGTGCACTGAACATAAGTTTGGACGGAGTATACCATTCACCGGTTGGTTCAGATGATGCATTAAGACCATGGTATGGCTCACCCGCTGTTGTAGAGCAATGGATACACCACCTCCTCAACTAAGAAGTACATATAAGGTACCCAAAAGAGAAGAGGAATGAATTATTTCATTTGTTGTCAATATAATTCACATTATACAACATTATAAATCCGATATCTAATTAAGTCATTTAGTCCAATCAGTGAAATGTTCAACTGTTCAAGTTTTCTGAAACCGCTCTTTTAGATGTTCAACTGTTCAAGTTTTCTGAAACCTCTCTTTTAAAAATTATGTCTTTTCTATTATTCTTTCTTTGTCTCATTCTTGTTTCTCCGTGGAACTTAGATAAAAAGATCAGAGCTATTTCTCGAGAAACTTTGGCATATCTCATTTGTGGACATCGGATTCATCTTCGGTAACTTCTGAGCAAATAAATCTGGTTCAGCATCTTAAAGTCCCAACTGTTTTATGTTTAGTCTCTCCTCAAATGCGGATGGTGTTTATTTTTCCTTGTGCTATTGTGTTTGAATCTGTGTGAACACCTGTAAAACGCGATGAACAATCCAAAAATCATTGGACGAGGAGATCCAAATTTTCTTTTGAATTGTAATTGTATTGATTAAACTTCTTGGTATTCTAAATATTTCCTTTGATAGCGTGTAATTGAAAGTATTATTGCAATTTTTTTTTTGATGACAATACTTGCCCAAAAAGAAAAAGAAAAAAATCTGGATGTGCATTGAAAATTAGTAAGCTTTCTTTGGTGACTTTCAGGAAGTTGAAATGAGAAGAAAAAATTAATAATAATAACGGCTGGATATTCATCTCCTGGACTTTTACAAGTTAATGGTAGTCGAAACATCATAGGTAAAAAAAGAGAAATTGTCATAATTTGATTTACTCGTAAACATCTCACTGTCAAATTAGTGATCATCAACTGAAAATCTGGTAGATTGTGGCTGTATGACGAGTTAGATGATCTCTACTCAGGTAGAACACTGGTCAGGGCGAAGAGTTATGTCAATTGCAGAGAAAGAAAATACCATACTCGTACAATATAGTTCCAGGGATTTTAATTTCACCCATGAATTGATGTTTGGCTGCATTAATATAACTTGTTGGAAAAATGAGAACGAAAGTAAAATATTTTTTTGAGTCCATCGGCTGTAATATAATTTGTTTTTTTTTCTTAAGTTTCAACAAATTTTCTAGTGCAATTTTAAAAAAAGCAAAGAAGAAAAGGCCCAAAAAGAAAATCACAGAAAAAAAATTTCCAACGTCAAAAGTTTGGAAAAAAATTTCTGAAAGATATTTTCCACATTGTATACCCACACCTCAGTTAGTGCTGCTACGAGCTAAAAAATGAATGAAAATGATAAGAGACCAATACCAGAAACACAGAAGAGGTTTTTCAATCTACATATCTACCCATTTCTACAAGGTGTCCCAGCTAATAAGATCTTCCGAGTTAGAAACCAGACCCAAGAGTTCACTTCTAACCAAAAGCAACATCAACAATTCAAAGGTTAACGAGAGCTTGCTCAATGAATTCTAAACAAACATCAGAAGCAGTCAACCAGTCTTCACAAAATGTTGGGTCAGCAACTTTCCAATCTCCAGGAAGCCAACTCTGTCCTTCCCATCAAACACCGTCTTCAGCTTGGTATCACAACAAATCACCTTCCTATCCACGGGGTCCTGCATGAAAAACGCACACAGTTAACTACCCCAAACAAAGCTTTTCAATAGCAGCATGAAAATCAATATCTATATATAATATTAAATAAAGGTTCAACGCGATGCCCATGAGCCTAAGTCAACAGCCAATGTAATCAAAATCCAATGGAACAAATCAAGTACATAAAAACATCAGAGGAAGTAAAAGAAGATATAATGCCAGCCAGCACAACCACAACCACAACAAAAGGAATAAAATGCATCTACATGTATGTCCCATGTTGTGTGCCACACATGCATGTATCAAAATATAAACAAAGGCTTACACCTCACATTATGAATGAACAGACTCCACTAAAAAACAAGCATAGCTTGACAAAATTTCTTCGCAGAGAATCATTCAAGTGTAGGAGAATACTTTACATTCTCTTTCTCATGTACCAGTTCTATATCTTATAGGTGATTTTTCTACATGTTCCAACAATTAAGGATGGTTGGCCTACTTATATAAATTCCTCTTCTTGAGAAATCAGGGATCTGGAATTAACACTCATGCAACAACCTTTTCATAAAACTTTAAAGAGTTGACTCAATCATTAGGTCAACTATTTCCACTATATGAATGTTCTTGTAGAGGATTCATGCTACTATCAAAAAGTATGACCAAGGCTCACTTTTAGGTCGGATGGAAGATTGGCACACAAGTGTAACCCAAATTGAAACAGTGGGGTGGCATAGAGTGGTAAGACTTAAAGAGTGCCCTCAGGTAAGGATAAACAATCTGGGGAAATTGCCAGAATCCAGTCCATGGCAGTGTCAGACAGAAAGGAATGGTTTGGAGGCAGAAATCTTAAGCTTTTAAGAATTATGGATGGAAATAGCAACCCGAGATATTAATCAAAATCCAGATTAGGAATTGACAACAAATTTACTATTAGAATGAAATTCAGGAATGACATGAAGGTAGAGAAAATTAGAAACAGAAATGCAGCAGAGACTATTGCTTTCGGCCTTCTTCACACAATTCTGTATTCAACATTCCTATTCTCACATTAACAAATACTTTGCCTCATAAGAAATGAATCAGACAAGAACAAACAGCCTCACCCCAGTAAACCAGCAATTATTCTATTTTTTCCCTGGTTCTTGAGGGTAAGAAGGTAACAACTTCTGCTTCATCCTAAAAACTCATTAAAAATGTTTTTAATCATGCAACAGTCTTTTTGGTTACCCTTTTCTAAAACCACCATTGTAAGATAGTTACTCTACAAACTAAATCAAAAGGAAGAAGCACTGGGTCACCAAAGCTCAAATGTCATAATACACTAAAATAGCCCCATTAATGACTATAATTATTAAATCAATATTTATATAAATTCAAGTAGAAATCTGATTCAAAACTAAAGATATGTGTGCTGCAAATTAGTTGTTAACCTTGGGAATGGATGCTGGTTCGATTTCCTAAAGTGGGCATTAATAACATCGTCATCCTTGCCTCTACATAGGGCCGGCTACATGAATTATCTTCTTCTATTATGAACTATGTCTTATATCCAATATGATTTCTACAACTTAACCCAACAAAGCCTTTTCCCAGCTCTCCGTGTCTTTGTTGAATTTGCATTCCTTGTGTTCCATTTTAGTTCTTTTAAGTATATGTCTCGTTTCAAGTTACCATGAAAACTAGTACAAGTATTCACATCAATCTAAATTGAACCACCATTGTGCATAACTACCGCAAGGAAGCGAATTGCTACCCTAGAAAACCAGTCTCAGAGAACCAATACACATACAAAACAGCCTGGTACTCTGCTTAGGACCCCCAAAATACCACAATAAACTCCTTCCTCACCACAATTTAGAAACAATAGAGAAAAATAAATCAATAGCAATATAAGTCCTCTGTTGTAAAAACCAGAACAAGCAGCATGAATTCTCGAATAAAAATTAAAATACAAACATGTATGCACAAATAATACACACATGGAGAGATCATCCTTAAGAAACCCATAAAAAAGAAAGCAAGGCTATCAACCAGCCATTTACATACAACAGATGAGTGATATTTTCAAGACGAAAAGAGTGATATATGCATCATATATAACACATATATAACATATAGAGTTTATTGTATTCTTGTTGCTCATTCTTTATATCCCTCAAGACCTTAGGGTTTCATTTCTTGTTACACGCACATGTATAATGTATTTGCTCATTTTTCCTTTCCGCGAATATCACTCGGTTTCTTGTACGTAAGATGCTCAGCCATAAACCAACCATTTACATACATGAAATTAACTGATATTTACAGGACTAAAACTGAGTTGAATAACACTTGTCTGTTACGAGAAACGAAACCCTAGGGTCTTAAGATAGATAAGAATGAGCAAATAAGATGAAATGATGTACATACATAGAGATAGACCTGAGGGTTGTGGAGTTTGATGTGGTCCATCATAGGAGAAACTAGCTTTATTCACAGAAAGGAAAACTGAGCAAATACATAATACATGTGCGTGTAACAATAAATGAAACCCTAAGGTCTTGAGATATGTAAAGAGTGAGCAAACAAGAATACAACAATATACTATATATGTGGTTATATACATGTATAACAAGAAATGAAACCTAAGGTCTTGAGATATATAAAGAGTGAACAAATAATAATACAACAATACAATATACCATATATGTAGTTATATATGTGTAACAATAAATGAAACCCTGAGGTCTTGAGATAAAAAAAGAGTGAGCAAACAAGAATACACAATACAATATACCATATATGTAGTTATATGTGTGTAACAATATATGGGAGCATAAGGTTTTGAGATATATAAAGAGTGAGCAAACAACAATACCCAACACAATATTACCATTTATGTAGTTATATGTGTGTGTAACAATAAATGAAACCCTAAGGTCTTGAGATATACAAAGATGGGAAAACAAGAATACACCGCCAATATATATGTGTGTGAAATCCTAAGGTCATGAGTTATATAAAGAGTGAGAAAACAAGAATACACTGTCAATATACTATATATGTAGTCATATATATGTGTATTTGCATATATATAAGGACCTGAAGGTCTTGGAGTTTGATGTAGGCCCAGATCTTCTTGACGGCGTCGGTGCGAGAGCTCTCGGGAACGCCAAGGAATTCGCTGAGGGCTGGTGATATAGGAGACACCTTCAGAATGCCTGAGGATCGAGCCACTGTTGAAGGTTGTTTTGGTGGTCGTGGCGAGGATGAAAGTGGCTTGGTGGCCTTGGCGGCGGCGGTACCCTTCTTCGTGGCGGTACCCTTCTTCGCGGCGGTGGATTTGGCGGTTTCCGCCTTCGCTGCGGCCAACAGGGCCCTGCAACCCTTGAAAACCCTAGAAGACATTTCACCCCCTTTGTTTGATTTTGAAACTCTCTCCCTCTCTACCTAGCCGATGAGTGATGATGGTATAACAACTACTAAGTCGCACTCTGCTTGACAGCTTGAGCACTCGATTAAGGTCGTGTCATTGTCGATTGTTATTAATTGGTTAGGTTAAGATGTTTTCAAAATAAAATTTTAAAAAGGGCACAGTGTAAATAAATAAAAAAAATCTTATATTCATGAAAATTAAGAAATTATTTAAATTATTGATTTGTTGCGATTAAAGATAAACTCATCACAGATTATTTTATCTTTTATTAAATTTGTCATTTCTTATTAAATTATTTTTTATTATATTTTCTCTTATTTGAATATTAATTATATTATTTACCTTCATTCTATAATTAGTATCAATTAATTATAAAAATGAAAAATAAATAAATAAATGTATAGTTATCATTTTTTAAAATGATTAACTTATTATAATAAAACTTTCAAACTCACTTTAAAAAAAAATAGTATAAAAAAATACCTTCTTTTTCAAACAATATTCATGAAAAATTAATAAATTACATAAATAAAAAATATCTTATATTCATGAAAATTAAGAAATTACTTAAATTGTTTCAAAATTTTCTATTTAATATTTTTATTTAAATAATTAATTAAAAAAATTAAAGGCAAACTTATACAAATTTAATGGAGAATATTTCATCAAATTAGTATGAATTTTTTTCAAAATTTATTTTAACAAGAAAAAATATATCTAGTGTAATTCAATAAGAAATGGTATTATGGTCGTTTAATGAAAAATAAGTAAGACAATGGGACATTTTGTAACTAAATGTGATAGTTTATGAGATTTTATGTACAAAATATAGTTCAAAAAGGTTATTTACAAATTTAGACATAGTTGAGGGGATTTTTTGCACTTTGTCCTTTAAAAAAATTAGAATTAATTACATTCACATCTCCCAGATGAAAGTTAGTTTATTTTAGAACAATGCCACTCATGGCAGGAATTATAGCCAAACAACCCTAAAACAGTGTGAAAAGTCAAAATTGCCTTTCATTGTTCTATTTTTTTTTTAATAAAAATATGTAATGACAAAAATGCCCATTTCATAATTATTACGTCTTTCTCCTCTCTTCTTCCTCTGTCTTTCCCTCTTTCTCATCTCAACCTCCGAACACCACCACCACCCCCAAGTACAACTAGGGATGGCAATTCGTGTTCGTGGGTAATAACCGTATCGTGTCGATGTAAGGATATCATACTAAACAGGTAAACTCAAACCCGAATCATTTAATATTCGTATTAAGAACCCTCAACACTAAGCTCAACCTGTTTATTAAACGAGTAAACATGTTAACCCGTTTAATGATCTGTTTATCAAAACGAGACATTTAATATTTAATCAAATAATAAATAATAGAAAAAATTTGTCACAATTAACCCAAGTATTTAAAATAAAAAGAAAAATCATAAGGTGTAGACAAGGTTTACAATGAAATGACTCAACTATTTATATTAATTGGATTTAAACAAGTAACATATTACATAGGTTGTATTCACGATTATAACATGTTTAGTTAAACGAGTCATAAACGAGTTATACGGGTTAAACCAATCAACCCTAATTTGACACGCTTAAGTAAATGCGTTAATTGTGTCAATCTATTTATGATCCGAACTCACTTAAAGACAACCCAAACCCTCTTATCTTGTGTCATGTTCGAATTGTATTGGCGATTAATTTGTCACCCTTACCCCCAACCTTGACACCAGGGCCACCACGACGGCACGACCACCACCATGTTAACGTAGACTAATAAGGCAATAACCAAATAAACTTGGCACGATAAGAACCTTAATTGCCCTCTCCAGCACTCGTATAACCTCCTGAAAACTACCTAAACTACAGTAAATCGCCACCAACAGAAACCCATATCAGATTTGTAGATTTTTGTTTGTAAGGAGAGAGAAGTAGGAGGTTTGAGAAAGAGTGTCTTAGTGGAAGAACAAGATGAGTAGGCACTGTTCGATTGCTTCCTTTTGGGTAGTAATGGATTGCAATTAGATGTGCGGCAGATCAAGAGCGATGAATGCTCACTGAAGAAAATTGCAAGTTGGGCGACTCAAATCAGTGTTCCGAGAAGAGACTGTTTCATAATGATGGTGTTGATTACGATGAGGCAAAAAAACAAAGGAGATTTTTCGTTATCGTTCTGTGTGATTGCAATTGGGTGGTAGGAGTGTGATTGTTAACTTTGCCAAATCTGAAAGGTATTATTGTTAAAAAGTGAGTCAATTTTCTTCTGATTGTCAACAGAGGAAACCTCAGGAATGTAATTAACAAAAAACTGCAAACAATAAAAATACGAATGTTGTATTGATTTATTATTTAATTAAGTGAAAAGCAAATTAAATTTTTAAAATACCAACTTTGTGCAAATGAATGAGGTTTTTTTTAAGGGCTAGTAACCTAGTGATATTAGTCTCTTATTTCCCAAAATGATATCAGTGGTTCAAGTTTCAGAAAAGATAAGTGTGTGTGAGTACCAACTAGGAAAAAAAAAATGAAGGTTTTTTTTTTTTTTTTTTTTTTTTTTTTTTTTTTGTGATAGTCAAATAATAAAGTTAGTTAAATGTGGGAATGATATATTAAACTTATTAAAATCTAGAATACACAAAGAGTGTAGGATAATTTAGTTTTTTCTATTGCCTCCGGGGACATAGCAACGTTGGTAGAATCTGGAAGGTAAGTCATTGAGGTCTAGTTTTCGAATTTCATTCTTAACTTGAATGGTGCATGTATTGTGGGACCAATACACGTGTTCTAAAAAAAATATAAATAAAAAATATTATTTTTTCCTATCAAACAGAGGGGTGAATAGTATATTTTTGTTAAACAAAAAAAAAATGAGGAAATTGATATTCCCACCCTTCCAAATTACTCTTGCATTTGATTACTGAGTAGAAAAATTAAATAAATTTTACATTCTACTTCAGTGCATGTGTGATGAATCAAAAATGTTTTTTTTGGTAATGTAATTTTTGAATCAACAAGAAAAAAAATGTATGTATATGCATATAATATATACAAGCCAACGGATTTGAGTAACATTTACCCTTAGGAAACATAAAGTTTTGAAAAAAAAAAAATTTAATAAATAAAGTTTTGAGAAATTATTTTTTGGCCAAGCATTTCAACTAAAATGATTGATTGAAGTACTCTACCAAAATACCCACAATCGTGGAATGAAGTAGAGTGAGATGACTGGATTTCGGCTCAAATGTTGGGCCTATGTAGTGTGACTCAAAAGTTTCTATCAACACGAAGCTCCGGTCCAACTGCAACTCAATTGATTTTTGATTGAGATATTAGGGGTTTTTTTTTTTTTTTTTTTTTTTTTTGTTCTTTTCATTAGGTCCTCCAAGTTTGAAGGTATAATCATTTTCCTTTTATTAAGTTTGAGTATTAAAATTATATATATATATATATATATATATATATATTGACATATCCGGAATTATCAACCAACTTTCCTTTTGGAGAGATTGTGGCATCATTGGGTTAGGGTTAAATCACACAAAGCCAAAGCAAGAATGAGCGAAAACAGCTAAATTTAAGTCACACAGGGTTTCGTTTGTTTCTTGAAAATTTTTAATTTTATTTTTTAGTGTTTGACAAAAGGTCTAGGTGGAGTTTGAAGTCTAATCCATTGGATGGGGCGTATAAAATAACTTGGTGAATAAGTTATTTTTGTAAGATTTTAATATTTTTTTCTTACCGAACACCAAAAAATAAAAAATATATTTTCTAAAGATTATTTAACATCCAAACAAATGAGCCAGAATGTGAGTAGAAACGGAAATGCGCGCATATGGCATAAGACCATATGTAAAGTGTAAAGTGTAAGAGCGACACCTATTGAAAATGATTGTGTGACTCAGGAATTAGTGTATAAGTTGACAATTCTTTATGATTGTGTTGGGTTTCGGCTTTTGATTCAAAAGTTAGCCAGTTGGGTCGGAGCAGGTCTAGGCCTGAACCCAGACTTATTTGGGCCTACTTATGAAGCCAAGCCCGCATGATTTGCAGCCCATAATAGCAAAAAACAATTCATGAATCGAAGTAAATAAAAGCCTGCTTGTCTCTCTCTCATCCTCAAACAGGCTCTCTCTTTCCTTATCCATTTATTTATCAACACAATTCAATTCTCAGCACATCTCTCCCTACTCTCTTCCCTTCTCCTTTCTACACTCTGCATAATATCTTCTCTATTGCTTTGACTCTATCGATTCATCGGCACAGACTTGTATACAAATATGATATGATATATATGCATAAATATATACATATATATGAGAAAATAATAGAAAAATGTCGTGCTTGCTGCCGCAGTTCAAGTGCCTTCCAGACAGTTTCTCCATCCATGCCAAGACTCACCATCAAGCCACCACTCAACTCCGTTAGTCTCTCTCTCTTTATATATGTATATATATACATATATGTATATGTGACCATTAATTGTGTACATTTTAATTGGAATTGGAATGGGAATGGGGAAGTTAGATTTTTCTGGGGTTCAGAACTGATTTCAAATTTCTGATTCTACATTGTTCAATCGAGAGACTTAATTTTTTTTTTTTTCTTATAAAACGAGCAAATCCAGTTCTATTCAATTTTTATACACCAATGTGAAATTTACTGATTTTATCTCACACTTAATGTATTCTATTGATTGATGAAGTTGTTGTTTATATGTCTGATTTAGTTATTGGCACTTAAAGTGTATGTTTAATAGCCTTAGTAGATGCTATTTGTTTTGATTTAGCTGGTATTTTAATTTTTTTTATTATTATTTTTTTGTATAATAATTTAAGCGATTATACCCTATTCTCAGCTCATGAGTGATGGCATTCTCTGTGCGTGTATATGTATATATATATTTAATGTATGATACATATGTGACCATTAATTGTTTATAGTTTAATCAGAAGGGGAATGGGGAAGTTCGAGTTTTCTGGGTTTAAGAACTAATTTCAATTTTCTGATTCTGCATTGTGAAATCGAAAGAATTTAAATTCTGTCCCTGTTAAATGTGCAAACGCAGTTCTTTACAATTCTTATACATCAATGTGAAATTTACTGATTTTACGTCACACTTAATGGAAGTCTCATTGATAATATTGTTGTTTATAAGCCTGATTTAGTAATAGACACTTATTGCTTCACAAGTGTATGCTTATCTGCCTTAGTAGATGCTATTTGTTTTGGTTTAGTCTGGTATTTTTAATTTTTTGGTGTATAATCATTTAAACGATTATAACCTATTCTCAGCTCCATGAGTGACGTATTCTATGGTGTATGGGTTTATTTTGTCGGATAAGGAAATAAAGTCTCTTTGCCCACTGTTTGGTTCCTCAGAAAATTGGGAGAGAACCAAATAAAATGTTGAATCTTTTGATCCATGTTGTTTTGGTTTTAAAAAAATGTAAATATTGCCTTGAATGAGTCAGATAGTGGTATTATGCACAAGTGAATGAAGGATTTTGCTTTCTTTTGGCCCCAATTAATGAAAAATCTAGTATTCAAGATACTAATTTCCATCTTTCTCCTGCAGTTTCTAAGCAATCAGGTGGAGTCATAGGGGTTATATTAACCGATCCAATATGAATTTGGCCACATCAGTATGTATGAATGAGTTGCTGAGCACAATAATTTGTCTACTTAAACTATTATATTTCTTGGAATTTAACAATGAGAAAGAAGAACATCTCTGTTATTGGCGGTCTATGTCATAGGTTTCTAACTCGAGCAATATATTTAATGTTATAATAATTTATTGTTCTTGTTTTCTATTTATCAAGAAGAAAATAAATGATTAATAAAAATGATTACTCTGAAAATGGAAAGGAAAACTTGGCTGTTGGCAACGACATTATTACTGGTACAAGTAAAAAATGATATTAGGCTAGGTAGCTTATAAACCTCTTGGTAATGTCATGTGTATTGGTAAGTTAGCAAGCGGATCAAAAATGTTTTTAGGCTAGCATGTGGTAGCTTGTAAACCACTTGATTATGTTATGTCTCGGCAACTCTCTCTCTCTGAAAATTGCCTTGGCACCTAAACACTTGTTTATATAACGCTCTAATAAAGGATTTAACTGCCCCTATATTCTTCATTGTGAAAAACTGGTAAGCAAAGACGATGCTGCAATGTCTGACTTTATGTAGTTTATTTTTCATTGCTTTTTCTGTGACCTATCCAATTCCTGTCTTTATTAGCTTGAAAATTAATGCGGTGTATGCCCTTTCTTCTCATGGAAGCATGTTTTTCTATGATCTGCATTTAAGGTGCTTGAGTAGAGACTACTAAATAGAACTTACTGAATTTTTTCTCCATACTCGTAGTGAATAGCATGAAATTCTCACTTGAAATAAATTGTTTTGATCAAGAAACTTTCCGAGCTATTAACAAATTGGGAGAGAATCACAATTCTTTGAGTGAAAAATAGTGAGAGGTTTATTGGTTTTTGTTGTTTTCCGTTGTATATAGAGTTCCAAATCTTATTATTATTGGTTGAAATATGCAGCAAAAAATAGAGAGCCTGTTTACTTCCGGACGCAATGCATTTTATCCACTACATCCCCACCATTACCAACAGTAACAAGTACTGTGCTTGATATGGAGAAGCTGAAATTACCGTATTTAGAAGCTCATTCAAATCCTGTTACTGCAAACAGACCTTGGATGTATATAGGGGCAACTGGTCCGCCCACAGAGGTCAGAATCAATCTTTGTTGGTTACATAGTGATAGAAGTTATAAAAAATAAAAAATAAAAAAAAGCAGGAAAGGTGGAATATTCATGTTTTGCATTGATTTTTTCTAGCTTGATTTACAAGATAATGTGTTTGGTTTGAACCAGCTGACAGAATGTGTCTTAATCTTTTCTTAGTTTTAAGCAAATGGAGAGAGTTTTTTTTGCCAAAGTGGTATCCAACGGGTTTTGCCAAGTTGCCGGTGGGCAGGGGGGTAAACTAGTAATATAAAATAAAATAAAATAATTGTAATGATTTTTTTTTTTTTATTTTCAATGCATTTTTAATGATTATTTTTAAGAGCCTGTCTATAAATGATACGAGAAGAATAAAATAAGATAAGAACAGTTGGCAGCCGATAAATGAGATTGTCAATCGTCGATCATGCTTTTTCTTCTCCTTTAATTTATAACAAATAATGTATATGTATATGAATAGATATATAAAAAGATATACATATATATATATATATATATGAATAGAGTTCTAATATATATGTAGTAGCTAGCAGGGATTACAATAATAATTAACAGGTTTTTTACTAGATTTAAAATTTTAAAAGCAAGACTAGAAAGGTTCTTTCATTATAAATAGGTAACCATAAAAATGATTTTATTAATAAAATGAAGATAAGAACAGTTGGCAGCCGATAAATGAGATTGTCAATCGTCGATCATGCTTTTTCTTCTCCTTTAATTTATAACAAATAATGTATATGTATATGAATAGATATATAAAAAGATATACATATATATATATATATATGAATAGAGTTCTAATATATATGTAGTAGCTAGCAGGGATTACAATAATAATTAATAGGTTTTTTACTAGATTTAAAATTTTAAAAGCAAGACTAGAAAGGTTCTTTCATTATAAATAGGTAACCATAAAAATGATTTTATTAAAAAAAAAATTGGTGGGGCCAACTTTGATTTTCCTATACAAAATCTCCATTAATAGCCATAAATAAGTAGCATTAATAGAGTTCTGAGAAAATTTTGGGGGGTGCACCCCCCCCTCCTCTCTCTTGCAGGTGGGGGATCCAATTCTACTAATTTCATTTCTTCAATTAATGGAAAATAATTTTATGATATCAATCCCAAGAACAAAGAGCACTGGGCAGCTTGCTATCTCTTAATTTCTTATTGTCAGTCAAATCAACCCCCATAGGGTAGCTGAGTTGGGATAGTTAATATGTAATTTATGTATAGATTCTCATATTATCTATTAGGGTCACTCCCTAGAGTGGATCCTAGATGAAAATTACAAAATCATGTGCCCTATTCATGAACAATATCTTGATTATAAAATAATCTCTCGTCACTTCCTGCATTGATTGATTTTCATATTAATCTACAGGCAAACTTTGCAGCTACTTTGGCGACAGAAACTCTTCTTACAAGTGATGAGGCTATTATAGCTGCTGCTGCCGCCGAAGCAGTTGCCCTAGCAAAAGCAGCAGTGAAGGTTGCGAAGGATGCGGCCGTGATGGTCAGCCGTAACAACTCTACAAAATCAGATAGCAAACCTACAACTATCCTATCTGAAGCTGACTCTTTCCAGTTTGGAAGGGCTGAGCTTGCAGAAATAGCACGAGTTGGTTTAGTTGAAGAATCCAAGGAAGCGGAAACAGAGTTTGGGGAAAACTATTCATTGCAGTACCCAATTAAAGAAGCTGATGATTTGGAGCCAACGCATGAAGAGCTTGAACTTCTCCAGGCACAACTCTCCAAAAGTATTGCTGTGAGATCAAATCGTCAAACAGAACGAAAAGCCAAAAGAGCAAAAGCAGCAGAGAAGTCTGCAGCTAGTATTGTGTCCGTGAAGCCTGGTTCTACAAGCCGGAGAAAGCGTGTTTCTGTACAAGACATAGACTACTCTGATCCGTTGCGTTACTTGAGAGGAACTACTAGTTCTTCGAAGCTTCTCACTGCTACTGAAGAACATCAGTTGTCTGAAGGAATACAGGTGCATTTCACATTTAGCAGTACTGATTTTTTAAAGAGAACTGGTTCTTTGCTATCATTTGCTTTGTTGTTTAGAATATAATATTTGTTCTCATCTTGACTGCTATCCACCTAGTGTCCAATGTTGGTCACTAGGCAGATTTTTATTAAGCAAATGTCATGGTGAATGCATTTTTATATGGGTGAAAATTTCTATTCTTTGGAGGTAAACAGAGACTGTAGAAACTGCTAGTATTGTAGAAGAAAAAGCGTAGTAAACAATAGTGACATGAAGCTTTTTATGTTGCTCCTCAATTTAATATGGCCCAAGTCTGAAATTTCCTAATGATATCAGAATACTTGAGATAATTTTAGATTCCTCCCCCAGAGAGTTAGAGACGTCATTTTTTTTTTTTGGGAATAGTCCGGAGGCATCAGCTAACTATTCTACGTAATTGGTTCTTCAAATGGTTGCAAAGACTATTCTGCTTTTTGTTTCTAATATTGGCTGAAATCCAAGTAAGTTGCTGATTTGGATTCTAATGGAGGGGAAGTAAAATAACCTTCATGAAATCCTCTTGGGAGTTCTCTATTATTTACCCTAGCAATTTTATGAAACAAATTTTGCTGTTCTGCTTAACAGCATCCCATATCAAACCCTGACATTTGTGCACACACACAGCACGGGGGAGAGAGAGAGAGAGGCTTCAGTTTGTTTTGGGTAAGAAGGTTTAAATATTACTCCTGAATGGCTTCCAAATCATTTGGGAAAACTATTTCAACTTATATGCCATTTCACAAGGCAGGAACATGCTGATGGATCACTTTCTCTGCTCTAGCAGTAGGATATGTGTATTGGAATACTGGGGATACAATGTGGGCGAGAGTGGGGCAGCCAAATAGAGAGGTGGAGTGAGAGTGATAGCAGTAGTCCAGCCCAAAGGGTCACGAAATCCAGCACTAACGTCCACCCTAAATTATGATTTCTGGACATTAAAGTTGTAGGTCTAGCTCATTAGAGTGGACTATTTACACATTGCCCAAACCTAGAACTACAAATGAACCAAGCTTCATGAACAACTTAGGATTAGTGCGAGTTCAATTCACGTTCATTTGTCAAGCAAATGAATCGAACTCAAACAACAATTTCTAGTTCGTTAACTAAACAAGCTGAGCACAAACAAACCTTAGTTCAAATCATTAGGCTTGTAAGGATATTGTTAACAAGCTTGTTAGGGCTTGTGAAAATGGTTCTTTTTCTAGGGTCTGATTGGGCCTGTAGTTGATTTCCCCTTCCCCCCCCCCATCCCCCTCTCTCATTAAACATTCAGCTCGGAAATGACTAGATGAGCAGAAACAAGCTGAGCTTGAGTACTTGTATCCACACTCAGCTTGTTCCTGAGCAATGATCAAAAAGCCGTCTGATTTAATTGATATGAGTTCAAAAGGCGACCACCTATTTTTTACATGGACTTGGGTACGTGTATGCATCAATGTGTCGGACGTGTCAAATCTCTAAACAGGACACACGGGGACACATTGACACTGCTAAATATTCATTTTATTTTATAAAGTAATGTTTTGATCTAATATAGTGTTCAATATAGGCATTTAACTCATTTTAAAGTAATAATATAATATAATTGAATGATTGAATATGGGTTTTATAAGTACATGTGCAACCAAGAGAGTCACACATATATCACATACCCATGTCCAAGCAATATGTGTCCGACACGGGTACTTCACTATTTTTGAAGAGTCCAGTAACATAGCTAACCACAATGCTGCAAAGTGTCATCTCCTTGTGGCGTGCACCAGCATGAGCTATCGATGTAAGACCAAATGCATTTGCATGTTGTCCGAGTGTCTTTGAGTACATTCTTTTTTTTTTTTTAACCTTCCAGACAAGCCAAAGCTTACGCTACCCTGGGTATGGCCCAGAGTGAAGAGCCAGCCACCTTAGGTTGCCCCCAACTCTGATGGCCAGTCTCTGAACCTTGGGATGCCCAAAGCCAAATATATCAGAACCATGCTACTTGGAAGCACCGGAACTCTCCATGACAGAAGGTCCCCTGGATTCTGCTCTGAGCTCAGAAAGGCTATTAAGTGTCAATGTGCCTCTCATATAGTTTCTCACATGAGAGAGTAGTGGCTTCTGAAAGTGAACAGGTATGTTCAGGCACACTACACAGGTGGCGTAGGTCAGGAGACAACCCTTGTGGGAATGTTAGATGATTGTGGTGCCACATGGCCTTTTCTACAGTGGTTTGAGGCTCAATTATTGTGGTCCATGTGCGTGCTAAATCCAATTTATAATGTGTCAACAAAATATAATATTGACAGTTCACCGTTAAAAGTTACACAGGAAGCTTGCTGATCGAAAATTCCTTATTAGAATGGTTAAAAAAAAATACCTTTTTTATTTTATTTTGATCATCAAAATTCTCATCATTATTTGGGAAGGGGGTGTTGTTCTGATTCAACCTTGTCTTGTTTTTTGCTTTTAGTAATTTATCTCATCTGATTGATGATGCCTGCACTGTCATTAATTTAATACAGGGCCTATTGAAATTGGAAAAACTCCAAGATGAGCTTGTTGAACGTTGCGGCGGTCAGCCCACTATTGCACAATGGGCTGCGGCAGCTGGTATTGATCAGAGAACCCTAAGGACACGTTTAAGCTATGGTATGCGTTGCAAAGATAGAATGATAAAAAGCAACATACGGCTTGTAATTTCAATTGCAAAAAATTATCAAGGAGTTGGGATGAATCTCCAAGATCTCGTTCAGGTATCAGTTTTCCCTGTGTATAATTGCAAGATTGAGGCTTCTCTTTAAATAAAATTCATTACAAGTGTGATACCTTAATAAAATGTGCTGATTTCGATGCTTATATTGACTTGCCTTGCTAATCGACTCTCAGGAAGGATGCCGAGGCCTTGTAAGAGGTGCAGAAAAGTTTGATGCTTCGAAAGGGTTCAAGTTCTCAACCTATGCTCACTGGTGGATTAAACAGGCAGTTCGGAAGTCGCTTTCTGATCAATCCAGGACAATTCGCTTACCAGTAAGTCTTCCATGTGCATTTCAAGTGATATCATCTATGCCTACACATAGATAACCTTTTTGACCTGTTGATGCAAAGAAAAAGGATGAGATTATTTACAGATGAGGTCAATTTTTAACTTCTATCATCATATTTTCTTCTTGTAAGTGCAATATTATTGGCTTTACAGTTTCACATGGTTGAGGCAACTTATAGAGTGAAGGAGGCAAGAAAGCAATTGTATAGTGAAAATGGAAGGCACCCTGATAATGAAGAAGTTGCTGAGGCGACAGGGCTCTCAATGAAGAGGCTCACTGCTGTACTACTAACCCCTAAAGCTCCAAGATCACTTGACCAAAAGATCGGGATTAACCAGAATCTCAAACCTTCGGTCTGTCCTGTTTCTCTGTCTTCCTGGATTAGGTCCCATTTTTTTCCCACCCATTGTCACACATCTTGGCTGTTCTGCTCGTCTTTCATTTGTCTTCTATCACAGGAAATCATTGCAGATCCTGAAGCAGAAACATCGGAAGATTTGTTGATCAAGCAATTTATGAAGCAGGACCTGCACAAGGTGCTGGATACTCTCAATCCTAGGGAACGACAGGTAATCAGATGGCGGTTTGGGATGGAGGATGGAAGAATGAAGACATTGCAAGAGATTGGAGAGTTAATGGGTGTGAGCAGGGAGAGAATCAGGCAAATCGAGTCGTGTGCATTCCGAAAGTTGAAGAACAAGAGGAGAACCAAACATTTGCAGCAGTACTTGATGTCATGAGCCTCGTCAGATTGAAAAATCAGAATTTAGTTTTGCTCTAGAGCCAACAAACTTGCTCAAGGCTCGAAAGGATGTGTTTTTAGTCCTTCCACCGTTATTTATTTAATTTATTTCAAGTAATTGAAATGTATCATTTTCATGTATTAGAAAAATTTTGTGCATAGAACCAACAAAAATTTTGAGTTAAAAAGATACTTACTTTTCCCTTTATTGTACAGAAAGCAAAGTACTCGCAATTTGGGTTGATGAAAATCACACCTGGAAATCACTTCGGTCTCGAGTCGAGAAGAGCTAACCTGAGTTTATATGTATTTTTAATTGTATATTATATATAATTATAAATGTGTTCAATTATTTTCATTAAATTTAAATTTACTATACTAATTCTTTGAATAATTAGTTTTTTGATAGCTTGGCTACAATCCTTTTTTAATGTTTATATTCAATATAAATATATATATTTAAAAAGAACACAAACCTTAAAAATGTACCGATTTGAATTTAGGATGAACTTGAGAGAGAAGACAATGAATATGGGCTGGGCCTCAAGCGTTAGTGAGTATATAAAAGCCCATGGGCTACGGCCAGTCCCACTGATTTATAGGCTAGTGGGCCGTTCGAGCGAACCTTGTAGCCCACATGCTGCAGGAAACATACTCTTTTGGAGTTGAGATATTGATTTTTTAGTGATTTTGTTCATGAAAAGCCACTAGTGGCACTGTTAATACGAAGATAATAAAGGGCACTGATAATTTATCCCCTCATAAAGGGCACTGATAATGTATGTATCAAGTCATTGCATATAAACAATTTATTGGACTCCAAAATCCTTTCTCGATCAATTAGGCAAGTAGCAGAGCTGGACTCCTCATTTCCGGAACATGCATAAACAAGATATATATATAGCAATACAAAATATAGGAGTATATAAAGCAAGATGATATAACAATTATTGAATAAATTTAAAATTCTAAAAAAAAATTACTAATATTTTACATATTAATTTATTGAATAGATGGCTCGAGCAATAGTTGTGGGGCGCACCCTATTTAGTAGCATGTGTTAATAATCTTATGATCCCATAATTTGAAAATTAAATCCCTTTTGAAGTCAAACTAGAGAATTCTTTACAACTCAGTTTAGTTGGTAAGTAGTAAATAAACTATGAACTCTTTATATAAGCCAAGTGCCTTGTAATGAATTGTGATAATCCTTCACAGAATAACGAATTGTGGATAATCCTTCACAGAATAATATATTTAACACTAGATACATGAAGAGAATTCTATACAATTATATATAAACCAAGTGCCTTATAATGAATGATGGAGAATCCTTCCCAGAATAATGTACGTAACACTAGATACATGAAGATAATTCTATACAGTTCTGCAAAAGTATAGATAATTCTACAATATCTTAGAGAATTTCGAAAGGGTCCACACTCAATATAGAGAAATTCAAAAAGTTTTCGATCCATATAAATCGTCGTGTCATATCTGATTGCGTGACGTGCTTACGTGACATAACTTCTTAATGCAAGGCGTAACATTGAAATAGTTGAAGGCTTCATTTTCTTACTATGGTTCATCTACTTTATTCTTAAATCAATTTTAGTTAAACACCACACGATGATTAAAATGCATGTAATTCTAACCAAAAATTGGATTTTATTAAAAATTCAGAAACCTCTTTTATTAATCTTTTTTCAAAGCACTAGAAGCATAGGGTGGAGATACTTAAAACTCGATAATTTACCACGAGTAACACAGTCACACTTAAAAACCTCTTATATTAAAGTTTGTATATTTACATGTAGAATAAACTAAATTCTTGATTTTTGGAAGATCAGCTTAATTTTGAGTCTCACTATTTTCAATCAAAACTAAACTCTTAGAAGAACACTTGCCTCCTAAAACTTGTAATTCTTGCCTCATTTGTTGATTTACCCAATTCTCAAAAGTAGATTATTGTTAGGGATAAAAGAGAAGACACTGAGGCGGGTTGGCATTGCGCATTCAATTATATAATTTTTACCACATTTCACGCTCGGTGACTCTTCATCTCTAGTCTTTGTCGTACAACAAGGTGCCATCTAACTCTGACAAATTTCATCACTTGTAATGCTGGTACATGAATCTCATTGTGGTCTAATTGACTCTTCAACTCTAGTATAAGGCCATTCGGAGAGCATAGCGAGTCAAGGGTATTGGCTTAAGGCAAAGGCATCAATTATTCATTTTTCTCCCTTTCCTTCTTTTTCTGGGTGCACTCCTACATCTTTCTTACTAGAAACCAATCAACGAGTGGATACTTTTGTAAATTCTTGAAATTAATTTTTTGGTGCATTAAAAGAAATGAAAAAACAATAAAAGTAATCAATTATACCGTGGCAATACATGACTCCCTATATTCACAAAAATGACTCGTCTAAAGTAATTTTTGATGCCAGATGTTTTGACACAAATACAAGATGGTTATATTGCATCCGACGGATGTGATCCGTCCATGCATTACTACGAACGGATCCGTACTCTCTTCTCTAACATTGCACCATTAAAAAATAAATAAAAATAATAAAATAAAAATACTAGATAGTTCAGACGCAGGGAGAATTTGAGGTTACAAATGGAATAAGTTTGGTGTGGAGCAGTTGAGGGCAAATAAAGAAGAGTGATTAATTAAAAAAATAGTAGTATCTGACATCTGCCTTTAGTCATTACACACTGGTCACTGTGTATCTTATGAACCCAGAGTTTGCAACTTTGCAAGAGAAGAGAAAGAGAGACAGACAGACCTTCAAATTTCAAATCCAAGGTTAGATTGAGAGAGAGAATGCAGAGCGAAGAAGAAGAAAGCGGTGATGGAGAGGCCGTACAACCTCTATTACCACCGCCGACTTCAAACGCTGACGGCGATGAAATCAACAATATGCCGCCGGCGGAGGCGGCGATGGAGGACCATGCTGAGCCGCAGCAGCAAGAGGAAGCCGAGGGAGAGGGAGAGGGAGAAGACAGCAGCGAAAGCGGAGAGGAGGTGGAGGACGATAATGCTGAGCCGCCGCCACCGCAGCAGCAGGAAGATGAGGGAGAGGGAGAAGATGGCGGAGAGGAAGCGGCGGGGGATAATGCTGAAACGCCGCCGCCGCAGCATCAGGAGGAAACGGAGGGAGAGGAAGAAGACGGCGGCGAAGACGGAGAAGGGGAGGAGGCGGAGGAAGAGGAGGGCACTTGTTATGACCATTTTGGGCATCTTCAGATCCAAGATGAAAACGAAGCGGCTGAGGTTGAAACCGAGCGTCCCAACCTTGCTGAAGGCTTTTATGTTCTTGAAGCTGTACGAAAGAAAAGGGTTCGCAAGGTCAGCTAATCCCTCTCTCTCTCTATATATTTCCTATATTCTATACTTAACATTTGCTTTTGATGTTGTGTTGATTCTACATATCCTTTTTCTGATTTTTGTGGGTTTATCTGTGGATTGACATTCTTGATTGCTTCGGAAACAAAAGGGTGAAGTTCAATATCTCATCAAATGGTGGGTGCCCTAGCATATATATATATACACACACACACACTCAAATACTCTAAATGCGCACACATACATTTATGTATCTGTTACATTTCTTTTTATCAAAATTTCTTTCTTTTAGTATTCCCCTTCGCTCTTAATGTTGGAGAGAATGCTCGAAATATTGTAGTTCAAATTTTTGTTTTTAATTTTTTGTTATGAATGTTTTTTTTTCGAAAAGGCGAGGCTGGCCGGAGACAGCTAACACTTGGGAACCCTTGGAGAATCTTCAGTCCTGTGCTGATGTTATTGATGTATTTGAAGAAAGGTTTTGCCTCCTTTTTTCGTACTTTTCCCTTTATTGTCATGCTGAAATCAATTAGGGCGCCATTCTTGTGTAATGTGCATGTTTGGTCTTAACGTTCTTTCATTTCTCTTCTGTTTTTGGAGCTTGAGGTCTGGGAAGCATGGTTCTTCACGAAGACGTAGGCGCAAGTCTGTCGGGGGATATCATTCTCAACCTAAGAAGAAGTCGAAGCAGTGTTCCCCTGCTGCTGCTACTTATAATGTACCTGCTGTAAAGGTCAGGATTATGGATGAACTGGCCTCTACTCCTCTTAGTGATGATGAGAGAGGAAATAGTGTAGGGCATGTCAACAATGTGGAACTAGCAAAGCAAGCTAGTGAGATTGTTCCCGTGATGGTTTCCCTGCAAATTGAGGAAAGGAAAGAGCATAATGTGTTGAATTTGAAGCTTAGTGATCTTGAAAGTACAATGCCTACTAATGAGGGCAATGAGGAAAAGTTTTCTATTTATGTCCAAGAAACGTGTGCTTTAGAACAAAGAGATCTTGTGAATGGGTTTTTGAAGGTTGATAGTGTGGAACCACCGCAATCTGGTCAGTGCACGGGAGCTAAAAGGAGGAAAAGTGGTTCTGTTAAGAGGTTTAAGCAAGAGCCAGCCACATGTACATCAAATGACGCACAAAATGCAGTAGGAAGATCCAGTGATGGCCCTTGTGGCAGAGTTACACGGCGAAGGAGTCAAAATCCTAATTTCACAGAAAATGATTTGGGTTTCAAGAAAAAGATTGATAATTCCATAAATATGTCTACCGTAACTGAGATCATCAAGCCAATAAAATATTCAACTTCTGCATCAAATGATGCTCAGGATGTTTCCATGACCTTTATAGCCATGAGGTTTGTGATCAAACTTTAAATTCTGCCACTTCATATTTTCATGATTAACTTTATGCTTCTATTTCTTTTTCATGATACCTTAATGAGTCAAGGTTAGCTTCTTCTTAGGTATACCAAAACCTGAAATATGTGAAGAGCATATGCACACTAGATCATACCAATATTCCTTTTTGTTTACTTTTAATATCCAGTTATATTTTTTAAGTTGTTGATGAACATCTTCTCCAAGAATCTTCTTGTGTTTCTTATATTCTGAGGACTTCTTCCCTTCAAACGAAATGAAAAGGAAGTAGCATATGTAGGCTCTAGCAGGTTATCCACATTGCATGCTGTGCGAATTGGAATTCTTATTCCCTCCATATAAAAAATACAACGAATAAAAATAAACTAAAAGCAAAAAAAGAAAAAAGGAAAAGCTGGAGGGGTTACAGAGCTGAGTGCAGCTATAACTATCATGATGTAATTTAACTGAAGTGGTTCCGATTGTGAATACATTTTCTTCTATTTCTGAGTTCATCGATTGTCAGAATTTCCCGTGCCCAGCAGTCGACCAAGAACAATCCACCTTATTAGGAGTATTCAATCTCCAAATAGCCTTCTGTGGGAAGCCTTTGTCCATAGTCCCACTTAACATCTTATGAAATGATTTCATGTCATATGGTGCTAATCTCATTATCCTCTCTCCGCATCTCAGTTCATCCTGTCGTACTCCATCACTAACCATCCCTTTCATTTCGAAAGCCTAGCACTTGCTCATCCTCCCATCATTTAGAATTCTTCAAAGGCCACATCCGAGCCACCTTTTGCTGAAGCAATATGATGGTCTACAACTGAACATTATTTTCCACAGCCAAGGAGAATGAATATATTAGGGAAAAAAAAGTAGTTCAAGATCACCTCTCCTGACCATCTATTGTGCCCAAATCTCACTCGATTGCCTCACCCTAATAACAATGGACAAAAAACTTATTTGTGCTGATTAAGCTGATATATCATTTAGCATTATGATTATGAAGACATTGTTTCTTATTTCCTCTTGGGAACAGGGCAAGAGAGGTGCACAAATACTCATGACTCATTTATGATTACGTCATTCTAGATGACTTTTTGTAGTGTTTTTGGTTACTCTTAATATCTTTATTTTTGTGTATTATATCTGTTTTTGTTTTGTTCATTTGTACTACGATAAAATGACATCATTTCTATTGCACATTATACGTACATTCAAGGAAGAGAAAACCTCACTTCCAAATATATGAAATATTAGCTAATTGAATGACTGGTATTATGTTTGAAAAGATAACAGAAATGTGGTCTGTATATTTCACCTTTTACCGAGAAAAGAAAAAGAAAAAAAATTGTGGTCTCTATCTAGATGATTTTGACTATAAAGTATGCAGCAAAAAAATTGTGGTCTCTATGTAGGTGATTTTGACTATAAAGTACGCGGCTGAAGAACAATACTATTTTCCCCAGTTAACTGGACCTTGAATTCTCAACTTTAATTTCATTTTTGAATAACATTAATTATGTTAAGAATTCAAGCAGGTCTAGAATCTGGTTGGTGATGTCTACTTCTCACTTCTCGGTGTCTTTGAATTGCCAGGGTATGTTAGCCCATTGAATGGACAATGTGTAACATAGAATTAACCAATTATCTTTAGTAAAATCTAGTCAAATCATCAAGCATTGACTTTAACAAATATGGAGCCATTTAGCTCTTTTACATCAGATATGGTTGTTAGAATAGACTAATTTTTATGTGGTTGCCTACATGCAGGTCTGATGGAACAGAAGTGACGGTGGATAACAAATTTCTCAAGGCTACTAATCCACTTCTGGTAAATGGTTCTTTCATTGCTCTTTCTTCCCCCATCAACATTGTTACGGCTTCAGAAATTAATTTTTGTAGCAAATACATGTTATAATGTTTGTATCACCGTTATTGATATTACTTTACCTCTCATGACAGTTGATCGACTACTACGAACAGCACCTTCACTGTAGTACTGAGTAATTGGTAGATAATTAGTTGATGGAGAGTGTTGATACACCTGCATCAGGCGCAATCTTCGCCTCTCCTTATTGTGGTTAATTTTGTAGCTGGAGGCTGGTGCTGGTTAACTCCAAGGCAGTCTATTAGGTTGGGTGGTAAATAGTGCAAAACTGACTTGTAGAACAACAGTCAAATGTTTATTTTTGGTTGTATACTATTTAACCTACCCATTTTGTATGAAAATTATTCGGAAATATAACATGGACACGACGAGAGAAGTCGTGTTCATATTCTTGTATGGCAGTACACATCCAGCTATTCTTCTTCTGATTGTTTTGTGTGTTTGTGCATATGTTCGATTTTGATTGAGATTTTACTCACAAAACAACATTACTGTCACACCCATTCTTTAGCTAAAGTAACCACTAGTCTTATTCATTACAACTATTAGGAAAATAATTGCGTAAAACCAAATATGATAACAATCCAATTATTTTAATGGTTTCAACAGGCCTTATTAAAAGTACAAGCACAATTAACCTAATATAATCACGAACAATATGATTCAGCACTGCACTACTGAGCAAAATGGTGGATGAACATTGTCCATTGAACCATGATCAAGCTTCAATCGCCTACAAATCAGATATAACGAATCAATATATGATTTAAAAGCTGAAAGTTAAATAATTTTGTGTAAGGACCATAGTTTGTTCATCAAAACTAATTAACATGTGAAATCCTCATACTAATATTGGTCACTAGTTACTGTGTCATCTAAAGGTGGGAAAACCTGAAAGTTCTCTTATGTTTTTTAATGAAAATTACCGTGACATGAGAATGCCAGTGAAGGACTGAAAAATATAGTCAAGGCATTGGGGAATTTTGCAATTAAATGTGAAAATCGGGGGATAGTAGACATTCGAGAATTGACCTTTTTATTGATATTCATGTCTGGAATCTTACTTGCTGCATGCCAATAGGAGAAGAATTATTCAAAAAAAAATTCAAAGTGGATGGAGTATTTTTATTCCTAAACACAGCAGGTAAACCCTTTGGAAATTGGAATCCTGAATCTGAATATACTTTCATATATTTTCATCTCATCACTAGGAATTAAAGATCAAAAGAGGAAAAGTTGTTTGCGCAAGTGGCGACACAAGTGGACTAAAACTATGAATAAAGAAAGAAAACTTGAAAAAAAAATTAAATCTAAGAGAATCATGGTATATATAATAGGAAAAAATGAAAAAAAAGAATTCATGTGTCAACCCATCTATATGGGATAAAGGCAAGAATGATGACGACGACGACAACCAGAAACTAAAGATCATATTTCGTGCAATCAATCCCAAGGCAATAACTAGTGAACCACCATTCCCATATAATATATTACATGTCATACAGAATTCTTTTCGACCATATTGGATTCTGAGAAAAACAAATGGCAAATCACTTTCATGAGGAAATAGCACCGAATAATGGAAAAAATACGTATCATCTTATACGGGAAGTTAAATCCCAGAAGGGGCAGTACCATTACATGACATACTAACACAAGTACACACTACAGAGCACAATGAGCTTCTGTTCTGTTACAGACCACAGTCAATCATAAAGCTAGTCAGGTTTTTGGCTTGAGAATGGCAGCCTTGATGATAAGTCCTGATTTCCAGGGTCCTCCGTGTCGATTAAGATCAAAGCACACTTCTCTATTTTCTCCCTCTTCAGTCAAGAAGTTGCCTACATTGAGCATTATCCACTGTCCTCTGGGCTTCTCGAAAAGGCTTATTTGGCGTTCCTTAACTTATCCATTTGGGAGGGATAGTCTAAGTGTAATTGGGATTTCCCACCCGAATGCCCCATTCGTCAACTTAACTTCATATGTGATTTCATAAACAACTCCTGGGGATAGATCGGACATCTTAATCTTTCCTCTCACATCTAGCCACCACACATCTGAAAGTGTGGCTACTTCAATGTTTTCATCACTACGAGTTCATTGAAAATTTATATTTCAAATACTCTTTCAAGAAATATATATATATATGTATGTATATATATATATGTATGTATGTATCAATGTATGTCCATGCATAAGTTATCTCACCTTGTTTCTTTAAAACATTTCCAGCCCCAGTAATGATGTCCATGTTGACCCCAAGTAACAAAGAGAGATCTTGCGTACAACATGAAGCAATAACCGCCAGACTTCTCATCAACCCATTTTTTCTGCATAGGGATAGGAAAAGGGAAAGCCGTGATCTGTTAGTCAAAAAGTTTTTGGTAACTTTGTCCTAATACAAATATGCATGTGTTTTGTTTCTCAATCCACAAAAAAGTGTTAATTTTTTGGTCAACTGAAAACATAAAGCACATCAAAAAATAATTTACCCACATCAAGATAAACAATTTAATCCTTTCTGACAAAGTGCAATTGTTGAGAATGATTGGGCAAGATAAGAAATGATAAAACAATAGAACAGATCATTTGTGAGACGATCAAAGTAACAAATGTTTGAGATAAAGCTTCAAAACTTGACTAAGATTTTTGGTCATGAAGCAAGGAAAAACAATAAAGTTTTCCATCTTTAAGGATAATAATAGGGATAAGAAAGTACTAGAATTAAATAAAATTTCAGATAAGAAAAGATATGATGGCATGAGGTTGATGAAGTACTATCATTGGATGGAGTAAAATGAAGAAATTCGATTCACATAACCAGCCTCAAACAACTGGGGCAGTGCTTTGTTTTGTTGAGTAGAATTTTGCAGAGAAAATGATTCAAAGATATGTTCCAATTTAATTATATAACTGAATCGTAGAACTAATCACAATTCAAGATTTACAAAAAATGCAATTTTGGTTTGACTAATAATAGGACAACAATTTGGTAAATTAGGTTTAAATGCAACGTTTTTGTTATATATTATGGTCACAGCTGCAATTTCTACCTCTCTGCACATCTATACCAGGGTTGTGAAACATAACTGTACTGTGACGATCCCGATTTTCACCATTTTAATTTTTCCGGAATTTTGTCGCCGCAAGGGCATTTTCGTTTTTTCATGTTATGTGTACGGGATTGTGATTAGGTCCATTTGCATTGTGTACATTTTAAATTATGTGGATTGAGTAGTTTTTTTACATGTGGTGCACTCGTGTGTGTATGTGGTGTAAAATTGAAGCAAAAAGAAAAAGGAAAAAGAAAAGAAATAGTGGCGGGACCCACCACCATCCCAAATTTGAGTTAGAGACCATATTTTTGGTCTCTTACTTCTCTCTTTCCGGTGCGTCTCTCTCTCTCTCTCTCCATCTTGCTCCTTGTTTTTCTTTTTCATTTTGGTCTCCAATCTTAAAAACAAAATAACTCACTCAATACTTGGGGAAATTGAGAGTTGTTTGAGGCAAAACGAAGAGCACGAAGAGCTCTACGCATTCATACGAGCAATTTCAGATTTGGTGCCCTCCTTGATTTTCGAATTCCTTGACCCATTTCAAAGGTTTTGTGTCAATTTGAGGTAGGGGCTCTTAATCCACGAAGTTCTTGCTCTTTAGTGAATTAATCTACTTGAATTGTGCCTTAGCATGCTTAATTGCTTTGATTTTAGTTTAACATTACTTAATTGAGAATATGTGAATTTGAATGAATATGTGTTAACTTGATTGTATATAGAAGCATGCCATATGTTGAGTTATGTGTTCATTGTGTTGCTAATATACTATAAATGATATATGAAGGACATGCCTAAGTGTTGAATTTATAATTCCATTATGCTGTTTCTATTGTGTAAAAGCATGTTGTAGCTTCCTTAAAAATTCTTATGAATCGTGTTAGCTAATTAAATTTGAGCTAATTGTGAGATGATGAACATTGGCATGACATAAATGCATCTATGCATTTACATTGGGCATGAAATGGGAAGAATTGATTTTGAAATGAAAATGGGAAGTTTTGGGAAATAATATATTGATGAAAGTGTTTTGATAAAACCCGGTCGCTGCGGAGTCACCAACAGGCCGGTAGGTTAATGTAACCGAGAGAGAACTAGGGAGATTGCTCTAGCGTGGTTGAGCTATCTGGGCCCCATAATGACGCTGCGGAGTCACCAAAGGTCAGGGACAGTAGCCAATCCTTCTCTCGGCGCTGCGGAGTCACCAAAGGGGGTTACATTAACGGTTTGGAAGTGATGGTTTGAAAATGGGGAGCGACATCGGCATTCATTGCATCCCATAGCATTCTATTGTTTATAATGAGACTTGTTGTTACGTTGTGTTATTCCGACAATGTATGATCCCTATCCCTATTGTCCTATTCTTTGGTTGGATTCACGGGGACACAAGAGACGTGTCTTAAGTGTCACCTACTGAGCAATTTGCTCACCCCACATAATTAATATTTTTCAGGTCATGGCAAGGATTTGGCGGATGATAATCCACCACAGGGTTAAGGGAATGTGAAAGCATTTTTGAATGTATTTTGTGGGACTTAAACTATTCTTGTAAAGTGCATGACACAAAATGTATTATTCTTTGCAATATGTAAAACATTTGAATTTATCATGTATATGGCCATTTGGGTAATGTAATTAAATTCGTATCGTGTTAATTCCCGTGTATCATATAAGGTGTTGTAAATTACGTTATCAACGTGGTGGTTATTATTGCAATTAAATGTTGAAATGTATCTTAGTTTATGTATGTGAGTGTAGTGGCACAGTGTTTGGATAGTGGGTGAGGATAACCCAAACCAGTCGACGTGTAGCTTCCTATACGTCGACTGGTATCCTAACAGTAATCATTTTGAACGTGAATGACCCAAACCAGTCGACGTATGGCTCCCCATACGTCGACCAGTATCTTATGGTAATCTTGTACACGTTCCAAACCAGTCGACGTATGGTATCATGTCCCAAACCAGTCAACGACGTATGGCTTCCCATACGTCGACCGGTATCTTGGCAGTGGGTTTTCCCATAGCCTAAACCAGTCGACGTATAGTGTATATACGTCGACCGGTTCTGTCTTTTGTATGTAATTACTATTTTAAATTCTCAAATTACACTTTGGCATCCATTTGAAGTTGCACGTAATTATTTTATGACCCAATAAAATGCCATAATTATATTTTAACCCCCGAAAGGACTATATTGCCCCGAACCTTATTTTATTTACTATGTGATACAAGTTAATGACCGTTGTACCCTTGAGTCTCAATTTATTGAATTGTGGTAAATTACCATTTTGCCCTTTTCGGGCTTTGATATTTAAATTTAATGTGCAAAGACCATTTTACCCTCGGATGATTTTGGGTCAGGTAAGGACCCATTTAATGATCCGGATCCATGAGGATTTAGGTCGTTACATCTATTGATCAAAGTAATTCAAACAAAAATCTAAAGTGAAACAAACTTAATTTCGAGAAGACTAGTACAGTGCACATAGAACAAAACAAAGTTAAGAAGAATTAAACTAATTTGTTTCTATCCAGGGGAGAAAAGGAATAAAGTGATATAGTGAACAAATCACATAATGAAACATGCAATTAACCTGTATTTGATTTCTTGATTCTTAGAACATTTTTCATGCAAAAACAAACAACTATATAAGTTCAGAACACAATATATAATCATTCATTGGAATCTGTGACACAATTTAGGTTTGTTTGTGTAAAGAGAGGAACCTTTCTCCTGTGTTTAAGGAAGGTTTCACCGTTTTTGTTGTTGTTCTTGTTGCTGTTGTTACTAAGATCTGCCTTCTTCTTGTCCTTCATTGTATAAAAATTGATTTGAAATTAATTGGGGTTCCCAATTTTTTGAAAAATATATGTATATATATATATATAGAGAGAGAGTACATGTATACAGTATACACTGTGCGAGTGAGTGGAGAAAGCAGAGATTTCTTCTCTCTTTCCTTTGTAATAGAAATAGAATATAAGTGATGACTCCGCATAGATATCAACTCAAAAAAAAGTACTTTTGTTGTACAACTGTCAAAAAAATTGCTATTAATACAAATGGTAAGTTATACAGACCTCCCCGATGTTTGGGAATGGAGTTCTTAAGTATCGTAATTCATCTCTCCCCCTTCGCACAAAGGCTGGTGAGTTGCATTATTGTGGTTGCCCAATTTCTTTATTATCAATTCCTACTGATAAAAACATGATAAATGTCAAAGATGTAAATGTTGTTTAATTAATTAATTAATAAAGTTAATGCTGTTGATCAATTACAATTTACTAGCAAACAAGTACTAACCTTTACAGTATGTAAAATGCTGATACCAAGTGCCTGAAGATGCTCTTATTTTCGGGTGCTCCTTTAGTGAATTTTGAACTGAAGATACTTTGATGGACTTGAACTCCAGATCAGGGATGTCCTTGATATTTGACCAATCTGGGCCTATGTCTTTCTGGCATCGCCTCGTGAGTAGCAGACATCCTTCAACATGCAAATGTTTAAAGGAGCTGGGAAGCCCTTCATCAGGAAATGTCTCCACTGTAGGGCAGTCCTCAATGTAAAGATCCCTGAGGGAGGTGAGGCTTTTCAACATTTCTCTAGGGCCTAGGGACTTGAGACCAGGGCATGAACCAATACTCAGACACGAGACAGAAGCGGGAAGTCCTTTGTTCGGCAATGTCACGAGCTTGGGGAAGTTCCAGACGGACAGCATTATGAGAAAGGTCAAGCCTTGGAATGATGCTTCTTCTTCAGACAGAGACACAAGATCTTTGCAGTTACGGATGTACAAGGCCTCGAGTCCAGGAAGATTTGGCCATTTTGGAAGAGAGGTTAGGTTTGAGATGTTGGAAATCACCAAGGAATGCAGAGAGCATGAATCAGGAATTGCCCTCACTAAGGTTCCAGCATGACAGCCATCTAGTGCTAGATACTGAAGACGTCGGTAGTGCTCAGGGATAGGGAGGGTGCTCAATAGTTTACACCCACTTATCTCCAGTTTCTGTGGACCGAAGTGTACTGGAAGTGCCTTCAACTTTGGGCAATTAATGATTTTTAATTTCAAGAGATCACGGTAGGAAAATTAAAGTGGCGCTGCATGTTCTCTATGATCATTAGTGGACAACATTTGCATTAATTCTGCATTCAAATCCTCTAGAACGCGATTGTCAAAAACAGGATTGTTATGCAGTATTGCTTCATTCCAATCCAGAACAAGATTATTGACAAGTATTAAGAACTCTAATGAAGGGCTCACTGGAAGTTCCCTCAACGAGTCGCACCTTTTGATCTTCAAAACTTGTAAGTTAAAAAAGATCTGAGGTAACTTTTTTAGCTTGGGGCAGCTGCCAACCTTTAGTATGTAAAGAGAATGATATTGCCCTTCAGGCCATTCCTCCAACTCCTGCATTCGTTTAATGTATAGCTCTCCAAGGTGTGGTAGCTCCCCAAGAGAGAGGACTTTGCACTTTGAACAATGACTTATGGAAATGGTAACGAGATTTTGGAGTATCCCATCTCCCATCCAAGATGGAAATCTGGTACCTTTGTAGTGGAAAATTTGGAGCTCTTTGAGATTTGAGTGTGGTTGAAGGTCTTCAAGCACTTTTTCGTCATCTCCTCCATCTTGTGGACCACTATCTCTATCACTCCATTCAAACACCACCTTCTTGAGCCCTTCTTTTTCCTTCAACTTTGTCGCCTAAACATTTACTGCATTTTCGAGCTTTAAGATATGCAGTGTTTCCTTGAGATAAATCAAGCCTTTTAGTTCATCAATTCCATATCCACACTCTTGGCCAACATGGAATGCATGCAGATTTTGTAGATTGGTTAGGCTTCCCATTCTTGGTGGCAATTTGGATGACTTGTACCAGAACATTTCATCTAGCTCAAGATGCTGCAAGTTAGTTAAGTTCCCAAGGTCTTTGGGCAATTCAAAAAGCCAAAGGCACTCTAGGAGTTTCAAAGTTTACAAATGGTAGAGGCTACAAATAGAATTGGGAAGTTTCCTGATCTCAGTTTTAGAGAGGTCGAGGTAGCGTAACAACTTCAACTCTTTAACTGATTCTGGCAATTCTAGCATTATGCTCGAACTCAAATCTAACACGCATATAAATTTCATTGTGTGGAAGATTTGGTCAAGGGCCTGCCCAAAGGATTTCAAGTTCTCATTAGGGCACAGAAGCGTGCGTAACTTCTTAGATTTACCAACTACTACCAAAGCAGCCTGCTCGGCATTGTTACAAAGCAATGATACATGTCGAGATTTGTCAGAGACAGGGCATGGCTCATTATCCTTGACTTGGCAGCAATAGGAGCTTGAAACAAATCATGCCAACTCATAGATAAGATCATGCATCCTATATCTCTTCTTGTTGTCAATGTTTAAGACTTGAAAGAATGACCTCATTAACAACTCATCAAAATAATCATTTCCAATTTCATTAATTATATCTCGTCTTCTGGACTGAATAAAAGATTGTGCCTTCCACACTTTGACCAATTCCATCTTATCAAACACATAGGCCTTGGGAAATATGTAACAGTATGCAAAACACTGTTTCAGATGAGAAGGTAGATGGCCATAACTCAACTTTAGAGCAGGCAAAACTATTGGCTTCCCTGTGTTGGTACTCCGTTCCTCAGCCTCCCATATCTCATGTTTTAGGATTCTCTTCCAATTGTTCATATCATGATTACCACGTAAGAGACCTGCCATTGCCTTTACCGCCAAAGGCAGGCCTTTGCACTTTCCTACAATTTCTCTACCAATATCTACCAGAGATCCACGCACGTTGTCTGCCACATTACGTTCTTCAAACACAATTTTTTCGAACAATGTCCAACATTGTTCTTCAGGCAGACACTCTAATTGATGCAGACTGTGAAGTCTGTGTACATAATTGTGTGTGTGTGGTGTGTGATTTAAATGAAAAAGAAAAAGAGAAAAGAAATATAAAATAAAGTGGGACCCACATCACTTTTTAAGTGATTTGTGAGACCAAAATTGGTCTCTGCTGCTCTCTCTTTCTCCCGACTGCTCTCGGCTTCTGCTTTTTTCTTTTTTCTTTTCTTTTCACTTCAACTTCCATTGTTGATTGCTCTTTCATCTTTTGTCGAATTGAGGTGCCGTTTGAGGCAAAACGAAGCTTGTAGCGAGCTCTACGCATCCATACTATCAATTTCCAGTTTTGAGTCTTCCTTGGAGCTCGAATTTGGAGGACCTATTCTAGGGATTTCGGCTTGGATTGTGAGGTAGGGGCATCTTAATCCACTCTCTTCTTGTTCCATTGTGAGTTATGCTCTTTTGTTGTGCTAGACATGCTAAATTTGAGAATTAATTGCTTCAATGAGGTGTAAGTGATGTTTAGAAAAAATTCATGTCTTAGGGTTATGACTTGTCTATGTGAAAAGCATGTATAGATGATGGCTTTGTGGTGTTTTTTGTGAATTACACCTCTTTTATGTGCTAACATGCTTTACTTAGGGATTAGTTATGTTAATGATTATTTTAATGTTGTCTAGAGAAATGTATGTTTATGCACATGTGATGTATTATGTGAAAAGCTTGCCTATGTGTTGAGTTTATGTCCACCATGTGTAAACTTGCTGAAAGTGATGTATGAGACCATGCTTAATTGTATTGTGCCAAAATTTCACATTGTCATGATATTGAGATTATATGTACATTCTTGGACATGTCATTGGGATGCATGAAATGGGAGAATTTGTCTTGAAATGAAAATGAGGAATTTTTGGGAGATGATAGTTTTTGTGAAATGGTTTTGATAAACCCGGTCGCTGCGGGGTTACCAACGGGCCGGAGGTTAATATAGCCTAGAGGGGACTAGGGAGTCGCCTTAGTGTGGTTGAGCTAGCTGGGCCCCATAATGACGCCGCGGGGTTACCAAGGGTCAGGGACACTAGCCAATCTTCCTCTCGTGTCGCGGCGGGGTTACCAAAGGGCGGGCTGTATTAACGTTTGAAAGTGATGGTTTTGAGAATGAAAATGGGGAGTGTCATTGACATGCATTGCATTTCATTTCATTGCATTACATTGTTTATACTTGGAATTGACTTGTATGTTGTAGTTGATCCCCTACGTTGTATGATTCCTATCTCCCATTGGCCTATGCTTTGCTTGAATTCACAAGGACACAAGATTTGTGTCTTAAGTGTCACCTACTGAGCATATAGCTCACCCTACTATTTATACATTTTTTTCAGGTCTTGGAAAAGAACCGGTGGACGACAACCCACCTCAAGCTTGAGCGATACTAGAAGCTCACTTTTTTGTCTTTTGTATATCTCCCATTATTTTTGCAAAGCACTAAAAGTGTGAAGGTGTATATGTATATTTTGCAAAAACTTTGTCATGTAATGTAATTAAGGTATTTGATGATATTTTGGATGTGAATTTGATAACATGTAAACCTTATTGATGAATGGGGAGAGTAATACTAGTTTGAAGTATTATTGAGGTCATTTGATTGTGTATCATCATCTACTATTGCCGTGAATTCGGAATTTGAGCCATGACAGGTTAAAAAATGCAATTAAACAGGTTGCGATAGGCCTATTTTTAGGGGAGGTCATGCCGATTTTTTTTTTTTTTTTTTTTTTTTTTTTTTTTTTTTGTTTAAAAAGTATTAGTTTTGGGTCGTTACAAATTTGGTATCAGAGCAAAGGTTCGAAAACCTTTAGGACGACGGGTAGAGGCCTACTTAGGGTCACATGGAATGTTGTTTGTTTGTTGCTTACTTGACTACTTGCTACGTGATATTTTACTTAAATGAGCATGCTTAACTGCTTATGTGCTTACTGCTTACTTGTTTATGTTAAAATGTTTCTTGCATAGTCTTGCATGCTAAGTGTTGTACGGTATCAATTCTTGTTGAGTCGTCCACAGTCTTAGTGTCATGTTTCTGAATCGTTTTCTTGTTTTATAGCACGATGTCACGGCGTGAGGAACCTAGAGAAGTTGGCCCTAGGCCAACAAGGGGTGATGTTGGTGAGAGCTCCAGCTCTAATCCGGAGGAGCTAAATGATGAGAACATACTTCTTAGGGACTTGATTCCCCCAAGTAAGAAGAGAGAATGTTGAAACACCCGTACCCGTAAAAGTGGGTGAAGGTTCTGTGGCACTGGAGTTTATTCGTTTGTTGCAAAATGTCGTGAGGGCAACGATTGCTGCACAGTCGCAGTCGGCACCACAACCTACAGTTCAAGTTGAGGAGACGCCAGCTCAGAAGCGTCTCAAGATCATAAAAGGGTTTTCTCAGTTGATGCCGGTAGTGTTTGAGGGCAGTGCGGATCCAATGGTAGCAGATGACTACTTGGATCAAGTTGAAACCCAACTAACTTCAATGGATGTGACAGAGGATCACTTGAAGATCATCCTAGCAACTTACAAGTTTGCTATGGATGCCAAGGTTTGGTGGAAGTCGATCACCAACCAGTACAAGATTGAAGAGATGAGTTGGGACAGGTTCAAGGAGCTATTTTATGAGAAGTATTTTCCGCTTTCCAAAAGATGGGAGTTACAAGACCAGTTTCATAATCTTATTCAAGGGAACATGTCAGTGGCGGAGTATGAGAACAAGTTCACCTCACTCTCCCGTTTTGCTCCAGAAGTGGTAAAAGATGAGGCTAATAAGACTCGGAAGTTTGTTTCTGGTCTAAATGATCGGATGAGGCCGTTGATCATGGCACAGTTCATTAAGGTTTATTCTGAAGCAGTGGAAAAGGCTTTGATGTTGGAGGCTGATAATAAAGAGAAAGATGCAAGAAGAGAACAATGGAAGCAAAAGAGGGTGCAGGGCTATCTTCAGAGGGATCTTCTTGGAAGAAGAACAAGGGTGGTTCATCTCAGTTTCAGGGACAACAATCTACAAGATCTGCTCCTACCACTCCTATGCCAGCTGGATCTGACAGGAGTGCAGTTGTTTGTTATCAGTGTCAGCAGCCTGGGCATTACAAGTTCAGTTGTCCGATGAGATCGTCTTCAGTTTCGTCAGCTCCGAAGGCTTGTTATGGGTGTGGCCAGCAGGGTCACTTGATTCGTGATTGTCCAGGTCAGGGAGCAGGCACAGGTAGTGGCAGGGGGTCACGATAGAGGTCGTCTCAGTCGGCTACAGTTCAGTCAGGTTTCAGACCGCCACCACCACAGCCTGCCATGTCTTCACAGGGTTCACGGTCAGTTAGGAGGGATACTCCTACTATGTCAGTGCAGCAATCAGGTGTTCAGATTGGCAGTCCTCAGGCAAAGGTACCACAGGGACGTGTTTTTGCACTGGCACAGACCGATGCATCTTCTAGACTGTCAGTTCTTCGAGGTATATTTCCAGTGTTTGGTTGTTGGGCTCGTGTTTTGTTTGACTCTGGTGCATCTCATTCTTTCATTTCATCATCATTTGCACTTGCATCGGGGTTGGAAGTTAGTTTCTTGGAACGGGCGTTGAGTGTTGATACGCCAGTTGGGGTTTCAGTGTCTTTGAGCTGAATTGTGCAGGAGTGTCCCATTGTGATAGTCGGGCGGACTTTCGTGTTTGACCTTATCCTCCTGGAGATGACTAGCTTTGATGTCATTCTCTGGATGGATTGGTTGGCTTCATTTCATGCCACGATCGACTGTTATAGAGGAAGGGTTACAGTTTGCACTTCTGAGGGAGACTGTTTCTTTTTTGTGGGAGATCGGGGTGATTCCCACATTTCATCATTTTATGGAATTCGTGGATGAAGTCATGGTGATTACTTCTTAGCTAGCCTTATAGCCGAAGAAGATGATGTTGGGAAAGAGGATTATCCTGCGGTTGTTTGTGATTTTCTGGACGTGTTTCCGGAGGATTTGATAGAGTTGCCTCCACACCGAGGGGTGGAGTTCTCTATTGATTTGATGCCAGGTACTGCGCCGATTTCTATGGCACCATATCGAATGGCCCCTGTTGAATTGGAAGAATTGAAGAGGCAGCTTGATGATTTGATGATGAAAGGTTTCATCCGACCGAGTGTGTCACCGTGGGGCGCACCGGTCTTATTTGCTAAGAAGAAAGATGGATCTTTGAGGTTGTGTATTGATTACCGGAAGTTGAATCATGCCACCATCAAGAACAAGTATCCTTTGCCAAGGATAGATGATTTATTTGATCAGTTGAGGGGAGCCAGTTATTTCTCGAAGATTGACTTGAGGTCTGGCTATTATCAGTTGCGGGTTAGGGATGAAGATATCCCGAAGACAGCATTCCGTACACGGTATAGACACCATGAGTTCCTTGTTATGCCTTTTGGCTTGACTAATGCGCCAGCGTCATTCATGGACTTGATGAACTGCGTCTCTCATGATTACTTGGACCAGTTTGTGGTAGTTTTCGTAGATGACATTCTTGTGTACTCACGGACTCGGGAAGATCACGAGGTCCATTTGAGTATTGTTTTACAGATTTTGCGGGAGCACCGATTGTATGCCAAATACAAGAAATGTGAGTTTTGGCTACAGGAGGTGAAGTTTTTAGGGCATGTTGTTTCAGAAGATGGAGTATCAGTTGATCCATCAAAGGTTGAAGCAATTTTGACTTGGGAGCGACCCAAGAATGTGTTTGAGATCCGCAGTTTTCTTGGTTTAGCGGGTTACTATCGGAGATTTGTGAAGGATTTCTCCCGTTTAGCAGCTCCTATGACCCGTTTGACCCGGAAAGGGGTCAAGTTTGTCTGGAATGAGGCCTGTGATTTATCTTTTCAGGAGTTAAAGACGAGATTGACTACAGCGCTAGTGTTGGTGATACCTGAGCGTGGCTTGGGTTATGTGATCTATTGTGAGCTTCACGTGACGGGTTGGGATGTGTGTTGATGCAGGATGGTAGAGTAGTGGCTTATGGGTCTCGACAGTTGAAGACTCACGAGCTTAACTACTCTACTCATGATTTGGAGTTAGCGGCAGTTGTGTTTGCCTTGAAGTGTTAGAGACATTATTTGTATGGTGAGAGATTCGAGGTATACTCGGATCATAAAAGTCTCAAGTACCTTTTTTCCCAAAAGGACTTGAACAACAGACAGAGACGATGGGTTGAGTACTTGGAAGATTACAACTTTGATTTGCAGTATCATCCGGGCAAGGCAAATGTTGTAGCTGATGCCTTAAACCGAAAATCTAGTGGAACTTTGGCCAGTTTAGCTATTCGGAAGTGGAAGATGCTTAAAGATCTGGCAGAGATGGGATTACAGTGTTTTGATGATGATGGTTACAGTGAGTCGGCATTCTTATTTAGTCTTGTGGCTCAGCCTACTCTTGTTGTACGAGTGATTGAGTCACAGAGACAGGACCCGGACTTAGATTCCATCCACGCTTTGATCTCTAGTGGTGAGACAGTGAAAGATTGGGCCTTGCATGCAGATAAAGGTCTACGGTTCAGGGGTTTGTTGGTGGTTCCCACAGTATGTCATGAGGATGTCCTACGGGAGTTTCACACTTCCCGTTTTGCAGTTCATCCAAGTGGTACTAAAATGTATCACAATTTGAGACGTCAGTATTGGTGGAGCGGGATGAAGAATGATGTTGCACAGTTTGTGGCTAGATGCCTTACCTGTCAGCAGGTGAAGGCCGAGCATCAGAGGCCAGCAGGTTTGTTGCAACCATTACCCAATGGAAATGGGAGCATATTGCTATGGATTTTGTGACAGGTTTTCCAAGGTCAAGGAGGGGCAATGAGGCCGTATGGGTCATCATTGACAGATTGACCAAGACGGCTCACTTTTTGCCTATTAAGGCAACAGATGATGCAGAGAAGCTTGGTGTTCTTTATGTGAAGGAGATTGTAAGGTTGCATGGAGTTCCAGTAACCATTGTTTCAGATAGGGATGCTAAGTTCACTTCGAAGTTCTGGGAAGGACTTCAAGCAGCGTTTGGTTCAACGCTGCATCTTAGTACGGCATTCCATCCACAGACAGACGGTCAGTCAGAGCGTGCTATCCAGATTTTGGAGGATATGCTTCGGGCATGTGTACTTGATTTGGGAGGTAGTTGGGATGATCACCTTCCACTTATTGAGTTTGCCTACAACAACAGTTATCAGGCGAGCATCCAGATGGCTCCATTTGAGGCGTTGTATGGTAGACCTTGTAGGTCTCTTGTTTGTTGGACTGAGATAGGTGAGACAGCCGCCTTAGGACCCGACATTGTACTCGAGACTACTGAGAAGATTAAGTTGATAAGACAGAGGTTACTTACAGCTCAGAGCCGACAGAAGAGCTATGCGGATAAGCGGAGACGACCGTTATCCTTTGAGGTGGGAGACCTCGTTTTTCTACGGGTTTCTCCACGGAAGGGATTGATGAGATTCGGGAAAAGTGGTAAGTTGTCGCTACGATTTATTGGACCGTTTGAGATTTTGGACCGAGTAGGAGAGGTTGCCTATAGGCTTGCTTTGCTACCACAGTTGGATAGGGTCCACAATATTTTCCATGTATCGATGTTACGAAAGTACGAATCGGATCCATCTCACATTTTGAGTTGGGTAGATGTGGATATTGATGAGGATGTTTCCTACGAGGAAGGACCAATTCAGATTCTCGACACACAGCAGAAGGTGTTGAGGAACAAGACAATAGCAATGGTGAAAGTCCTTTGGAGACCACGGAGTCGAGGAGGCTACTTGGGAGCTCGAACAGGAGGTTCGGTCCAAGTATCCAGCGTTGTTTTCTTCTTCAGGTATGTCTTAATTTCGAGGACGAAATTTTTTTTTTTAAGTTAGGGAGAATGTGAAGTCTGTGTACATAATTGTGTGTGTGTGGTGTGTGATTTAAATGAAAAAGAAAAAGAGAAAAGAAATATAAAATAAAGTGGGACCCACATCACTTTTTAAGTGATTTGTGAGACCAAAATTGGTCTCTACTGCTCTCTCTTTCTCCCGACTGCTCTCGGCTTCTCCTTTTTTCTTTTTTCTTTTCTTTTCACTTCAACTTCCATTGTTGATTGCTCCTTCATCTTTTGTCGAATTGAGGTGCCGTTTGAGGCAAAACGAAGCTTGTAGCGAGCTCTACGCATCCATACTATCAATTTTCAGTTTTGAGTCTTCCTTGGAGCTCGAATTTGGAGGACCTATTCTAGGGATTTCTGCTTGGATTATGAGGTAGGGGCATCTTAATCCACTCTCTTCTTGTTCCATTGTGAGTTATGCTCTTTTGTTATGCTAGACATGCTAAATTTGAGAATGAATTGCTTCAATGAGGTGTAAGTGATGTTTATAAAAAATTCATGTCTTAGGGTTATGACTTGTCTATGTGAAAAACATGTATAGATGATGGCTTTGTGGTGTTTTTTGTGAATTACACCTCTTTTATGTGCTAACATGCTTTACTTGGGGATTAATTGTGTTAATGATTATTTTAATGTTGTCTAGAGAAATATATGTTTATGCACATGTGATGTATTATGTGAAAAGCTTGCCTATGTGTTGAGTTTATGTCCACCATGTGTAAACTTGCTGAAAGTGATGTATGAGACCATGCTTAATTGTATTGTGCCAAAATTTCACATTGTCATGATATTGAGATTATATCTACATTCTTGGACATGTTATTGGGATGCATGAAATGGGAGAATTTGTCTTGAAATGAAAATGAGGAATTTTTGGGAGATGATAGTTTTTGTGAAATGGTTTTGATAAACCCAGTTGCTGCGGGGTTACCAACGGGCCGGAGGTTAATATAGCCTAGAGGGGACTAGGGAGTCGCCCTAGTGTGGTTGAGCTAGCTGGGCCCCATAATGACGCCGCGGGGTTACCAAGGGTCAGGGACACTAGCCAATCCTCCTCTCGTATCGCGGCGGGGTTACCAAAGGGCGGGCTGTATTAACGTTTGAAAATGATGGTTTTGAGAATGAAAATGGGGAGTATCATTGACATGCATTGCATTTCATTTCATTGCATTGCATTGTTTATACTTGGAATTGACTTGTATGTTGTATTTGATCCCCTACATTGTATGATCCCTATCTCCCATTGGCCTATGCTTTGCTTGAATTCACAAGGACACAAGATTTGTGTCTTAAGTGTCACCTACTGAGCATATAGCTCACCCTACTATTTATGCATTTTTTTTAGGTCTTAGAAAAGAACCGGTGGACGACAACCCACCTCAAGCTTGAGCGATATTAGAAGCTCACTTTTGTGTCTTTTGTATATCTCCCATTATTTTTGCAAAGCACTAAAAGTGTGATGGTGTATATGTATATTTTGCAAAAACTTTGTCATGTAATGTAATTAAAGTATTTGATGATATTTTGGATGTGAATTTGATAACATGTAAACCTTATTGATGAATGGGGAGAGTAATACTAGTTTGAAGTATTATTGAGGTCATTTGATTGTGTATCATCATCTACTATTGTCGTGAATTCGGAATTTTAGCCATGACAGGTTAAAAAATGCAATTAAACAGGTTGCGATAGGCCAATTTTTAGGGGAGGTCATGCCGAATTTTTTTTTTTTGGTTTAAAAAGTATTAGTTTTGGGTCGTTACACAGACTCCGTGTCCCCATGATATCTGAGACCCTGCTGTTTCGGCTAGTAACCAAAACTGTAGATCCTTTTTCCCCTAGAATGAATACTGTCCTAAGCTCCTCCCATTCCTCGTAGTTCTCAATCCATACATCATTTAGAACAAGTAAAAAGCGTTTTCTAGCCAAGAATTCCCGAAAGCGGGATTCTAAAAGGTCAAGGGATATTGTGTTGGTATCATACTTCATTTCAGTATGATATTCTATCATCTCTTTTAGGATCCTCTTGTAGTCATAATTCGCAGTGACACATACCCACATCCTAAATTCGAAGTTATCATCATTTTTAACTCTATCGTCGTTGTAAACGAGTTGAGCAAGGGTTGTCTTGCCCAGACCTCCCATTCCGATGATGGAAATGACAGTAATGCCTCATTCTTTATCATATTCCTTTGATAACAACATATTAATTATCTTATCTTTGTCATCCTGCCTACCAACTACATCGGATTCATGCACAAGAGATGTAGTGATTCTTCTATTCTTAGAAGTTCCATTTTGGGATTCCTTACTGAGATGGAGATGGAGATGGAGACCATCTTTTTCCTTATCAATTTTATCAATTCTAGCTAATATATCTTTAATATTGGATGCAGTGTTTAAGTTGTTAGAAGCATTGCTTGCATTGAAAGGAAGATGAACCTTTCGTACCTGTTGTTTTTTCTGGATGGCTTCAGTTTCGTAAATGTCAAGTATGTCCTTTGCATCATCAACAGCAACTTCCAGCTTTCCAAGCCAATCTCTCACTGGTTTAGAATCCAGCTGCCTTTCCTCTGCATCTTCAAGAACGGATCGGATTGCGGTTAGCATACTAGCTGTTCAATATCTTTCTCAACGCCTTTGATCAAATGTATCTTGTCTTTGATCATGGTAGTTATGTCCCCTATAACCATGTTAACAATCGGTCTTACTACAAGTAAAACTGGGCCGTTCATGACTGCTTCTTTGACTGAGTGATTCTTCAGAAATGGAAGACCCGAAAAGGTCAATCAACAAAGAACACAAAAGCAAAATCAAATGTGAGTGGAAAGAAATACTTTTTCTGGGGGCGTCTCTATGTATGTGGTAAGATAAAGACGATAACAAAGTGGAAAAAAAACTCAAATTTGTTTTATGAAATGTAATGCAAAGGGCTCGTGAATTGTGATGAGCTGCTTGCTTTGTACACTTGACTTGAATCCATATATGCAAGTAATGCACCTTCCGGGAGATATCGCCTTTCCACAAATTACTGGGAAAAAGTGCAACGCGTGAATACAGTTTTCGGGAAAATATCTCTTTACCACAATTACTGGGAAAAAATAGTGCAACGCGGGCAATTAAACAATTTGCGCGTCAACCCCCTCTTGTATGTGCGTGTTTCCTGCTTTGTATAAGCACTTGGATATATATATTTTTTTCACAAGAGTTTGAATTTTTTGTGTAGTGTGACAAAATTTTAATACCTGCTCCAGAGTTGAATTATATTAAAAATATACAGAAAATTGGATCAATCCATTTTGAACGGGTTAATCCGGTTCAAAAAGAAAAATGTCTGACATCATTATCTCTCTAATCTCCAGCAGAAAATCCATGCCTCTTCTTCTGCCCAACCTTCATTTTGAAACCCTAATCAATCTCTACTATCTGAATCTCCATCTTTTATTAGTGTCTATGAATGTACAACCAACAAACGCCCCTAAATTTCGAACAAACAACAAAAAGAACGGAAACCCTAGAATGAATCCCAAGATAGATGAAGTGATAGAGATGACCTCGCTTTGGCATATCGGAGCTTCCGTCTGGCCTGAACATGAATTGCAAGAACTGGTACCAAAAGTTTTCTCGCATGGGATGATTGATTCAACAACTTAAATAGTTACAAGAATTGTTCTCGGATTGACGATGGTATCAACCTATCCGAAATTCTCCCCAAACTGGAGAATTTGCATCTTGTTAATCTACCAGAGAGAGAAATGGAAAGAGGAGAAAAACTTGGTTACGCCCGTTGCATGGTACAATGGATGAATCGATCATTCACGGATGATCCGCACGACACAACTAAAGTTTTTCTCTTGGGGAGTGGCGACAAAAAATAATAATAATAAATAATAATAAAAATTTGCTTCTTGGATCAATTAGTCAAAAAGAAGAGTTTTGCTCACCCAGTCAACAGTAGGATGATTGGACGTATCCGAAACTACCGAATAGAAAGAACCCCCCCCCCCAAAACTTTACCCACTCTCCCAAGAAATTCCCAAAATTTCTAGTCAGGTCTACGGCTCATTGTAATAAGGGTAAAGGACAGTAAACCCTCACCATCAAACCCTCCCCCCCCCCCAACTTTACCCTCTTTCCCAAGAAATCCCAAAAAATTTTATTTTTACAATAAACCTCCTAAACTATTTCTTTTTTTTACAAAAAAACACCAGGTGACGCTATTCCGTCGCCTATTCATTACCTGACCCAATATATAATTTCAAAATGATTGAGTTACCCTTAGTACTATTAAGAAAATAAATAAATAAAAATTCCAAATTAAAACGTCTTTGTTTAACCCTAATTTTCTTCACAAGTCGCCATTGCCATCAACAACGACCAGTCAAGTGCGTGTTCAAGCTCGCTGGCGTTAGTGTCGTCCTCCTCAAGATCGACGAAGTTCCCTGCTATCTCCTCTGCCACACCCATTTGACACCAAAGCCGATCTCTGCCATCACCATCGAAATCTCACCTGCCACTTCTGCCATCACCGATCTCACCAATCAAGTCTCTGCCGAGATCGCCGTCGCCATCCATCTCAGATGGAAGTCGTATTCAACAACAGAACCTGAGTTCACCGAACTCAGCCTCAACCTTGGGCTCACCGTTGCTACACCACCGACCGACCGCGAGCCCCATCAACCTCGCTGCAAGTCCAACGGCCGAACTCAGTCTCGTCGCCTTCGGACACCACAGCTGTCTTCTTAACCATCGTCAACCACCACAGCTATCCGCTGTCATCTTTACCATCGTCAATCCCTGCCACCGATCATCACACCGTTGCTCTCCTCTGTCATCAAACTCGCCGCCACCCATTGCCGAATCATCCCAAGTCTATCTCACCGGCTCTCCAACAGTCGCCATCTCTGTCTCACCGACTCTTCAATAGTCACCAAATCTATCTCACCGCCGCCCACTGTCGAAACATCCAGCTGTTCCTCGCCGGTGCCGCGAGCTGCCGCGAATCATCCCAAGTCTGTCTCACCAGAGCTCATCACTGTCCATCACCGCATCTGCCGCTACTCCATAACCGGCCAATCCTTGCCGTCTCCCCGCCGACCAGTCGAAACCCTCCCATTCTCTCTCTATATATACCAAAGTTGTGGGTTATACTTTGAACACGCCTTCTCAGTGATTGAAGACAATTGTGACCCACATGCCATAAAATAATAATAATAATAATAATAATAATACTTTGCATCAGACAGAAAGAGAAAGTGAGCGTGATAAAGGGTTGCGAGATCCCTCCTCTTCATGGCGACGTAGGATTCCGAAGATTCATACAACAACAATTGCTATGGCTGCTAGGAAAAGACACGCAGACGTTGATTTCGTGATTATTATGGTTTAATTTGCCAAGTCAAGTCCGAGATAAAATATCAAGAGTTGGCCGTGATTCTCGCTGGCGTTATGAAGGTAGAGATGGTGGTGGTTATAGGGATAGTTGGAATGATACCTCCGCATCTGCGCTGGTGGTGATGGTGGTGGTGCCGCCACGACTGGTTCAAAGGAAAGACGGTGGTTGGTAGAGAGAAGATTAGGAGATTGGGATTATGAGATTACTTAAATGTCCCTATTATCAATGATGTGGCAGTACATGATGTGGATATTTTTGTCCAAAAATAATGGTGATAAGGTATTTGTGCTGTCACAATATCATTTGTTGTTACTAAAGGGCAATTTTGTAATTCAACATTTTCAGTTAGCTCAGGCGCCGGCAAATTTAGATTTTGTCCTCAAATTATACTTTTAAAATAGTTCAGGGGGCATTACTTAGTTCAGGGAGGTTTTGTGCTTTTGGTTGAAAGTTCAGAGGGTTTATTGCCCTTTACCCTTGTAATAATGACATAATGTAGCTTTTGTAACTCCGCGTGAGAAGTCGTAATAGAGATTTTTCCATATATTAAGACTTTGTAAATCATTTAAGAGTTCAAGCAAGGTAATTAATTTTTCATTACCTTAAAAACAAAAAAAATTGTCTTTTCGCGTCTTGGATCAACAATTAAAAAGAAAAGTTTGCTCACCACAACCTCGGTGACGATGAAGCCACCATCATGGCTGAGATTCTATGGTCACTGCACGCTCCGGCCCACTGCAATAATGTAGCTTTTGTGACTCCGCCGTGAGTAGTAGCAATAGTATCGTAGTGCACTTTCACTTGTTAATTTGTACTTCATCAAGTGACCGAATTAGCCAATTAGTTTACCAGTTAATTTGTACTACATCTAGTATACCTAATTAGACAACCAGTTTCATCAGAGAAAGAAACATTGATGCAAAAATTTTGAAGGGAGGGATATCATCCATCGATCCAGAGAGAGCTATGACAGACACTCATTACAATTCTTGCCTTTGTTTCATCTGAATATATATATATATATATATATATATATATATATATATATATATATATAATACTTGTCATACATTGCGATCCATGCAAGAATTGATTTTTGGTTACAGAAGGTGCATGGCTGGAATTTTAGGTGAAGAATTATTCAGAAAATTATCAAAAAATGCTTAAAAGTTCAACTCATCAGTCCAAATTTTCACTTGAAAACTTGAGAAAGGACTAAAAAAATTGTTAAATTCACATGACCAATAATTTTTTTTTTTTTTTAACCTGGCAAACTAGAGGATGGAGGATTCGAACACGAACACACTTGTTGGGAAGTTGGGTGCCCTAAGAGCATCTAGGGTGCGGATGAAAGTAGATAATATTTCTGTAAAGTAGAGAGAGGGGATGGTATGGACAAAAATTAGAGTATGAAATTAGTGATCCCCACATGCTATTATCTATCTATTCTCTATATTTAAAGAATCACATGGATATTATCTATTCATTTGTTAGAATATTTTATGTGCTCTTATCTAGTCTCTTCCCTTTGCCTAAACAACCCTTTGCACAATTGCCGCTATACCCTTTGCCTAAACAACCCTCTCTCTAGTTTTTCAATTTTTCGGTGATCCGTTTTCATTCCTCAACGGTTATTTTATTTCAACGGCACTTTTATCATTCAATAGCTTTTTTTTCACTCAAACGGCTCTTTTATTTTTTTTATTTATAAAAAAACACTGTATAAATACTAATTCAACTCTATTAACAA